AATGAATTTTACCCGTTAAAAAGTGTACCAAAAAAGAACCCTTCCTATGCAGTTTTCTTTGGGAATCAATTGGCTTAGATAGTCTACTCCGACATGTGTTGACAAAACTCACGCAATGAGAAGCCATACATTTCAAACTTGTGACCTCTTGGTCAGTGCATGTGAAGATTACGCATGGCAATTAGTGTCTGGAAAACGAAGTATGTTTTATAAGTTATTTGACAGGTTAAGATTTGTTCTCATTTTAAATTAAATACAAACACAAACCCTTTATTTTCTTTGTTATTTTATACCGTCAGTTATATCAGATAGATTGTTTTAAAAACGTGTTGTTTAGGAAGATTAATCTTATGCATTTGTTTTATTTCATCTAATAAATTGAATTTACCCATGACACAAATTATTGGTACGTGCATATAAGTACGCGTAAATGCGATTTAATTTGTTTATGCGGAAGAGCGCCCAAAATAAATACACTTCGAACTCTGGAATTTCCCTATTTTACTGTTTAAATCATAGGTCCGCTCAGCTGACGAGTTGTTTTAATAACGGTAATAAATTATATTCAAGTCCTGGCCAGCGATCGTTACGGTTGGTGACATTGCAATTAAACAGGTCGATACTAAGGTACTAAGATACTAATGGGTGTATATATTTTCACCTAATATGTTTTCGTTGAGTGTTTTCATAAGAAGTAAATTGCTGGAGGATATCATGTTCTCCCTGATCACATCGATAGCGTGTAGAAACAGAGGTATATGAACACACGCTTTTGTGTACAAAGCAAACGTGTAAACCAAAAGGATGGGGAAAAAACGACGAAATAAAAACATTTCTCTATTAACTGAAATTATTGTCTTTAGACAGATAAAAATAAATGATTATCCGCCTGAGAACATGTGAAAATTATACCCAAATACAATGTAACGAAGGATTTTGGGTTTAATCCCGAGTACACAATTATAGCAATGATGTGTACATGTACATGCAGAATACCTCTTTTTTTATCCTTCGTCCATGTGTTCCTCCTTAACGGAAAAAATTATCAGTAAATTATATTATACCGAACGAGGTTGAAAAATGCCGAACTTTATTTCTTAAAATTAAAAGCAATTATCCGACTTTTCTCATATCACTGTAAAAATGCCGTGAAAACTAAAACCGTCTGGTTTGACTTTGTCAACGCGTTTTAGATCTGGTTTGAGATTTTTATTTAATGTCTGGAGTATTTCGCTTATTCTGCAAGTCCGTATAATGAAAGAAAACACTGACAGATTTAGAGGAAGTTCAGGGGGCCTGCCCCCGCTGGCGGATTTAAGTGGGGCTTGGGGGCGCACGCCCCCCCCCCCCCTAAAATTTTCAAAATATGACATGACTAATATTAATAATGCCATACTTTGGTTTTATAATTAATGGTCAATTAAAAAATGGTAATTTTATTTTATGACCAAGTATCAGTTTTCTTAAAAATCAAGTCTGAAAACCTTGCATTCCCTAGGCTATGAATATCATCTCATAATTATTCAAAGCGGAAAACGTCTCCCGATTTCGTTTGAAGGGTATACAGCACTTGTCAATTTCCTATGATGATGCAAAGAAAAATACTGCAATATTTAAAGGCTGGTCGAAGGTAAATAACATTCGGGAAACCTCGGCTGATTCCGTCACCTTCATCCAGATGCGGTACGAATCGGCCGAGGTGTGCCGAGTGAGGTAAATAAATGAATTTAAGGATGGATTCTTCTCATATTTCTTATAATGGCAGAATCTTTATTTTCTGAATACTCAATATTCAGACTGTTTACACTCTTTTAACATCCAAAAACTTTGGTGTCATCGGCCTTGATTTTCAGTCAAGGTCGTTTGAAAGTCAGTCCTAAAAATAGTACTTTTACACAGAGAAGTTTTGAAATTTATGCATATGAATAAATTTTGCTGACTGAATAAATATCTTTCACTATAAAATTAAAGTTGTTACTTACTTTTGATGACTAATTCATATGAAATGAGCTGGTGAAAAGATAACATGAAATCCTCTATATTCAATAAATATATTTAATCCGAATTTCCTCGATATTTTTTCAAAATTCTCAGTTTTTATGAATTCACATGAAATTTCATCTCAATTTTTACAATTGACCATATAATGTCAAATATATAGATTTTTGTCTGATGAATATTCAAAGGTTCAAGATTAATTTACAAGGTAAAAAAGATATAGTAATCAGGCAAATTATCGAAAAAAATTAGCCCGAATTTGTTCTATACTTTCTGAAATCTTCATTTTACAGAGTGTTTTAAATGTCTATAAAAAAGATTTTTAATCCCCAAAAACATATTAATTTGGTGTAATTGTGACATAAATACATTCATTTCTCCCAGTTATACATTCTATTTTTATGGTATTTTACACTAATGCTATTCAAAATATTCATTTCGAATTTCCTCTGTCATTTTATTCTTATGGATGTTATGTTTGACAATTTTATAAAATACATCAATTTTCTAGTGGCAATTACAGAAAAATTATCACATACATTCTTCACATGCACAGGACTAATTCAAAGCAACTTAACCTTTAATATAACCAGGAATAAATAATAAACCTTCCAAAAAGTTATGAGAAAAATCATACATAAAATTTCCATAGACTAGAAAAGATTTCAATACATTATTTATGACATAAACATGAAATCAATATACATGTATAGTGAACATGCCATTCAAAGCTTAATATATGAATATCAGAGGGACTAATATATATGCCTATACATGTATATGTAGTTATATACATATAGGTCCCTGGTATTATGTAATTATTGGATATTTTACATTTGTAAACTGAGTTTTGAAAACAACAAGCAAATTCAAAGAATTGTGGTCCCCCGCTTTCGATGTCTTAGTGGATGGGATGCCAATGCCATTATTTATGGCATATTTTAACTGTCTTGTTTGTTTGTCCTGTCTTATCTGTGCTTCATACAAAAAAACATAAATTATTGAATTAATAACAGTTATGGCAAAGACTATAGCTTCTCAAAACTACATCAAACTTCAAGATCAAGGTCATGAGGTCAAATATCATAAAATCCAAAAGATCTTCTCACAAGTGATGCACATGTAAAAAAAAATATCAGATACCAGAGTATACAATCAGAAAGGTCTTGAAACAGGTAATGCACATGTCAAATGTAAATACCATCTCTTCTCTCAATCAAATGCTATTAGCAATGATAAACTTTTTAAAAATTAGGTCAAACTTCAAGGTTAAGGTCATGGGATTAAAAATCATAGTACATTTGGAAATGCTTGTCACAGGTAATGCACTTGTCAAATATGAATGCTCTATCTTTGCTCCTTCAAAAGTTAGCAAACTGATGAAATGTTTGAAAATTAGGTCAAACTGGAAGGTCAAGGTCACGGGGTCAAATATCATAGCATATTCAGAAACAGTTTGACACATGTAATGCACTTGTCAAATATGAACGATATGTCATTCAAAAGTAATCACCAAATATAAAATTTTTGAAATTTAGGTCAAACATGAAGGTCAAAGTAAAGGGGTCAAAAATTATAGCATGCTTTGAAACACTTTGTCACTACTAATGCGCATATTAAATATGAAAGCCCTAACTATTCTAAATCAAAAGTTATAAGAAAAGATAAAAATTTTGAAAAGTAGGTCAAACTTCAAGGTAATGGTCATGGGGTCAAAAATCATAGTACACTTGGAAAGGTATTCCTACAGGTAATGTTCATATTTAATATGAAAGCCCTATCTTTTCTCATTTAAATTTAATGACCAATTTAAAGAAATGTCAATTTTCTGAAAAGTAGGTCAAACTTCAAGGTCAAGGTCACGGGGTCAAAAGTCATAGTATAAATTCGAAAGGTCTTGTCACAGGTAATAAACAGGCATAATATGAAAGTCCTATCTTTTCTCATTCAAAAGTTATGACCAATTTAAGGTAATGTTAATTTTTTTGAAAAGTAGATCAAACTTCAAGGCCAAGGCCACGGGGTCAAAATTCACAGTATATTTGGAAAGGTCTTGTTACAGGTAATGTACATGTGAAATACAAAAGCCCAATCTCTTCTCACTCAAAAGTTATGGCCAAGGTTAAAGTTTTTGTGACAGACAGCCCGACAGATGAATGAGATTTAATGTCCCCTCTCTTTCGCGAAAGCGAGGGACAATAAATACCTACACACATTTATAAGTATATAGTTTTTTCAGCACCAATAAATATAACTCCTCATTGTGATCACAAATTGCGTAAAATTTGCTGGAGTTTTAAGATAACAAAAAAGCCATCTATGACAATCAAATGCCCTTTGACATCTTTGCCTGAAAATGACATCCTTGAACTTTGTAACAATAATATGCATGCAGCTATCAAACTTAATTTCACATTTAGATGCAAAATACTTATTCAAGGATGAAATTTCTTTTTAAGAATTTGTAGCACAAACATTTATTGATCAGTGTCTATAACTTATATTGAAATGAATTAAAAATTACCTCTTGAGGGTTTCTACTGCAAGTACATGTATGTAGTTCATTTGTAAAAATCTAAATTTTAACCCGGCCACTACCAGCAATTTTGTTCAGCATGCTCTTGCTTAAAATCACCCTTTAACTAAATGATCTAAAGCAGGCACATTTTTATGTATTCCAGAACTGTATTTTAAGATTTTAACTGTATTTGAAAATGTAAAGCAACTGAATACATAGAGCTAGGTATATATCATTTACAAGTTGTTGTAATGCCAGTACATGTAAATCTTCACATTGTAATCTAATGAAAGATAATGCTTGAAAAATTCACTCTTGGAGTAAGATTTCAAATCTGAATCAAAGATTTTGTAAAGTAATCACATTCTACAAAGTGTGCACTGTATCGGGTACTTGGGAATCAAATAATTTAACATTATATAATTATAAATAAAAATATTTTTGACTGAAAGTTTCTGAAAAAAATCAAGAATGGAATCATGCAACAAGCAGCAGTAACTATGATAACATGCATTGACTTCCACATTTCTACACACAAAAACATTTCTTTGATCAGATAAATATGTAACTCCTGCTTCTAATCTGTGATATATTCTGAGAAAATCTCTTTTCCACAGACAGCCATCATTCATTTGATTTGAGAATTTCTTGCTGAACATGTGTCCACCTGATGAAAGTCCAAATTTTTTGTTGACCTATAATTTAAAAAAAAAAGTAATATATTTTACATAGCAACACAGATGCTGCATTACATGATAGTTAGATAAAGTTGTGTCCATATTTCTTATACATGTACCTCAATAGTCCATCTGCCAGCACTCCTTGCTCAATCATCCTGCATTCTGACCTCCAGTCTTTTTTCTAGTCTAGGGTAAAGTAGGGTTGATTTTCTCCTAAGAATTAAACATGAACATCCCTTAGACTATTTTTTTAAATTAATGGAAATTGATTATAAGTTTAAACAACTTATCTCATCTGTATTTCATTTATTGATTTAAATGAATGAAGATATTTTAATAGATTCTACCATATGCATAATGCCTTATAATGTATTGGATATAAATAAATAGACATTTTTTATCCTAAAAGTACAGAAAAGTAAAAAAAAACAATAATATAAATAGTTTTTTAACAATAATGTTTCATTTTGCTCTATTTATTCGATAATTGTGTGTTTCAATGTTATTGATATTTCCACATACAATATCAAGTTTTTTTTCCGTTTGATTTGTACCCAAGCGGGACACCTTACTTTTCTAATAACTTGATGATTGTTGTGTCTTGAACAAAGTAGGCTAGTTAAAAATATAAAATTTGTTGTAGTCATATACAAAAAATGCTATTTTTGTGAATTATTATTCATAAACCTGACGAACACACGAAATATATCCTCTTCAAATGTTGACAAGTCGCGGGAATAAGCAGACGAAATATTGATAACAGGACTATAATTTCCGTGCGAATTCCCATAAATCAATACAAATCAGCATGTAATTGAATTCAATTTCAAAATTATGAAAATCTTCAGACATATATAACTAACTTACATGCTCACTGCACACGACATGACTTCAGACGAGGCAACGTGGATCTGCAATCTTGCACATGTTTGTGACCTTCAAGTTCAAGCTTCCCTTTTGGCTGATCGGAATTTCCCGGGCATAAATAACTATGATTTAATTTGTCATAACTGTCCCTGGGCTTCTGCAATGCTTCGATAATGTTTTTACAAAACAACCCTCTCGGGGTTTTCTACGGGAAATGATCTGGACATGTTGACATTCGCTACCGAACTGCGAATATTATGGAGATTGTCGCAAATCAAAGAAAATATTACGAAAAATTTATTAATTTCAAAAGAAATAGATTCCACATTACTTAAACTGACAAATTAACTAATAGTTTTTCCTTCAGTATAATTAAATATGAATTTTGCATTTTACGACTTGCATAATTTATGGAGACCCATTGACGACGTAAAATGCTGACAAGAATCCATCCTTAAAATCAGAAGGTCTACGTTACAAACCTATCCACTGATTGATGTATTTATTTATCAAATGGTGTAACTATGCAGTAATTTACTTACATAGATACAAGACTTTTTTTAACGTCAGGATATAGGTTAGGATGGTCACAGACGAGTGTAACTTCGACCACCTGGTTAATTTCGACTGTTCATAAATACCTTAAAATAATTTGTTTATAACCCATTATAGTGTACACACATCTATTTTATGCAGAAAGAAAATGCATTTTTCATATACAAATCAATGTTGATAATAATAGGCGAAATTTATTTCTTTACTGGAAAATTACATCCAAGAAGAAACTTTATCGCCCGAAAAATTACGGACAAGTATTTTTAAACCATTGCGGGGAATTATCAGTTTATCACCTCTAAAAATATCTTGTATATACAGAAAGACACAGTGGATATTCCTGGCGTGAACTTTATCAACTATGTTTAAATTTGCAACTTAAATTCATACCTTTTAAATTTATAGTATTTAGTTTTCACAAATAAAATGCAAATCAGCTGAACAGAAATCGGCCGAAGTTACCCTTTGCATGAATACGGCGTCAGCAGGTAACTCAGTTCGACCAATGAAAATGACGCAATGCTATTTGTTACCAGAAAAAAATCATGACCACCATCCGTATAAAAAAGTATTAGGATAATATTATGTACAAGAATACTCCGTAGAAACTAGTTCTATAACCGTGAAAAAATCATCTGTTTTGTTTACATGCGGTTTAGATGCCTGCGCATATATATATTTGTAGCATGCCTTGATAAATCGGTAAATTTGTCTCTAGGCACCTGGTGCACTTAATGTCTTCAAATTAGGTACATTTTGAAAATTGCTTTTTTTTCTTTTTGTCAGCATTTTTTCACAATCGTTTATGTTTTACAACAGAATATGTATTTTTTTTTTAAATTAGAGATGACGCGAATAATTTCATTTATATTTGCACATCGATCGAAAATACCCCGTGTGCAGTTGAAGTTACCCAACACACATATCTTGTAAATCGAACACATTTATTTTATATCATGACGAATAATACATATAACACAATGTAATCTGAACAATAAAAGGTATTCCGAAGGAAAAATAATCCAGTAAATGTTGAGCGTAATACATGTAATAGGCAGTGACATACTTGAACAAATCTAAATATAAAAAAAATAATCGGTCGAAATTACACCACCCTACCCTACAGTGTATCTGTCATATATGTATAATACTTATAAAAACAAACGTTGCAATATTTAATTTTTCAATATTCAGATATTCTTTGTGTATCATTGTGCTTCGTTTATTTCATACTGCTATAAAGGGAACTGCACGTTACAGCGTGTTTGTTTATATTGTTTCGTTGGCTGCGGTGGAGATACATGTGTAGGTCAGTGAATGGAATTAAAAAAAAAAAACAACACTCTTTGGAATAACATTAGAGTTACATACAAATATCAGATTGACTAGCATCCTTGCTGAAATAATAATGATTCAGAGCGACTTGTGACATACAAGAAGTTCGTAGATTCACGAAGTTTCGAGATACACAAAGTTTCTGCTTTCTCAAGAGTAAATTTGAAATAAAAATTCTCAAATGATTAATAAATTTGTTCATTATTCTTAAGCAGACGTGAAATTCCTACAAAGACTTTAGAGTATTGTAAGTTACAAACTTAATTCATATCTTATAGGCTTTTGTGTAAAGGAAGTAATCAATACAACTATTTTTGTGTCTGGTTTTACTGACTCTTAAAATTCACGAAAACCCAGGAGCTTCCGGGGGCTTCGCGCCCTGGGCCACCACCAGGGCTTCGCCCTGGACCCTCTGGGGGCCTTAACGCGGCCCCCAGACCCCCTACCTGAACGAAGTTATCCACGCCCCCCATCACAAATCCTATATCCGCCCATGGCCCCCTTTTGTATCCAAAATATACACAAGATTTAATAAATCTGACACAAAACTGGTCGGGCCCCCTTTTCAAGATTCCTGTTTCCGCCACTGAAAAAGAATGTGTTGTTCTCTTGGATGTCGATATCTGAATTATGTTTTATTTAAACACATACATGTAGTCTAATATATCATGGGCGCCGATAATAGGACGATTATTTGTTTTTTAAAATAAAGTGGTTCTTACAGATGTATAAAAAACCTTATAAACGGCTAAATAATTATTTAATTCATCTACAACAAATGTTAGTTTAGTTCTTTGCTTTCATAATCTAACTTTTTATAAATTAACACGAAAGTCGTGCGATCGTATACAAATACTCAGAAGCAATCTGTCATTTTTAATGAACGTATAGGTGAATAAATTTCCTCTCATCACTATACGTAAACCCCCATCCTCGAAATAAATAGAATGTTTTCCTTCGCAGTCGGTTGGTTTTACCAGGTACATGTCAGTACAGGTGAGGATGGAGCTTTATAGAAGCAGGTGATGAATTCCGAGAGAAAGGCACTGCCTATTTTATATACATGTACATTCTTAGGGACCTGGTTTTCTGAACCCATCTCACTGTTATTCAAAGACCTAGCTAGAAATTCTCTCTCTCTCTCTCCCTCTCTTTGAAATGCAGGCCCGTCGATTGTAAAAAAAAAGAAAAGACAAAATAATTTCAATTTTTAATAAGTATCTCATCTCCCAAGCCAAAGACCCAAGTAAGCTTTTGCTGTTCATAATTCTTCATCTTTGTTTGCTATATTGGTGTATATAAGCATTATCGTCGTTGTTGTTCTAAAGCTACTCGTAAAGGATCACTTCTATATAAATAGGGATCTGACCTATAGGGCCGGGCTTGGTTTTTTTCTCAACAAAAAGCTTGTCGATTTCCGTTCCGATTAATGACATTAGGCTGAATACATGTAACAATTTGTTTTTCATAAATCTTTATTTTAGTGAGTAGAGGTAGGAGGAGCATTGATATTCTGAGTTTGTTATCTCCAAATGTAACAATTGAATGATATTTTTCTTTACTTCTCATTGTACATAATGGTAATGTCTACTGTCTCTGGAACTCTATTTTTTTATGTCTAGGCTATTTATTTTACAACACATTTCCGTTGGATATAATAAAAACATGCAATTAATGTGTGCAAATCATATGGGCCTAAATGAAATCCAAGGGAGTACAGTTACTGATATATGTAGCCCTACTGTTTCAAAACTTAAGATCTTAAAACATTGACTGAAAACAAAAGTACATGTATGTTATTCTAAATATATTAAGCTCAAATAATTCAAGCAATACGTAACATTCTTGTACTACATGTAACCCAGACAAGCACTAGTAGCACAGACAGAATAAAAGCAATGTGATTAAATTCTAAGGAATATAGATACAATTGAAATTCATCGCAGCTCAATGCTGCCGAGAATACCTGTATCGAGTAACACAGAGTGAGTTATTCTTGTCCTCGGGGAAAGTGTGCTATACCGAGACTTGTTCCGCCTGACTGACAACTGTGCATTGGATTGTTACGATTTGATCTCTCTCTAGTGTTTCTTATATCAAAAATGGGAATGCATAAAGGATAGATAATTGAAGAAACATACACAAGCCTATAAAAAAAATTAAAATAGTCTTTGAAAAGGCAAAAATTTAAAACTATAAAAGTGTGGCAACAGGTGGATTCGAACCCCCGACTTTAAAAATAAAGTACCCACGATATAAAAAAGTCAGCGCAGCGCATATATCAAATGAGCTATTGTGACTACAAGATTGAACGGTATAAATTTGAAGCAGATTGTCAAAATCAAGTTTACTTATTTTTTGTAGGTTTTTTGTGAATTTCGACCCTAGGGCAGGGTGCCCCTAAAAAAATCCTATCTTAAATTATTCCTTACATCCCAACCTATCAAAATATCACAATTTTATTTAGGGGCAGGCCTGCCCTGAAGGACTTCTAGGCCAAAATTTATGCAAAAATCAACGCTTTAACGAACAAAATGGTGTTTCGGCCAACTTTGGAGGTTTATTCTGAAGTTGTAAATAATAAATTTTAGTTGTAAAATTCAAATTTGAAAAATTTAGACATATATACGGTAGAAAACAACAAATAAACATTGATTTTTAAATGTCACTTTTTCCGGGAAATTGTTCTCTCCTATAGGTCAATTCTTTTGTAATAGTGAATACATCCCTTTTCTCATTTTTATCTTATCAAGAACCACTGGACCATAACAACGAAAATTAACACAGAATATTTTTGGTAAAGTTTTGTTCAAATGAAGGGTCACATCCTCTTTTAACGGATACATGTAGAAAAAATTAGATGGGGTGCAGGCGCAGATCAAGGAATTTTTTTCCACGGAGGGGGGGGGGGGGAGGGGAGGGGAGGGGATCCCAATAAAAAAATATTTCAACCCAGAAATTTCTTGACGAGCCAAAAAAAAAACAAACTCTTTTCCCAAACGTGAAAAACCTATTTCGTGTGTGTGTTTGTGTGTGTGTATGGGGGAGGGGGGGGGGGTCGTTGACTTTTAAAGCTTCATACCTAAGACTTTTCATACCATTTTAACACAGATCCGCGTTTTCGAGGAAGGGTCCGTGTTTTCTAATGGGGGGGGGGGGGCATGGTCAGTTTTACTTGTTAGCTCACCTGAGCTGAAAGCTCAAGTGAGCTTTTCTGATCACCCGTTGTCCGTCGTCCGTCCGTCTGTCTGTCCGTCCGTCCGTCTGTAAACTTTTCACATTTTCAACTTCTTCTCAAGAACCACTGGGCCAATTTTACCCAAACTTGGTACAAAGTATCCTTGGGGGAAGGGGAGTTTAAATTTTTAAAATAAAGGACCAAGTCCCCTTACAAGGGGAGATAATCAAGAAAAGACAAAAATAGGGTAGGGTCATTAAAAAATCTTCTTCTCAAGAACCACTGGGCCAAAAAAGCTGAAACTTACGTGGAAGCATCCTGGGATAGTGAAAATTCTAAATTGTTAAAGTCATGACCCCAAGGGGTAGGGCGGGGCCACAATAGGGAATCCAAGTTTTACATTGAAATATATAGGAAAAATCTTTAAAAATCTTCTTCTCAAGAACCACTGAGCCAGAAAAGCTGAAACTTATGTGGAAGCATCCTGGGGTAGTGTAGATTCTAAATTGTTCAAATCATGACCCCCGGGGGTAGGGCGTGGCCACAATAGGAAATACAAGTTTTACATTGAAACATATAGGAAAAATCTTTAAAAATCTTCTTCTCAAGAACCACTGAGCCAGAAAAGCTGAACCCTATGTGGAAGCATCCTGAGGTAGTGTAGATTCTAAATTGTTCAAATCATGACCCCCGGGGGTAGGGCGAGGCCACAATAGGGAATACAAGTTTTACATTGAAATATATAGGGAAAATCTTTAAAAATCTTCTTCTCAAGAACCACTGTGCCAGAAAAGCTGAAACTTATGTGGAAGCATCCTGGGGTAGTGTAGACTCTAAATTGTTCAAATCATGACCCCGGGGATAGGGCGGGGCCACAATAGGGGGAATCTCAAGTTCAACATTGAAATATATAGGAAAAATCTTTAAAAATCTTCTCAAAAACCACTGGACCAGAAAAACTGAAATTTATGTGGAAGCATCCTGGGGTAGTGTAGATTCTAAATTGTTAAAATCACGGCCCCTGGGGGTAGGGTGGGGCCACAATAGGTATTACAAGGGGGGAAGTCTGGTAATGAACAGCATGGCCAAAGTTACTCAGGTGAGCGATGTGGCCCATGGGCCTCTTGTTTAGTATATACATTTAACTGCCCCCAACCCCCTCTAGATCCGCGCATGGGGTCATTTGAAAATAGTATTCTCAAGAATCCCTGGACTAGAATGAGAAAATTTCCAACATAGCATACATTCATTTTTTTTTCAAATATTGATTCCAGGGAGAAGGTTTGGGCCGGAAAGAGTGTTCATAATTTAACAAAGGAATTTATATATCCTCCCAAACGAAGTGTGTGGGTTTGGGGTGGGGGTGTTTTGAGTCTTTTGGAATCACAATGTCCGTCTGCCTAGCAGTCCGTCTGTACGTGATAGTTCGCCAAGGATATTATAACTTTGTTATGAAGAAACTGGAAGGTCATACTTGGTACAAAGATTACTAATGATCCGAAGGTGTGTCATGGTTTTGATCCAACATCATTCCAGCAAGTTCAAGGTCATTGGAAAAAAATAGCAAGTATCATACTTGATACAGAAATTGCTTATGACAAAATTAAAGGGTTTGACATGACTTTCATCCAAGGTCATTCCTGTAAGTTCAAGGTCACTGAGAGAAAACTGTAAGATTACTGTATGTGTTATAACTTTTGAAGCTCATACTTGGAACAAAGATTGCTTATGATCCACCGGTTTGAGATAACATAGTACTAGACTGGCAGAAGAAGTGGCAAAATTCGTGCCTGGATTATAAATTTATAAGGGGTGGGAGGAACACAAGAAACTTTTTCTCAGATTGCTTGAGATGGGTTTTCCTGACCTTGAACAAAGGTTTTTTCGGCAAGTTCAAGGTCACTGGCAGATAAATATTATTTTTTTTCCACATACTATAACTTTGTTATATAAAATCACTGGAAGCTTTTACTTGATACAGAGATTGCTTATGATCCAAGAATGTGTTTTGACCTTGATCCAAGGTCTTTCTGGCAAGCTCAAGGTCACTGACAGAAAAGTGCAATATTCTTTTTCAGGTATATCTTTGTCATTGGGTATCACTGGAAGCTCATAATTTGTTCAAAGGTTGTTTTTGACCTTAACATAGGTCATTTAGGCAAGTTCAAGGTCACTGATATAATAAGTGTAAAATTCAAAAAGGTCTAGTCGCCCAAGTGGCGCAGTGGTAAGAGTGTCTGCTCTAGAGTCGTGGATTATGGAGTTGATCCTTACGTCGCAGGTTCGAATCCCACTGTGGGACGCAGAGACTGATCCTTCGGATGAGACCGTACAATCTGAGGTCCCGTCTGGCAGTAGGTGCTGGCACGAGAAAGATCCCTCACTGCTAAATGGCCATGTGTGCCGAGTATAGGTCAAAATTTGCAGATCTCCATTTGCAAATGGTGGCGTCTCCATATGATTGAAAAATTCTTGAAAGGGACGTTAAACAACATACAAACAAATAAACAAAAAGGTCTATACTTTTGTAATAGAAAAAACTGCATGCATTTGCATTTCACTGAAAAGATGATAAATATATCATCCAGAGTGTGTAATGGCCTTGACTTAAATTCGAGGTCACTTAGAATATGATGTTTTGGATGAATAGTCTGAAAGTATACGTGACTGTGATTTTTTTTTTATGTCGGTGACATAAAGATGGTGTTTGCTCTTAACCAGCTGCAGAATGTGTCATGGCTTGACGCAAAGTTATTTGGACAGTTCAAGTTCACTGACAGGGGAATTTTACATTCCTTTACTGTCTTTCTACTGTTGAAACATTGAAAGTTGATGCCCCTTACAGGATTGTTTATAACCTTAAAATGTTGCATGACCTTGACTCAAGGTCGCTCTGTCCTGTCCGGAGCTCCGACGGAAGACCTATTCGTTGCATTGCAACGAGCTCGGCTCTAGTTGTTTTATACATTCTTTATGAAATGTTGACGAATTTTCTTGAAATTATCTTTGCCCTTTATGGAGTTAAAGTAATTGTCTCAATAATTTTCGAACAACCCTCGTATATATTTTTAACAATTAAACTGGGGAGTGCCTATGGGTCACATGCATGTAGCAGAAAGTCAATGAAAAAGCAAAAAATGTTCTTGTATATTTGTTAATTCATAATTATATACTTACAGGTTTCATTGCAACACCTAAAAGAAAAAAAAAAGTGCAACAAAAATGAAAAAAAGCAGTAAATTTATGCATAATACAGATAAAAACTACATAGTACATATTTAAAAAAATCACATTTTTGTCCAAAAAGTCTTTGAGGCCTAAAAGAACATAATTTTTCCATCTTTTTCTGTTATTTTCACTTTTTAAAGAATCGCTGAATCATGAAAGCTATCAAACCTTGAACATTTCCACATAATTCAAAATCAACAGAAATGGACCTCTGGTAAGCCATTTTCTTAGCAGAAAACAAACCGTTGTCAAAGTGAAAGTTGATGCCAATGCTGGTTCTCTGCCCTTGGTTCCGAGAGCTGTCGAAAGTTACCGAGCATAATCCGATTGCTCTTCCGAATAAAAAATGAAAGAGAGTCGTTGATTGGTTGAATAATGGAACTTATCCAATCAAATGTGACAATACAGTGTTAGTACGTGACATAGAATATAGAGACTTTCGTAGAGCAATGTCATGTTGAATTAGCAAATTTGGGATTATTTCATAAGATGGAGACCAGAGAGGAGGCTTTAGGATTCAGGCCTCAAAAGGATAAAATCTACAATAAGTTTTTACCGTATGCGGAGAATATAGACGACGAATCTAATGCAGCCTTAGCAGAAATCAAAGGAAATCTGACAAAGGCCGTTCTGCTAAGAGACGTGAAAGTAGGGGCTACTTTTTGGGTTGGACAGCTCACCAGGTAGTTTTAAAGTAAACAAAAAAATGATAGTATTCAGTACAAGTTAACATTTGGTTTAATAACCAGTTGGATAAAATAGTTTTTTGGTATATCCTGTTTGCAACAAGGTTAAGAGATAACTTTTAACATTGGAGAAATCATCGTAAAAGGTCTTGATTTAGATCTAGCTATTAAACACACAATCTTATTTTATGGGCATGTAAGAAATAGGACCGTCTTCATTTTTCTAAGATCAGCGTATGCAAAACTGGGAACGACTTTACTTTACCGGTCCCCAGAAAAACGCGCTAAACTATAGTGTCGCCGTAGGCGACTTTAGTATATATGAGATCGCGTGAGCGATCGGAAAAAAATTAAAATATGAGGTTTTAAGCCTTTTTGACCCCAAAATCGAATTCTACGGTTAAAAGTTTAGTTTAAAACTTCGTTTTTAAACGAAGTTTTTAACCTCGTTCTCTGAAAAAAGTAATAAATATTATTTATTCAGTGAAAAGGAGACAAAAAATAATTGTGAACGAAGCGCGTGCGGCGCATGCTTAGTGCCGTTTCTTTCGTACTTAGCCATTTTTTTTCATGTAAACAAACCAACGAGATGTCGTTGAAGCTGAATAAAGATCTTGCAAAAAATACAGATGCAACTGAATTTCTTAATTAATCTAAAAGAACAAGACACTGACCCTAATCTCTCGGATGGTATGCGAGGACTAACCCAAATCTCCAAGGCGGATGCTAAACCATGCTAGACTAACCCATGTGCGAGGACTAACCCTAATCTCTCGGATGGATGCGAGACTAACCCTAATCAGTCGAAAACTTATGCAAGGACTAACTCTAATTTTTCAGGTGGGTGCAAGACTAACCCTAACCAGTCGAAAAATGTGCAAAATCAACCCTAATCAGTTGAGTGACGTAAATCTTACGTCATAGTGCAATGAGCGCGCGGATCTTGCGGATCTGGGGACCGGTAAAGTAAAGTCTACCCCAAAACTGTTCCGGTCATTAGATATAATGTTCTACATTAAAATGATATTGTCATATATATATCATAAATCCAGTTGAATGATAGAATTTGTTTCGTTGTGTTTTGACAGTGAAGCAAAAGAAACGGGGCATATATTTGTAATCTACACATGGAGTGAGTTACAAATATCAATGTGGCTTGTAAATTTGAAGCAAGAAAAAAATGTTGAAAAAATGAGTTGAGTCTTTGTCTTTATAAAGATTATTTTTTGGGGTATTGTTGTGGTAAATGGCATGAAAATGGCACGTCAGATCTTAAAAAATTGAATTCTGTATATTTTACAGACAAAATAACTACACTTAAACTTTAATGTTTCCGTTCTGGTACATGAGGGAGTAGAAATGACCCAGATGAAATTAAGACTTGCACAAAAACTCATCTTCTATAATAGTAAATTTAAATATACGAGTTTATATACAACAGGGACAGAATAAAAAAAAGTTTGAAATATGATGATAGTAAATAAAAAATACGAAAATGACAAAAATATGTTATTTTTAATTTTTTAAAAATGTCGATAATCCATCATTTTTCAGTATGATGGATTTCAGTCTCATCCCTGCCTGGTTTCATAGGCCATCAGTGATTCTTCTGACTATTTCTCCCTCTGTTGTAGTTTGACATGTCATAGTGAGACTCGGAGTAGATGCCATACTGAAAACTCATAAATCTATGCTACATGTACCACTGGTGTTGCACCTTTCCTTGTTTGTAATTCAAAGTACTGTCTACCCAATCTTTGGTGCATGGTAGATTTGTTGCTGGAGGATTAACAAACTTTTTTGTTTGGTACTTGTGGTAAAAATTTAGAACACATAGAAGCTGAAGTTGTTGTGTGTGAGAATAACCTCAGATAAAAAGTCAGATTACTGTGACTTTTACCCTTGCTGTTTCAGCCTCACCATCAAGTATCCATCTAGGTCAATCTGAAGAAATCGATGGTTAAGTGGATGTTTGTCAGCAACCACAGTGCTTTAACACTGCAACATATGTGTTCTAAATTTTTTTCACAAGTCAAGTGAATAGTCCTTTATTCAATACATGTACATGTATCATTTATATGTTGGTCTATGTCTAATATTGGAAATTTTGTATAATGTTTTTAGATACATCCGTTTGTATGGAATGAAATTCTCCAAAGATGATCATATTCTGTTTATCAAGCTGTTGTTTGAACTGACAACCATTCCAGACCTAGAGCTTTCATTAGTTCCAAAGTTTGCAACCCAGCTTGTTGCCTTGCTGAAGTAAGTTAAATATGATGCAATGTTTAAACAACAATGAATCGCAACTAATAAAGGTTATCCCCCTTTATAGACATCCTATATGATCTATCAAATATGGAGAAAAAGAATTCTTCATACAGTGTTGTGAATTTACATGAATTTCTGCACAAAAATTCAGCATATTAACTTCAGTGTGTCATAAGTTATACAATTACATGTAACTTGCAGATATTTAGAAATTTGTATAATTGGGCAGAAATATTGTTATCTTCATATGTATATAAAATTAGCATGTGCGATTATGCACATATGCTCATGTACTTGAAATTGTTTAATGTATTATATCATATCACAGAAAACAAAAACTGTTGACACGTGAAGATTTAGAATTGCCATGGAAACCTATTTATCAGCTGGTAGAAAATGTAGCTTACTCCCCATATGAACATCATGGATTGCAGTTGTTTCCACAGTAAGTGATTTTGCTCTTACATGTAAATAGACCACTACTTCAATTTATAAATGAATAAAAAGTAACAAGGAAATATCATAGTATGAATTATTTTCCTTTAATAATCTGTTTAATATTTTTTTCCAGAAATATGGAGCATGATTTGAAGAACCTTGTTAACTACTGTAGGACGTAAGTTTAAATCTGTCTTGAAATCACAACATAGGATATTTTGAAACACCACAGACATACTAAGTTGTTCTAATCATAAATAATGCTTTATCATTTAAATTGAAGATTTTATGAAATATAAATTATATGATAATATTGAAGTGAGATATAATAATGCATTGACCTTCAATTCAACACTAAAATAACAGCTCTTTAAAGTATGACTACCCATAAATAGATAAAAACTACTCAGGTATGAAAACCTACTGCGCATGCCTCAGGTAAACCCCATCTGCTCGATAGATATAATCGATGACTTTCAATATGCGAGCCAAAACAAAGCAAAGAAAACTTCAAATGTTATGTTGACAGAATTTATAAAAAATACACAACAAAGGTAATTCTATTTAACACAGTAATCATCGAATTCTTAAACATGAAGATCGGAATTGTAAAGCAATTATGTCCATCATTTTTAGTACACTTAAAAAACCACCATACAGGCAATATCCGGAAGGCATCGTGGTGTCGTGGCGTTTTATGGTACAGGATTATCCTCCTACAACATATACGATAAAAATAATTCAAATATTAGGTAATGCTATCAGGTATTAAGTAATAGAAAAAATGAATAAACATCTCCCACTGACCCAATAAACGGGTAAGGGTGGGAGGGAAATGCATTATTATATCTCACTTCAATATTATCATATAATTTATATTTCATTTCGGGCGCTTCGCGCCCTCATAAAATCTTCAATTATATTTCAAATATTTCCGTGAGATATAATAATGCATGTTTAAAGCCGAAAATAAAACTCACCAAATTCAAAACATTACGTGTATAAGACATATCAGACGAAGTATTACGTAAATAAAAAGTTCCAAATGTTCGAGCATTTGACCAATCTGCTTTTGACAGAATTTCCTCTAAAGGTATTCCGGTATTATGCGCTCTACTTGAAGAGACCATTCTGCACGAATGCGCCTGAAATTTTGATGTATCGATGCCTGCATCTAACATAACAGACTTTATCCAGTTGCTAATCGTTTGTGCAGAAACCCCATTATGGGGTTTTTTGGTTGCGCGGAGCAACGGATCGGGTTCAGTTTTGAGCTGCGATCTAAATGATTCAGTTCGTTTCTCGTAAACAGAGCAACAATGTACCACGCAGAGTCTTTCATTATCAATTTTATCATACTGAACAGATCTACATGCATTGTTCATCTGAGATTTTGATAGACCTGGTAAATGAAAAACAATACTATCACCTTTTCTTTCCATAAATCGGCGATCGAATCTAGCAATTTCCGAAACCCTTTTAGGAGCTCCTAGAGCGAGTAAAATGGTAATTTTTTTGCTCAGTTGTAAAATCGAAAGGTCGTTATCACAAGGCAAATCAGACAAATGTTTAAGGACAACATTAATATCCCAGGAAAAAACGTATTTAGGTTGTGGAGGGTCTTTTATTAATATTCCCTTAAAAAGTTGTTTCACAACAGGGACCTGTCCGACAGAAACTCCATTTAACTGCGGTAACACTGAAGAAATTGCCGACCTATGAACATTAATTGTTCGGTATTTATAGCCCTGATAAAACATCCAAGCTAAAAAATCTAGAACAGAGGCCAAAGGGGCTGAAAAGGGATCAATTGATCGTTCCAAACACCAGCTATTCCATTTCGACCAGGCACTGTCGTAAGCAGATTTTGTACCTGGTCTCCATGCGTGTAAGAGTAGTTCTTTAACTTGGTCTGAAAAACCTTCTGAAGTGTAATATCTCCTGATACCTTCCACCCTGCTTGTTGTAATGTGCTGTTGGCGATCAAAGGGTGAACTTCCCCCTGGGGAGACGTTAAGGTTCTCGAGCCCATGGGTATCAGTACTGGAAAGTCTATCGACATCTGAAGGAGGAGAGGATACCAAGGTTGCGTTTGCCATGTCGGTGTTACGATCACAACTTGGCACCTCTCCTCCCTCACTTTCGCTAGACAAGGCATTATCATGCAAAACGGGGGAAAAGCGTAACCTAGAATGTCCCTCCATGTCTGTAGCATCGCATCTGATGCCTGTGCATGAGGGTCTACCCTCCAGCTGAAATAATTGTTCAGCTGGGCATTTGTCCTGTCTGCAAAAAGATCTACTGAACAAGGGCCCATTATCTTCATTAGATGACTGAATATCTGTGGATCTAATTTCCAGGAACTCGTGTCCTTGAAATGACGACTCTCCCAATCTGCCTCTAAATTCAAGTCCCCGGGTAAATATTCCCCTGTTAGAGTTATGTCCCTTTCCAAACACCATTGCCAAATCTGACTTGCAAGTTCTATCAACTTCTTTGATTTTGTTCCCCCCATGTTGTTTATATAAGCTATCGCCACTTTGTTGTCCGATTGCAGTAGTACGTGCTTTTTTATGATTTTTGACTGAAAACATTGAATTGCTAAAAACGCTGCTTTGAGCTCTAACACGTTTATGTGCTGTCCCCTTTCGTTCTGTAACCAAAGACCACCCGTTTTTGCATTCTGACAAATTGCACCCCATCCTAACAGACTTGCATCTGATTTGACGATGATGTTTGGCTGGGGGCGGACTAAAGCTCTCCCATTCCATACACTTAGTTTTGTCGACCACCATATTAGTTCCTGTTTCGAATCCTCGTCTAATTGTACATAATGGTCGTAACTCCCTCCCGTATGTAAGGCTCTTGTTTTTAGTAACTGTAGACTTCTGTAATGGAGAGGAGAGGGTAGAACCGCTTGATTTGTAGCCGTTAGACGCCCTATTAATTGGGCTAGATCTTGAGCTGAGACAGACTGACGACTCACAAGATCTAAGCAGTTCTGTTTTATCTTTAGTACCTTTTCTTTTGGGAGAGAGAGGGCCATTGTTTCCGAGTTTACAGTGAATCCCAGAAATTCTGTTACATGCGAAGGGACTAGAACAGATTTTTTCTGATTGATTAAAAACCCTAGGTTTTCTAAGAGGTAAACAGCTGTTGATAGATCTGATTGAATGCCTGAGAGAGATTGGTTCATAATCAGAATATCGTCTAGGTAAATCACCAGACGTATGCCCAAACGACGTAAAATTGCTATTGGAATTTTCATTATCTTTGTAAACACTCGCGGTGCTATTGCAATCCCGAATGGAAGGGATGTAAACTCCATTATTTTGTTTTTCCAAAAAAATTTCAGAAATTTTCGGAATTCCTCTGCCACGTTCATACATGCCAACTTTTGAAAATTCCCATGGGGGATTTTGCGCGTGACAACAATTTTCAAAGCTTTAAATTTGCGACATTTTATCGTGAAAATAAATGTTTATCCTTTTTTTTTTCTTTTTTTTTTTGATTTATAATATCAATATCACTTGTTAATACAATTTAAGAATAAATAATACAACAAATTTTTTCCTTCCAAAATTCAAATATCTTTTGCTTAAATAGGTACCTCTCTCACTAAAGAAGTGATATCTGTTTAGTTTAACAACATTATGTTTGAAGAAAGACACACAATTTGGTGAAAAATGTGAAAATGTACAACTTTCTGTTCAATAAATTTTGTTGCAAAGTTTTAGAAATATATGAAGTTTTGTTACTGTACAGTCTCTGGGAAACATTTGTTAAATTCTATATTTACATTTTACACAATTAGAATTTCCTAATTAGACATTAAATTGAAAGAAATATTGAAAAATTGCAATGCATTGTGTGTGTAAGGGTGTGTCACTGTGTGTGTGAGAGAGAGAGATAAGAAAATTTGTTTGTGGTATGTACTTTAAACAGAAGTGTCATTTATTCCCTATTAATAACTAGACATCATGATGATTAATTTTATCACACACACAAAACAATTTGAAGAAATAAATTTACTCTTGAGATCATTAAATTATTTAAAACAAGGATACCCCCTATCCCAAACAAAAATTAAAATTGTTATAATCATGATGAACTTTTGCATAATCTTGGCAGTGTCCTGTGGGTATTCCCTTGTCATATTACATTTGGGGGGGGGGGGAATTCAGTGTTCTTGAGGTATAAGACTTTGTTGTTTCATCTAAATTATTTTCATCGTATTTTGACCGGTAAACTTTACAATATTTTATATTTCAAGCAGATAAAATCAGCAGCTATGCTTTGATGTTTTCTACTTTCGTTTTCAAAAAACGATCAACAAGGATTGATTCCAATTTTGTTGTTAGTTTATCATATCACTGTATTAAATTTTTGTTTTTTATTAAAATGATATTTAATTAACCCCGAAATCTATGTGTTTCACTTTGCATACCCCTTCTGACTGAAAAGTTTAATCCCTAACCGCTCCAGGCTATGTTACCTGTACCTGGACAGCTGTGTGCGTTCAAGCGAGAAGTGATTTCCTGTGGCTAATTAACACCTCTGCATGAGTTAAATAAACAATGAGACTAATCTGTGTGCATTGAATAAACAAGTCTGATATTCTAATCCCGACTGACAAAATATTGCGGTAGGGAAACTCTGAAAATCGGAAATTTTAGGTTGAATTTTTTGAAATCGGGATGTTAGGGCTATTTTGCTTTCCCGATCGGGAGAGCGGGATCAAAGGGTAAAATCGGGAGGATCCCGCCTAAATCGGGAAAGTTGGCATGTATGCACGTTTATCGTCAAATACGCATCCTTTAGATCTAGTTTTACTAACCAATCTCCCTCCTCCATGAGATCTCTCAGCAACTGTACCCCCTCCATTTTGAAGTGTTCGTAAGGGAGAAAACTGTTCAGATTTCTTAGATTTATTACAGGTCTTAACTCGCCCCCTTTCTTGGGTACCAAGAATACGTTGCTGTAAAATGAATCGCGTGTGGGAGTTGTCTCCCGTACCGCATGTTTTGACACTAATTTTTCGATTTCGGAATCTATCAATAACTGTTCCGCTGTTTTGAATTTGGATGGAACAGGCATTTGCTTCTGATAAGGATTTGATAATAGAGGAAGTTTTATTCCTTCGATCGACTGTAGGATCCAAGGATCCCGTGTAATTACTTTCCAGTTCTGAATGAAATATTTCACACGCCCCCCTACAGGCACTGACTGAGGGATAACTACAGCATTCGGGAACAGAAATTTTGATAGATTCCGATCGATCTCTGATAACTCTATCTGTGTGTGACTCACCTGATTCATTGAGTGTTTGGTTTCTTGGGAGGCGCTGAAAATTTCTGATTCGCTCCCTGACCCCTGTACTGTGGGTACTGTGCGTATCTCTGATTCTGAGTGAACTGCCTCCTGTCTGTCTGTCTGCGACCCCCATACTGGAGGCTTGATGAGGGTCTCTGAAGAAAAAACTGGCGGTTTCTATCAGAAAATTGTCTTGTCTGAGACCAAACTTTTTTCTCATTACCATTTGACAAAAGCTGTTTTAATTCTCTGTTATCTTTGTTATCTTTAGCTAATTGTTTGAGAAAGTGTTTTCCAAATAAATCATTTTTACACTTTCCCAGTGATTTTTTGTACCTCTTATCGGAAAGTACATCTACTGACTCAGGCATTGTTTTAGCTAAAACTGCTTTACGCCTATCAGTATTGTAAAGGAAATGAGAATTTCCTACAAACATAATTGCTCTTTGGACAAACTGAATCACATCAGAAGGGTCCATACCCTTGCCCGTTTTGCCTATTCGTTCTGCCTCGCTCCATAAAACGGAAAGTGGCCCTAAAGCATCTAGAATTCTCATCTGTGTATTGATTTTATTTTTCTCTAATTTGCCATTCCATTTTTTCCCCTTGAAATAAATTTTCTTGAAAAATCTGTCCAAAGACAAACCCCGAAGCTTTTTTGAATTAGGTATAGGACAAATCTTTGCAACATTTTGTCTGTTCTTTTTATTGATTCCTTTAGTTGCGTACTTAGTAACAAAATTAAGTATCTTTTTAGAAATTTTTGGTTTAGATTTTGTGCTATCAGCGGAACACAAAAACAAATCAGAATCTGAATCAGACTCGGAACTAGAGCTTGACGAGCTTGAGGAACTAGAGGAACTAGAACTAGAGGAGCTGGAACTTGATTCATTTGAGGACCTGCTCTTTTTACGTTTTTTTGAGCTCGACTGTGTTCTATTAGAAACGTCGCCAGACTTACTTTTTGCATTTCGAATTTGCTCCGACGACCACTGCCGCCGATAATCATCCTCTGTTTTGTCCGCTACAGAGACATGTTCTACTTGAGAGTCCTCCGACTCATCTACCTTATTGTTATCACTCTCTTCCGCCTCTGCGGGTGAGCTTTCCTGTTCTTCATTACTTTCATGACGTGCCGGCGTTGCCTGTCCAGGACCCGGCGAACGAAGTTGGGCATTGGCCATTCGAACACGAAAACACGTGTACTCACTTGGCGAGCTGAATTGAAAGTCATCGATTATATCTATCGAGCAGATGGGGTTTACCTGAGGCATGCGCAGTAGGTTTTCATACCTGAGTAGTTTTTATCTATTTATGGGTAGTCATACTTTAAAGAGCTGTTATTTTAGTGTTGAATTGAAGGTCAATGCATTATTATATCTCACGGAAATATTTGAAATATAATTAAAATTAATAGAATATCTTTAACAGTAGTGTTAAAATGTTTTGTTGTGCTCATTAGAAGAATTAGTAACTTTTCTAAAACAAGAACAAGGACTTTTCAGATGCTAAGCTTTTTGAATAGTTCAATTGTTAAATGCTTTAATATCAGTAATTTGAAAATTAGTGATTGATGGATGAGGGTTATGCCAATTCATGTGATTGTATATATAGAAATACACTTAATCTATAGGTATATATCTAATAAATTGACACCCTGGTTTATTTTCAGTTATTTCCCAGTCTCAGCCACTCAGGAAATGCTGGATGAATGGCGACCACTTCTCTGTCCATTTGACGTGACCAACATAAAGGCCATTCACTACTTTGAATATTTCTTGCCAACCGATCTACTTCCTGAAAACCATGATAAAGGATTCAAGTGAGTTTTATCACTTTGTAAACAACCTGAATGCTTTAACAATGTAAACAATACATGTTTACATGATACATGTACATTAAATTTCAGAAAACTTGGTTTCAACTTTGAAATCTTTGTTTATCAAAATCAATGCACATAAATCTTTATAATTCTAATTAAACAGAGCAATTGAAATTAATATTACCCTCTATAACTTTAACCTTGATCTTCTAAGGACAGGGTTCCTTTTTTCCCCAAAATGTACTCTTGATTTCTTGAACCTTATTCTCTGGAAAATAGAAATCTTTCAAAGTATTTTACACTACTTTATAGAATTATTACAGTTAATGATCACGCCAAGCCATTCACAAACCACATAATTCTGCATAATGGAATTCCCTACCTGTCTAATTGTTAGATGGGTTAATTGGATATTCAGTTAAGTCTTACTTCAAATGTAGATACACAGTTAGTGGATTAGTTAATTGATTTAAATATTGATTAGATTGGAAGCTTATCTTTTTTCAAAGTAGAAAAAAAAGTTTAATATACATTTAATTTTGAAAAATGTATGCTACAGTGTTGAAACACATTGAGGTGTTTAATTTTGTAAACAAAAAAATTCTTCAAAAATATTTATACATATATTTACTCATTTCCATGAACAGAAAAAATAAATTTTATTGAAAATATTCCAAATTAATTTTAAAAAATATAGGAATGAAATATGATTAAACAATTGTACTTTACATGTAGGATATAAACTGATCTCCATTCTGGAAAAATGTCATTTTTTTGACTCTTGCTTTAATGAACTATCAGTCTATAAAAAGGAGACTCTAGATTAGAGGTGTCTCCTTATATGTAAGTAGACATTATTAAATTTTTTAATGAATTCTATAAAATGTCAGCTCTGAAGATAAACTTCCTTGCAGGTTGTGGCTGGACGAGTTTCTAAACATGTGGCACTCTTACCAGAACGCACCAACATGGGAGGCAGTAAGTATGGCTGGAGTATAGGAAAAATAATCCTCTGGGAGAAGATAACTCTAACATTGAGTTTCTTCCAGGAAATTTTCATCTTCAGTATTGGTCTCATAATTTTGCTGGGCTTGGTATAGTAAATTTGCTGGAAATGTCATTGTTAGCTCCTTGATAAAAAAAGATGTCATATGTAATTGCTGGAAAATTCCACTTAATAGAAAGCAAAGGTCTTTCTTTCTGAAATTTAAGAATGTGATTGCAACAAAAAGCTTACCATTATACATTACTAAAATAATCCACATTTTTCTGTTGCTAGGGTTTGGTAAGGTTGTTTGCACGACTGGCACACGACACCATCGGCTACATTGACTGGTCTCCACATGTTTCCATGGTAAGCCTCTACCAGCTATTTAGAATTTATATGTTACCATGAATTATTCCCCTATATTTGTTTTTTAAAATCAATAAGATTACAATGGCATCATTTCTGATATTTGTTTCCAGGTTTTTAATCGCTTCATGAGGAGTTTCAATCTGCCAGTGGGTATGCAGAAAGTACAAGTAGGTCGCTCTAACAATACATATGACATTGGTGCCACCGTAACCTGGATAGTGTCCATGATGGTAAGATTTGTCCTTTATAATTCAAAAATTGTCTCTTTCTTCAGGAGGAGAGTATTTTGAGTAATTTTATGATTGTCCATTGCAGGGTGGACCCAATGGTAGCTTGGTACAGGATCACATTGACAGCTTCTTCAAGGCTCTGCAGTCATTTTTTCACCCATCAAATCTTGGAAAGTGGAATGTAAGTTTATCCAGAAGATCTTTTAGAAGGTACGAAGCTGCTGATTTATTTGTATGAATAAATAATTTTACTAACAGTAGATTCGTTTTTCAGATTAAGCTGAGTGGTCTTTTGATGAATTTTCCCAAACTGGTTGTAAAGAGAATACACAGGTATCTTTTCTTAAAAGTAAATTCAATTCCAAGATGGGAACCTTTTCTTCAAGTTCCATTTTTAGCCTGTGTTTAAATGGTTGAATGTATATAAACTAGGCTTCTTTTGTTAAGGGCAGATAACTCTGCAAAAAAATAGCTTCAAGATTATTTTAAGGTGGATAAAAATACAACACTGTGAAATTTTTCCAGTATACAATATCTTTACAATGTTAATTATTCAGAGAAAGATACAAGAAGAAGGACTGGCTAACAGAGATTCCTCCGGACTTTAAACTGAAGGATTCAGAGATCACTAGATTTGTAAAGAGCATGCAGCCTGTGGTGTCCGTGTCAATGTTCAGTAAATACGGCAGTCATGATTCAGCGGTGGCATTGAGACACCTGTCTAACATGAGGCCTGAGCTCATCATTCCAGATTTATTAGAGAAGTATGACTTCATACTGAGTTTTCACCTTTATTTAAAAATTGTATCCTTGATTCAAAATACTAAAGCATTACATTTTGATGATAGTGATAGATTTTGTAAGTAAATTTATTATAAATGATTATAAATGTTGATTAATTTGATAACCTATTGAATGAAATGTATTCAGTTCAGGAATAAAACTCTAAATTTTACACGTGTATATATATTTACACTGAACATGTCAATTTCTGATTTAAAATGGGTGACAATAAAGAGTCCTTTTCTGCCCTTTGATAGGATGTATCCAGCTATGGAGAATCTGATTGAGCCGCACCGCCTGATCGCCTGTATGAACTGTGTGGTGGCGGTGTCCCGCTCAATGCTGAGTGCCAGAAAATGGTATCCTGAGGGCCGTTCCCATGTCCTCCCTCTTCTGAACCTCGCTCTTCCAGGAATCGACCCCAATGACTTCAAAAAGTGCCTGGTCACCTTCCAGATGATTTCTACTTTTGTGGCGCAGGTTCCCATTGTTGACTGCTCAGAAGCTGTATTCATCAGGGATGACCTCTCTGAAGTACGTAAAGTATTCAACATCACACACACACAAGGCAGGAAATAGAAAATTTATTTGTTTCCCCTTTTCAACTGATTGATTATTAAATCTGACCTGTTTTTTATATATATATTTAGAAGCTGAATCTTTGAGGTTGAACGTTTTTTTTTTTCAATTTTCTTTTCTTCAGTTATTGAGTGTGTGTAAAGCCATATTAGATACTGTTAGTTTAACGATGAACTTTTTTTTAAGAGTTTAACAAAAAGAATTTTGCTTCAAACAAACATACATATAACTAATTATAAATCAAAATGTGGAGTTCAAAATTTTTATTGATCTTTTAAATCCCAGGAGGAGAAAGAGTTATGTTCAGCCACAGCTCAGTTTGAGGACTTTGTACTGCTTTTCTTGGACAGGTTTGTCATTAGTTAATGCTTAAAAAACATTTCAAAAATCTCTTTAAAATATGACAGTTCTGTCTATAAAAATTTCTGGATAATGTCCTTGGCTATTTTAATCTTCTAGAGTGTTTGCCCTGATTGAGAACAGCACCCAGGAACACACTCACGGTGATCCGACTCGACTAAACCCAGAACAAACCATGATGGAGGTAGCACTGTCCTCCACATTCACCTCTGTGCTTCTCCAATGTTCCACGCCTATATATGAGGTAAAACAACCTCCCACAGCAATTTTTTCTATAAGGAGAGGGAACGAATAGTGTGAAAATTACTGTTTTGATGACAAATTAGTTATGTCTCATTTCTTTTACAGTCGGCTCTGTCACGTTTATACAACTTTATCACCACCAGTGTGTATGAAACCAATGTTGGGGGAAGATTTGCAGCAAATCTCTGCAGGGCAGCAGCTAAGGTATTCTATGAAAACCCAGATATTTCAACCTAAAGCTAATAAAACTGAAGTACAGTGAATGTATAATTCTTAAATGTGAGTTGCATGATTGTACTTGTACTTGTATCATGCAATAATTTTTAGAGATCAATTGTTTTTATTTTACTTTACAGGCAAATCCAAAAAGAGCAGTGGAAAAATTTTTACCTCCATTTTGTAAAAAGATTAAAGATCTAATGGCTGAACGTAAGTAACATAAATTCTAATGGACGGGATGGGTGCTTGTTTTGAAGTTGAATGTTTGAATGATCAGAATTGTTTGATTATAAACTATAGAATTAATCAAGTACTTGAAAGTGGCCTAAAAAATCCTTGTCTTTTATTTTTAAAGGTTTTCAATGTGATTTACAATTAATCAAGAAAAAAAAAATATCTGAAAGAGACATCTGAAATTTTCTTATGATTAAAGAAGGGTTACTAAGTGTTTCCATTATGAGATGTTAAGAAATGACTATGTTACCTTTCATTGTAGATGAAGAATACAAAACAGAAGAGCATCTTGATGATGGATTTTTGTGGAATCTTCTCATGCTGTCACAGGTCTGAATCCATGTCATATTGGCATTTGATAACCTGGATAATTAATATTTGTTATTTGTTTGGTCAGAAATAAAAACTTGAACATCGTCATAGTTCCATGTACATGTAATTTACACATGAAAGAAGCTGAACTGTTCCTCTACACTTGTAGCTTGTCAGATGTAATGGTGAAGCTCTACTGCCATACAAGGATCAGCTGTTAGAAGTACTACAGATGACCCTCCACCTGAAGTGTGTCCAGGGATATGAACTATCCTGTCAGCTGATGAGGTACACACTAAGGGCCTTAACTCTGCACTTCCCTCTGGACTATAGGAGTGTGGCGGGGTCTTTTGACAGACCCGTGTCAGAGTACCTGGCTATCAATGTAAGTGAGCAAATCAAAGAGAGGTCAATACATCAATAATAATCAATGACAGCCGTTTAGTCTGTTATTCAGTTGCCTTACACATATTCCCCATAAAGATATGTTAACTTGATTGCTGCCATATATTAAAAATGCTGCAGTAAGAAGGAACGTCTAATTGATAAAGGAATATGCACAAAGCAAGATAATGGGGGGGGGGGGGGGGGGGAGTAATGGTTGCAAATAACAAAATGTGAAAAAATGTAGATTGAGTTAATTGATTTAACAGGACTGGGCTATACCTGGTGATATGGACGACTTGGGCATGAAGTGGCATGTTCCTTCAGCAGATGAAATTGAATTTGCACAGTCTCTGATGGACCATATACTACAGCCAGAATTAGAGAAAATCATGTCCTTATCATCATCAACTCAAATTGACAAGTGAGAATTACTCCTAATTATTTGTCCATTATACAAAAGACACCACTTTGAGAGTTTTCTCAAAGATCTGTGCAATTTTTAAGATTTTGTAGTATAACTTGTAGATTTAATTTTATGAACATTTTTATATTTGACAGAGAGGAGTTGTTGCGGAGACTAAGCATTATACTGGAGTGCCTGCTAGGGGCAGGGGCAGCACTTCCTGTCTGGAAATCAACCTCTGTTGATCTGTAAGGTTTTACTGAGTGTTAATATTAATTTCCTCAAGCATTTTTATACAAAGAACTGTCTACATGAGTACATGTATATGTGAATGCAAGTTTTATGTATTTACTGCATTTTATAGGTCCAGTCTGAATGTGAAAACACAAGTTCCTTTGGATCGATTTCGAGTTTCATCTGTAAAAGAATCAATAGGTAAGCTGTTTATAAGCAGTTTGCTGTACATATCTACTTGTATTCAACATCTTGATTGCATCAGATATTTGTTGTTTTTATTCCATTTGAGAACTGTGTATCTCCTTGTAATCAGTTGTTTTCATTTTTTATAGAAATTCAATATAAAGGTGCTAACTTAAGACTGGAGGTCATGAAAGCCATGAAACATTTGCTGAGTAAGTATGGGTCTCAGATCTTTTTTAATCTAAGGTCAGTTAAATTTTGTAAGAGGAAAAAAAAAAGTGCAACAAAGTTTTACTCTCCGACTACTAAAATACTGTAAAAACTGAATTTTTCTTATCAGACTACCTGATGGAGTGCACAGAGGATGACACAAAGAGCTTGTCCAAACTTATCAAGGTACTAGTATCCTTTATCACTCAGCCATTTTTATGCCCCCGGATCGAAAGATCCCGGGGGTATATTGTTTTTGTCCTGTCTGTCTGTTTGTCTGTTTGTTTGTCTGTCTGTCTGTTGTCAACTTTAACCTTGCCCATAACTTTTGATTGGTTGGAGCTATGACTTTCATATTTCACATGTGTATTCCTTGTGACAAGACCTTTCTTTGGGTACCATCATATTTGACCTTTTGACCTTGACCTTGGAGTTTGACCCACTTTTGCAAAATTTTATGAGACTTTAACCTTGGCCATAACTTCTGAACAGTTGGAGCTTGGGGTTTCAAACTTCACATGTGTATTCTTTGTGACAAGGCCTTCTTTTGGATACCAACCACTTTGACCTTTTGACCTTGACCTTGGACTTTGACCTACTTTTGAAAAACTTTAACCTTGGCCATAACTTTTGAACAGTTGGTGCTTAGGGTTTCAAACTTCACATGTGTATTCCTTGTGACAAGACCTTCCTCTGGATATCAATCTCTTTGACCCTTTTGACCTTGACCTAGGAGTTTGACCTACTTTTGAAAAACTTTAACCTTGGCCATAACTTTTGAATGGTTGGAGCTAGGGCTTTCATACTTCACATATGTAATCCTTATGACAAGACCTTCCTTTGAATACCAACGATTTTGACCTTTTGACCTTGACCAAGGAGTTTGACCTACTTTTGAAAGACTTTAACCTTAGCCATAACTTTTGAATGGTTGATGCTAGGGCTTTCATACTTCACATATGTAATCCTTGTGACAAGACCTTCCTTTGGATACCAACCACTTTGACCCTTTGATCTTGACCTAGGAGTTTGACCTACTTTTGAAAAACTTTAACCTTGGCCATAACTTTTGAATGGTTGGTGCTAGGGCTTTCATACTTCACATATGTAATCCTTGTGACGAGATCTTCCTTTGGATACTAACCACTTTTACCTTGACCTTGACGTTTGACTTTTATTTAAAAAACTTTAACCTTCACCATAACTTTTGAACAGTTGTATCTAGGTCTTTCAAATTTCACAGGTGTTTTCCTCGAGACAAGATCTTTCTTTGGGTATCAACATTTTTTATCTTTTGGCCTGGATTTTGACTTGCATTCGAGAAACTTTAACTTTCAACATAAGCTACCATACGGGGGCATAGTGTTTCACAAACACATCTTGTTGTATCATAAAATTAAGTTGGGAATCATCAGTCTGTCCATCCATCTGTCCAAGCAGTCTTGTCCAGACCCTTACTTTTTAATACAGTAAAGAAACATTAGTAGCTCAATCTCGATACATATATTGTTTATATCCCAGGCTCATGACCTTGACTCAAGGTCATATGAACAAGTTCAAGATTACTTTTAGAAAAAGGTGTAAAATTGGAATTTTTGATTAACATTCAACTCCTGTCTGGAATACTGCTCACAGTACCTCTAGCTCTCAGTTTTCTTTATGAAACCTCCATAAACTGATGTATACCTATATCTTTTTCTGTGCTGAATATTCTCTCTTTCATTACAGATCTATGAGACTATCTTGTTTTTCTATGGTGCTAGTAAACAGGACTTTGATGCTCGATGGAAGAGTTTACACTCAGTTAAAGATGCCCTAGAGGATAAGGTGTGATTTAATAAAAAGATTTCAAAATTTTGTCATAGAGTTTTAAAGAAAAGGTAATAATGAAACCTATTTACATGTGTAATACTTAGATTGTTTAAATCCTTGTACACATGTAAAACAGAATTATTTTTCTGTAAACAATGAACAAGGCCATTTACATATACTAATCTATATACATGTATATGTGCATGTATATTTTTTTAATGTAGTTTTGGATTATTTCTTCTCTAGATGCGGGATAGAAGGAAACACATCCGAGCCTTATTAGTAGACAGAGTTGTTCTACAACAAGAGGTAGGACTTCTGTTCTCTGAAAGTCTATCTAAATTGTTGTCATTGAAGAAATCTGTGAAAATGTACCTTAAGATATGTAACGTTTGTTCTGTAAAGTTTAGGTGAGATGATTCAGCTGATTCATTTTTCAGATCACATTTAGCTGCAATAATGTAGACTGTCTCCGATTTTTTATCCCCCCCCCCCCCCCCCAAGAAAAAAAAGTATGGAGAGGGCTACATGATTGCAGCAAGCAAGAATTATACTTCATTATATATCTATGTACATGTATTTGGACAGATGAGGATGCTGTATGGTCTCTCTGGCTACACGGACCATCACCAGGATATTCTGTGTGACCTTTATAACTTGGCTGTCAGTAAATATGCTGAGGTGGGTGATCACTAGTGATGTACATTGTAGGATCTCAGTCACTGTGCTGTTGTTTCATCAGTTTTTACAGGAATCAAATTTTGGGATATTGGCCAAGAAAAAAACCTTTTTCATTGATAAATGAATTTGTGGATAGCTACAAACATGTATACCTAGTTCTAGTCTAAAATACATGTAAGTTAAATTTGTAGTTATTTGTACTCCTGATTTCTTGGGTCTGGCCCAAACATTAAAACACCAAAAATTGAATATTCAATGAAAAGGGATGAAATCACAGTCTATTCAATGGCTATTGATATTAAAGTGAAATCCAAACAGAATAAAAATGTTTATTTATTGTAGAATACACTGTGATTTCAGCTCAGTGATTGTTGTTTTGTTGACAGGTGAGGAAGAAGGGTCAGGCCGTTCTGATGCAGTGTTTTCTGAACTTTCCCTACTGCTACCGGTGCCTGCTGGACAGGATCTCAGACAGCCTCATACAAAAAGAAACTCCCGAAAAACAGTTCAAGGTAAGACACTCCCAAAAAACAGTTCAAAGTAAGACACTCACGAAAAAACAGTTCAAAGTAAGACACTCTCAAAAAATAGTTCAAATCAAGATACTCCCAAATAAAACAGTTCAAAGTTAGATACTCCGGAAAACAGTTCAAAGTAAGGTACTCCTGAAAAGCAATTCAAAATAAGAGTAGATGCAGATTGGCTAATATGCAGTTTTTTTTCCTTAGCCTGAAATTTCACATATTTGTTATATTAAATATGACTTGTTTTGACTCCATGATTTATTTCCATGTCCTGCAGGTGAAAATTTTTATCCTGTAATATGGCCATTGCCTTATACACCCTTAATATTAGGAATCATCAATTATTGTATATATTTAAAATACAGTGTATATTTGGTTGATCAGACTTACAGATGGGAAGAGAAAGCTGAGTCCTATGTGATATTGATCAACCCAATATACTGTATACAGGGTTATTTTCTCTCCATGTTATATTGGCTCTTTCACACTTGCATACAAATTGGCCTCATTTTAAATTTGCCCAGTTATGGTTCTTTTTAAAGAATTGTACTGTTTTCTCTGACTTCACCCCGTCTTAAATTCGCCCACTTGTGTCTATGGCAAAAGGGGCGAAAATGAAATGGAGGTGAAAATTTCCTTGTATGCAGTATTTCTGTAGACAAACATAATAAGTAATAATATCATAAGTCAAAGGAATCTGTGGTTTGCATATGGTAAATCAACAGTATTTTTACTTTGTAGGGAGTATTGTATGTTGTCCTTGGCAGTGGTAAGAGGTGTTTGGCGACCAAGAGAAGTTGGGAGGTGATTTGTCAGTTATGGCCGGCTATTGTGCAGGCCCAGCAATCGGAGAAGCCGTCAATTTTACGGGTAGTGGATGACATCATAGCAAAAGTCAGCAAGAATCTAGAAAGTCCAGGAATTGAAATCAAAGTAAGTTAATTTATTTATAGAGTACTTTTCTGGCTTTTTTGTATTTGCAAAAGATATTTGTGTTAATTTTTAGGTCACCTGAGTCACTCAGGTGACCTATTGCTATCCGTTCTCGTCCGTCGGCGTGCGTCGTGTGTTAACATTTGAACATTTTTAGCTTCTTCTCTGAAACCGCTCAACCAATTTCAACCAAATTTGGCATATAGCATCTATGGGTGAAGGGGAACAAAAATTGTGAATTTCATGGTCCCTGCCCCCCTGGGGCCTGAGGGGTGGGGCTAAAACCACCAAAAATAATGCAATCTTTAAAAATCTTCTTCTTTACTCCAGGACATCAAGCAGTCAAACTGTTGGCATCATTGTAACAAGCATTGAGCCCTCTACCAAAATTGTGAAATTCATGGCCCCAGTGTCAGGGGTTCTGGCCCCAGGGTGGGGCTATGTAGATCATATAGTGAAAGTGCATTATTTCTTTGAAAATCTTCTTCTCTGCTCCTGGGTATTAAATAAAGTAACTAAGTACATAGTTATGAAGAGCAAGAGTGCCTCTTCCAAAATTGTGAAATTCATGGCCCCTGGGTCAGGGGTTCTGGTGTTAGGGCGGGGCTCTATTGATTATATAGTGAAAATGCATTAATTCTTTGAAAATCTTCTTCTGTGCTCCTGGGTATTAAATAAAGTAACTAAGTACATAGTTATGATGAGCAAGAATGCCTCTACAAAAATTGTGAAATTCATGGCCCCAGGGTCAGGGGTTCTGGCCCCAGGGTTGGGCTAAATAGATCATATAGTGAAAGTGCATTATTTCTTTGAAAATCTTCTTCTCTGCTCCTGAGTATTAAATAAAGTAACTAAGTACATAGTTATGAAGAGCAAGAGTGCCTCTTCCAAAATTGTGAAATTCATTGCCCCTGGGTCAGGGGTTCTGGTGTTAGGGCGGGGCTCTATTGATTATATAGTGAAAATGCATTAATTCTTTGAAAATCTTCTTCTGTTCTCCTGGGTATTAAATAAAGTAACTAAGTACATAGTTATGATGAGCAAGAATGCCTCTTCCGAAATTATGAAATTCATGACCCCAGGGTCAGGGGTTCTGGTCCCAGGGTGGGGCTATATAGATCATATAGTGAAAGTGCATTATTTCTTTGAAAATCTTCTTCTCTGCTCCTGGGTATGAAATAAAGTAACTAAGTACATAGTTATGAAGAGCAAGGATGCCTCTTCCAAAATTGTGAAATTCATGGCCCCTGGGTCAGGGGTTCTGGTGTTAGGGCGGGGCTCTATTGATTATATAGTGAAATGCATTAATTCTTTGAAAATCTTCTTCTGTGCTCCTGGGTATTAAATAAAGTAACTAAGTACATAGTTATGATGAGCAAGAATGCCTCTACCAAAATTGTGAAATTCATGGCCCCAGGGTCAGGGGTTCTGGCCCCAGGGTGGGGCTAAATAGATCATATAGTGAAAGTGCATTATTTCTTTGAAAATCTTCTTCTCTGCTCCTGAGTATTAAATAAAGTAACTAAGTACATAGTTATGATGAGCAAGAGTGCCTCTTCCAAAATTGTGAAATTCATGGCCCCTGGGTCAGGGGTTCTGGTGTTAGGGCGGGGCTCTATTGATTATATAGTGAAAATGCATTAATTCTTTGAAAATCTTCTTCTGTTCTCCTGGGTATTAAATAAAGTAACTAAGTACATAGTTATGATGAGCAAGAATGCCTCTTCCGAAATTATGAAATTCATGGCCCCAGGGTCAGGGGTTCTGGCCCCAGGGTGGGGCTATATAGATCATATAGTGAAAGTGCATTATTTCTTTGAAAATCTTCTTCTCTGCTCCTGGGTATTAAATAAAGTAAATAAGAACATAGTTATGATGAGCAAGAATGCCTCTTCTGAAATTGTGAATTTCTTGGCCCCAGGGTCAGGGGTTCTGGCCCCAGGGTGGGGCTATATAGATCATATAGTGAAAGTGCATTATTTCTTTGAAAATCCTCTTCTGTGCTCCTGGGTATTAAATAAAGTAACTAAGTACATAGTTATGATGAGCAAGAATGCCTCTTCTGAAATTATGAAATTCATGGCCCCAGGGTCAGGGGTTCTGGCCCCAGGGTGGGGCTATATAGATCATATAGTGAAAGTGCATTATTTCTTTGAAAATCTTCCTCTGTGCTCCTGGGTATTAAATAAAGTAACTAAGTACATAGTTATGATGAGCAAGAGAGCCTCTTCCAAAATTGTGAATTTCATGGCCCCTGGGTCAGGGGTTCTGGTGTTAGGGCGGGGCTCTATTGACTATACAGTGAAAATGCATTAATTCTTTGAAAATCTTCTCCTCTGCCCCTGGGCATTAGGGTGATAAACTAAGTACATAGTTATGATGAGGAGGTGGGCCTCTTCCAAAATTGTGAAAGCCATTGCCCCTGGGTCAGGGGTTCTGATGTTAGGGCGGGGCTCTATTGATTATATAGTGAAAATGCATTAATTCTTTGAAAATCTTCTTCTCTGCTCCTGGGTATTATTTAAACAAACAAAGTGCATGGTTATGATGCATAAGGATGCCTTTTAAAAAATTGTGAATTTCATGGCCCCAGGGTCAGGGGTTCTGGTGTTAGGGCGGGGCTCTATTGATTATATAGTGAAAATGCATTGATTCTTTGAAAATCTTCTTCTCTGCTACTGGAGATTATTTAAACAAACTAAGTGCATGGTTTTGATGCATAAGGATGCCTTTTCAAAAATTGTGAATTTCATGGCCCCAGGGTCAGGGGTTCTGGTGTTAGGGCAGCGCTCTATTGATTATATAGTGAAAATGCATTGATTCTTTGAAAATCTTCTTCTCTGCTACTGGAGATTATCTAAACAAACTAAGTGCAAGATTATGATAGGCAAAGATGCCTCTTCCAAAATTTTTAAATATATGGCCTTAGTTTTTGGGGTTCTTGAGGAAAGGGGGGGGGCTCTATTGATTATATAGTGAGAAAGCATTAATTCTATTAATTAATCAGTAATTAATCCTGTCTGCTCCTTAGTGTTGAGCTGATAAATAAATTGCTTAGCTATGATGAAAATGGGAGCTTCGAACAGAATTTTTAAATCTTGTGGTCCTAGGGTCAGGGGTTCTGGCATAATGGGGGGGGGGGGGCTTTTGAATTTCTTGACCCTTGGTCTTGGGTTCTGGTGTTAGGGTAAGGCTTTGTTGAATCTGTAGTGAAAATGCATTGTACCTGTGAAATTCTTCTCTGCTTCTGGGCATATCGGAAGAAAACTGAGTAAAAGTTTAAATGATATAAGTAAGCGTATTTCTACGAGATTTTTGAACATCTGGACCATTTGTCTAAGCATTCTAGTCCTGGGCAGGGCTCTATTAATTTGTATTCTACTGAGAGAAGTTATTCCCCTTTTCCGTTCACCTTTAATAATTAATCACTGTAAATAATGTATTTGAAAGGTTAATAGAATAAGATAATTATGCAAGAATGTTTATCATATAATTCAAAAAGTATTTTCTTAGTTTTAATAATCAGGTAGACCTGTAAGTAATAGATAAATAAAAATGAGACAAAAATAACTTATCTTATTAAAAGGTCTTCAAAGACCATAAGAGAGGTCAATGCTAGAGGTCTTAATATGGGTTTAAAAAGAGTACAGAAGCACTAATAGTTTGTTAATAGTCTGCATGGTGATAGTGTTAAGTGGGGGACAGGTTAGAACTTAATTTATGAGTTGATACTGAATACTAGACTAATTATTTTGTTGATCCTGATCTTCCTACTTCTCTTGCTTTAGGGCAACAAAGCTTCATCTATCAGTGTATTCAACTTCTAAATTGTTGTATTATACTCAGGTGACCGTTAAGGCCCTTGGGCCTCTTGTATTTTCTGATTTTTCTTTTCGTTACTGCAGAGTATCCATGTATTTTTACACAATCAGTAACATGCACATGTCCTTGTAAAATTTATGATATGAGGATGTCCCCACATTTTCTTGTCTGTATAATTTTCCTGTTTATAAATACTGTAGATTCCTAATTATACGCGAGGAATTAATTATTGCGTAAAACCGCGAGAAGCACCACTCGCGAAATAAAATTACTCCCTTTTATTTTTTTGGTGCTGAAATCCATGTAAAATCTCTTGGTCAACCGTCCATTCGCGAATTATTATTCTCGCGATTTGACGTTAAAGAGCCATTTTGCGATAATAAGTACTCACGAAAAATAAGGAATCTACAGTAGCAGGATTGCAGTTTATACCTAATGCTTTTTATTTATTTCTAAAGGTAACCTCCAGCTGTTTGGATGCAGCCCAGAAGTTACTGTCCTCTGGTGTTCCTGTATCAAACCCCAACACACTGACTGAGGGAGCCGACCTGCGGGGAGAGGAGTTCCAGAAGGAGTCCAATGAGGCCAACAGCAGGTTTGTCTTAATCATGTGGCCCTCTTACAAAATGTTACATAATTGATTTGAAGAATTTAATTTTATAACGAGAAATTTTTCTTACAGGATGTATGTAAAAATTGTAGAAGACCTTGTAGCATTAGTGAAAGGTGGAACATTGTAAGTATATATGTTTGATTTAATCTTTTGGGTTTATTTAAAGAATTTCTTAACACATGTACATGTAAATAGAGATTTTTAAAGTTCAGTGTTTTATATCTTTGTTTAAAAATTACAACAATGTATTTTTACTTTTTCATTTTGTGCTGGGGGGGGGGGATTAACATCAGCCAATACAGTATTTAACTTAATCTGTTATTTTCCAATTTCTATGACATCAGGATGTGGAAGTTCAGTCAGTACGCTGTAGAACTGTTAACACTCTTACTGCGACATGATGTACCCACACCTCCTGTAGCTGTGGAGCTTTTTGTGTCCAACCTCATACATGACTCCTTATACATCAGAAAGGTACATTGATATGCATGCAGAAATATTTTGTTGAATTCTTTTGATTTGTGTGAGAGTTAATTTTCAAGAAGTAACAAGATAAGATTTTGTTGTCATAATTCCATAGGTAATATTTCTTCATGAAAGATAAATCCTACGATCAATATTTGTTGAGGTTGTATATTCATGGGTAAGGGCCACAAAATTATCAAGTATTGGATCTAATGAAAAAATGTGTACATAGGAAAGACAGAGAAATTCATAAACAAGATCATTGGCTGAATTCTCTCCCTTTAAGACTACATCAGAAGTTTCTCCTACATGTTATGGTTTTTATTTTATCTTCAGCTGTCAACGGCCTCGGTATCAGCCATTCTGAAGCAACAGAAAAGAAAACACAAGAAGGTGGTGGTGGACCCCTACAGGAGTGCCCCACCCCCTCCCGCTGGGACCTTCCTCCCTGGGAATCGTCCGGATAATGATTGGATCATGTACGACTCCAGCCGGCTTCCGGACAATCAGGAGAAATGGGAGGCCATGGAATTCGTGGACAAAACTCACTGGGGATACTACTGCTGGCCAAAGTATGATTTTAATTTTTAACTCTGTTGATAATAATTAATTGATCATGATCATTAAATTATTTCTCTTTTGAATTCCAAGGTTAATTACACCATATTCCAGTCTCAGTCCAAATATATTTCCACATAACTTAATCAAGCTTGGGTTTCTATCAATTCATATTTATTTTATTTATTTTTTTTAGTCCAAAGACCTAACTGTAGTAACACTGTTAATATGATTTTGACTATTGAATATTAATTAAATGAAATGAATTATGTCTGTTTACTTTAAATCTGTTGCAGAGAAATGAAAATTTACGCCCAGTATTCGGAGCAGCCAAAATTAGATCGTGTAGAATCAGAACTATTAGATATAGAAAAACCTATTTATGTGAAATTGAGTGACTCTGAGTTTGTGAAAAAGTTTATAGAAGTGCTTAGTTTAGAGGAGCATAAAGGAAGAGATAAATTCAGGAATAAACATCTAACCTTATTCAAGGTAGGTCTTGCACTTTAATTGACAAATTCTTTTTTGGGATTTTTTTTGTGTTTTTAAGGTGTAATATCCCTCTGATAAGAGAGATAACTTTCCAAGGAAATTAATCCAAGGAATTTAATGAGTTGTCTTAACAGAGTTTAATAATGAGGACCAGTATATAGTCCACCCATTAAAGGCTGAGCTATGTTACAAATATTATTTCTATTTTCTATATTTTTATTAATTACTTATACAGACCCTGAAACGTGCTACTACCCCACACGCTCGCTGCACGAACGGTACACGCTCGCTACACGGTTTGCACGAAACGCTGCACGGTTTACACGAAACGCTACACGGTTTGCACGAAACGCTACACGGTTTACACGAAACGCTTTGCACGAAAGGCTGCACGGTTTACACGAAAGCCTGCACGAAACGTTTGTACACGTTTCTCACACGCTTTGTACACGATTCTCCCACGCTTTAGCCTCGATCTGGATTTTCTATTCGGAATCTCTCGGACTTTATTTAAATTATTACGGACTAATCAAAGATTAGTTAAGAATTGCAATCATTCTGATTAAGATTAAACCTCGCTACACCAGTACTATATTAACAGATAAAATACTCAATGTTCAGATGTAATTAATTAATAGTTGTCATTGAGTCTGTGACCCGTCCGGTGAAATGCCTATCATCGTCTATGTTCAAACCTTTTTTATTAGAATCTAAATTACGCACTGAAAAAAAAAAATATTTGTAATTCATAATCCTTTACAGCATTCAATGTTTTTACAGTTATAGTTTGATATTAAAAAGTCATTTTTATTACTGACAAATAAACTCAGTTATTGATTTGAAAAAAAAAAATGATTAAATTGTGTATGATTTCTGTAAACGGATTGATTTTCTTTTCCTTTCTTTTTTTTTTAATTATTGATTTATTCATTATTTAATTTAGTAAATAAATAATTTTATTTGATTAAATTAGGTTCTGCTTATAAGTTGCAAAGGTAATAAGTACACTGCATCAAACATGAACATTGTGCGTGAAAAGGGGAGGGGGGTAGATTACCGGGATCTTACTTCTGTTCCTGGCTAAATATAACAGGCACTTGTTTCAGTAAGTATACCATTGGAAAAAAATTATTATAGAAACAAATGCTCGTTCTAAAAAAAAAAGATATCCATATCTCCAGCGGCACCCGATATATGTAACTCATTAAATGCACTTTATTCAGAATGGTAAATATATTGTTTCATTACAGAGTTGAACTTTAATTTATCATAAAATTTTATATGGTAGAGAAGCCGGGGGATAGGTACTGTAATTCTTTAGTTCTCTTTTGATGCATTGTGTTTATCAAATAAAAACAATATATCCACCACCTTGTAAAATCCTCGATTTCAAACCCCGTCTAGCCAAAAAAAAAAAAAAAAAAAAAATGTAATCAATAGTCGCGGCTCTTAACGATACATTCAATATACATGTATACATGTCCAATGACCAAAAACTAAATAATTATGCTCTAGAACTGCGTGATTAATAAAACAACTAATGCATAATTATTCAGGATTTATTTCTTTATAATTTTTTTATTCACGAATACACTGGCAAATTAATTCACTGTGTACAGAGAATCAGTTAAATTTAAGAAATAAAATCCCCGGGTATTTATTTGTACCAATTAAATACTAATGAAACAATTTAATTCATGAATTAATGTCGGTTTTCATCTTAGCCATGATTGACAAGAGCTAATATATGTAGCAGAACACGTTTTCAGTTCCCAGCACGCGGAGCCCGTGACCGCTGTTGTAAATAACCTTGATCACAGTCGTAAGAAGAGTGTTGGAAGTGTAAAGAAGATTCCAAAATACTTTTAAGAGGTGCATCGGGCATCTTCAAAAAGTAAATTATTCATAAAAACATGTTAACAAAAACTCTAAGTTTGTGTTTTCGTTGAACACCCCCACCCCGGAAATATTTAACCCTATATTTGCCGATGCATGTGAATTATGATTCCTTTATATGACAATTATAAATCAACCAATGTTATGCATAAAAAGACTATAAATGACTCATTGTTTCAAAATTATTTGTATCACAATCTTGTAATATAAGAAAATTTTGTTCTTTTATAAAGAAAAAAAAAATTAATTGTGTTCCCCGGCCTAGAATTCCCATACTCCACATTTATACCAACGCACTAAATTTTGTGTTTTATTTTTCACGCCTGCCTTATCTATCTATTATTTTGTATTAATCATCCATATGTTCTTGTAATCTCTATATGCCATAATTATAAAATGATGAAGAGATTCTAATAAATAAATGAAAAGGACAAGACCAGTATTGAATCAAATGCATTAACATTGATGTGCATATAATTAATTACTTTTAACACATTTTCTTTCCATCTTTATTTAAATAAAAAAAGAAAAAAAAAAACAATTATGTAATACATTACCGAGTAATTTAATTTTGTTGTTTCCGTATTTTTTTTTCTTAAAATACCACCGGTATGATATATCCGAATAATATTAGTTACAAACAACACAGAATGACATGTTAATCCATCAATAGCCATATTTAAAATAAAATAAAATAAAATGACTTCCGAATGAATCCTACACGTTTCTCACACGATTCTTGCACGAAAGTCGCACGTTTCTCACACGGTTCTTACACGAAAGTCGCACGCTTCTCGCACGCTCGCTACACGGTTTGCACGAAACGCTTTGGAGCTTACACGAAACGCTGCATGGTTTACACGAAACGCTACACGGTTTGCACGAAACGCTGCACGGTTTACACGAAACGCTACACGGTTTGCACGAAACGAAAAGCGCACGAAAGTCACACGCTTTTTTGGGGTAGTAGCACGTTTCAGGGTCTGTAATAGTTTACCTAAAACATTTATACTCAGTTCCATTAAATTGTTAGAATTGAGATATTTCTATCTTTTAACATAAAATTCTTTTAATTGTTACAGAAATTTCAGATGCAGAATTTTTATAATCAATGAATTTTTTTTTTTTACTAAAAAAATATTTTGAATTACGTTAACTCCTGTAGATGAATGCATTTTTATTCTACAAGCACGGAAAACAATGTGATATTCTGAGTTAAAAAGCAACGCTTCATTATGTTCTCTAATGTGAATTAGATAGGTATGATAGTAAATGTTATTTTCATATATACCTCATATTTTTAATTTTATGGTGAGATAAAAAATTATTGATCTTTCTATTCACCATATTGAATTTTTTTCATATCATGATTAGACATAATATTCATATCTGAAAAAGTAAGCAGTGCTTCATACTTCAACTTATTTTCCATTTGAATGTAATGCTGTTGTTGTTGAAAATCAATGTTGGGAATTTTAAAAAAAAAATTTGGAGCAGAGGGATATTTCACCTTAAAAGGTGAAAAGTTCCATCCATTAATCACATACATGTACATATACCACACAATAAAGAAGAAAATAATGAAATGTTAATTAAGAAGTGTGGACATGCTGTATTACATCTTTGCAGGCTTCTGAAGATGGCTGTTTTATTGAATTTCATTTCAAAAAATTCTTTTTATCCTTTAAATTGTTTTTGTTTTCTTTACTGTTTCAGGGTCTGTTTAGGAATTATGGTGACACGTTCCTCCCCCACTTCAGATCCCACATTGTGGAGCTGCTGTCGGACAGGAGCCACGAACACCACGAGAGTAAACAGAGGTGTGGCATGGAGATCTTAGCGGGGGTCATACGTGGCTCCAAACACTGGCCTTATGAGAAGGTAGAACATTGAGATTTCATTTAAAGTATTACCCATTTGTATAATGAATATTTGGAGCAAAATATCAGAGTGTTTGGGAGGATTTGAATATTCACTAGAGGACAGTAACACTTTGTTATCTCAAACTCAATGGGTTTGGGGGAAAAAAAATCCAAGATAATCCATAAAATCAAGATATTGATGTTGAAATACATTAAAAAAATGGTTGGGACATTTAAATTATGCTGACATACATGTATCCATGTTATTGGAGATGTAGATATCCAAGATACCAAAGTTTAACTGCACGTGTAAATGTTTGAACGAAGTTAACTCCAGAAGATAAGGTTTATGAGCTAAAGCCAAAACTTACATATAAGTACTTAATTGATTTTGTATATCAAATTTCTCTTTCATCTTGAATGTTTCTCACAGGTGAATGCCCTTTGGGACTGGGTAATCCCCATTTTGAGAACCTCTTTAGATAACATTACCAGTGAGACTCTGAAGGACTGGGGCACGTTCTTCACGGTCGTGTCTGAGAGTCGTGATCCCAGAAGACTGTATCGATTCTTCGAGATGCTAATGGATAAACCAATCAGGGAGGGATCATCCTCTTTTGAGGACTCCAGGTAAAAATGACAGTGAACTAAAACTTGTTATAAGGAAGTCCTTGTGGACATGAATTTTTAGTTCCCTATACATACAAAAAAGTTTTATGACTGATGGGGAAAAGATATAACTTTCTTATCACTGAGAGTTCCTTATATCCAAAGTTCCTTATACAGGAGTTTTACTGTAGTATAGAAAATTCCCAATAGGAAATCTTGTTAGAATATTACAGTTAATTTTACACAAGAGAGAGTTGGAGAGTTGATGAGTGATAAAATGTCCATACAGTTTTCACAAACATTTCAGATGACATTCTAGAACTGACAGATTACTTTTATATTTTGTAGCCGTCTTTTTGCTGTGCAGAATGCTTTAGTACAACAGGAATGGAGAGTTCCAGAAATCCTCCATCGTCTGTTAGAATTCCTGACACCGTACCTCTCCCACAGGTACAAGAATGTCAGGGACAGAATTGGGAGGTAAGAACCTGTATCTGATGTAGAAATTTGGACAGAGGTACAGAGTAGTACAAAAACTGTTGATGTTTTTTAATTTCTCTTCTTTGTTTTGTGAGATTTTTGATGGAACAATTAAGGTTCAATGACCGCTGATAAGAGAGATAACTCTTTCTGATAGAAATGACTATAATTCCTTCATAACAATGTGAAGTTAAGAGGCCATTTCTATTTTTTTTTGCCCTGCAAAAGGTTTGCATTTGGACTATAATTTAGATTTTTTGTCGAAAAATTAAGCAAAATTTTGTATTAATGAAAAGAAGATATATGAACCTTAAAATTCTTTTGGAAAATACCATCAATAAATCCTCTGTTTCAGCCTGCTGTCCAACATTATGCTGTATGACTACAGCATCACGGCGGGTTCCTCCACCAAATCTCCACATAGAGTGGACTTTGTCCAAAAGGTTATTCCACGGCTGGAACCGCTCAAAGACCTGGTGCTATCAGACAATGGGAATAATGGCAGCTCAAAGGGTAGGTTCTAACTCCATTAAGATTGGAGGAAAACCTTGGCTTGTAAAAGATGTAAAGGATTGAAAAACTGAAATCATATATTGCATTAATATTGTTTTGATTATTTTTTCTTATCTGAGCTATTGCAAGGAGGTGTTAAAAGTCTTTACGATGTATTTGAATTTTAACAGATGAGGAGAACCACAGAGAGATGTCTTCCTCCTCAGAGAAAATGGAAGTGGAGGATGATGAGGGTGAAGAGAGGAAGACAACAATAAGGCTGTGTAAAACAGGTGAGGAGGCTCACACACGACAGAAAATAATTCAACAATGACAAAGAAATCAATTAATTCTAATAATTTATCCCTTTCTTATTGTAGTGCTGAAGTGGATATCTGACGGTCTAGGTAGAATGTTTACCTCAACTACACCAGAGCTTTTCCTTTTTCTTCCAGTTGTAAGTATTATTGTGAGGAATGCTGAATGTGCAAGTCTATCTTTTTGTTAAATTGGTAAATATTTTCAACTGTTTAACCAGAGTGACGAAAAATATACTGAAAAACATTTCAAGGTCACTGAAAGAAAAAATGCATAATTCGTGTCCGATTCATATCTTTCTTATGGATAAACTTGGTGAGTTCCTTTTGCACAAAGATTGCTTATGCCCTGAGAATGTGTCATGACCTTGACCCAAGGTCATTTGTGCAAGTTCAAGGTCACTGACAGAAAAAGTTCATAATTCATGTCTGGTCCATATCTTTCTTATGGAGAATAATGTTGGGATGTTGGGATTTTCCACTTCACACAAAGTTTGCTTATGACTTGAGGGTGTGTCATGATCTTGACCTATAGTTATATGCCTGCCCAAAATTTTATAAGTTCATTACTATACCCCAATATATCTCTGCATGCAATACAACAAAAAAATAATATTTTCTTAGGGGGGGGGGATCATTTGTGACCTAGTTCACAGAACCTCTAGTTACATCTGTAATAGACACTTTGATGTTGAGATTCTGTATAATTGAATTTTCCCTCAGATTTGTACATTAGAGAGCGAGACTAAGGATGAGGAGCTGAAGACTGACTGTTCTATGGCCTTGGCCTGCTTCTCTCAGGCTCTGATTCAGGAGAACAATGTTACTGTGTGTCTGGAGACTATCAGAGAGGTGAGTTCAACAGACACAGGTCTAAAACAGTACATCTACAATTAAAGAAACTTTCAGATACAAAAAATGTAGAATCCATATTTTAAGTTCCTTCAATGCAAAACTATTGTTAAAGTAGTCAGGCTCTCACCATGATAAGAAGACATATTGTTGAATGGAGAAGAGTTTGAAGATTATGATAAAGTTGCAAGGACCTTAAGTGCCAAATTGATAAGAATGATGGAAGCTTTATTCCTAAAAATTTTTTTTTAATTTCTGTAGGTGATGGGACTGAAGTCATGGCATTCCCGTGTGGCAATTCTTGGCTACATCCAGGTTATGGTGTTCTGTAACCTATTTACTATGATCCAGTCAAAGTACAAAAAGGAAATCCAGAACTTTATACTGCATCTCATCTGTGATGACCAAGTAGAGGTAGGTTATATACAAAAACAAACGGCGGGGGGGGGGGGGGGGGGGGGGGGGGGGTTCAGAACTTTATACTACATCTCATCTGTGATGACCAAGTAGAGGTAGGTTATACACAGAAACAAACCAGGGGAGGGGAGGGGGGAGCTGTATGCATCTAATCTGCCATGACACGTAGAGGTAGGATATATACAAAAACAAAGTGAAGAACTTTATACTACATCTCAACTATGATGATCAAGTGTTTTCCTCTTGGCATGTTTTATTTGATATTAATGTAATACATAAATTAACAACAAATTTTTAACTGTAAAGCATCTTATTTGCAAATAGAACAATTTTTTTATTTTCTGTGGAAAAATAGGATAAAACTCAAAATATTAGAATAAGTAAGAGATAATATAAATCTTTCCATGCTGAAACCATACTTCAAAAGAAATAAGATCCATTAAATAAAATTTTGATGTAGATTTCTCCTTATGAACATTATAGTGATCGATCTCTGTGCTGTTTTATACTTATTATCCCCTTGCAATGGAGTTGAAAGGGATGTAGTAATGTGCTTGTGTGTGTGTGAGTGGGTTAGTATGTCCTTTGTGTAAAACGGAAATGACGCAGTTTGCATTAGGATCAAAGTCAATGAAATGCTGCCTTGATTTATAGAATGATATACTCTTTTCGAGGGGATGCTCCACTTTGTGGTGCCCTTGTTTACATGTTTCTTTGAGGGGAAACAGTTATCATTATCTTAGAGTGAATTATTATAAATTTTATAAGATAAATAATTTTACTGTAATAACAGTCAAAGATTTCACTTCAGATATTTGATTTTCTTCACTTCTTTGTTTAACAATTGAGCAACAAACAGATTGTCATATGTGTCTGTACACAGTCCCCGGGGATAACACACTCCACAGTCTATGTAACGGAGGAACTGTCCATCCTGGTCTATGATGTGGACACAGTCATTGTTATAATCAGATATAAGGATGTGACTCTGACTGTCTGTGGTGATTCCTCGTGGACTGAATGATTGGTTATTTGGAGCAGGAGTATGTCCAGTGTACCTGAATCTCAGTTTCCCAGCCTGATTGACCACCACTACTGCTTTAGCTCCATTGTCAGACACACAGATATCCAGGTTCTTGTTCTCAGTAATGTACATGTCTCTTAGATAATGAGAACTAGGTGAATAGAGAGGTTTACCTTTATCATCAAACTGAATGGTTTGTTTCTCTGTGGAGCCAGAGTAACAGACAACTTTTGTTTGTTTGTCATCATTACTGTTCATGATAACCAGGAGGTCTCCAGAGGAGGTAATACAGACACTTTTAGGTTTCCAGTTCTGTAGTCTGATCACCTCCTCTATCTTCTCATTCTTCACAATGTCCACAGTTCTATCTCTGTAATCAGTATAAACTAGATCTCCACTTTTTGTCACTGCTATGTTAGATGGTATGATCCCTGACTTGGTTCTGATTGACTTGAGTAGTGATCCCTGATTGATGCTGTAGAGTTTCATGGTGCTGTCAAATCCACTTGTCCAGATTTCTTCATCACTCAGACAGGCCACATTGTAAAGTTCTTTATACAGAGTGTCTATGGTGGTGACAGTCGCTGGTTCATCAAGCAGATGTTTGACTGGAGGAGAGGATCCAGCTTCTGGTGATTTCTGTGTTGTCTTCATGCTGTAGCCATGTTTATCTGATGTTAGAGAACTTGATGATAAGGCTCCAAACATTTTACTGAATTCTTCTCCTTGGATTTTTTCTGGATTGAATTTGGGTAAAGATGGTATAATTTTGTGTGGAAGATTTCTGTATGTGTGAACATTTGATGTGACACTAAATAGATTTGATATGTCATTAGTGTCTATAGTAATTTCAATTGAATCGATTTCATCCTTGATGTTCAGACATTGTCTTGTTTATTTCACCCAGATGTTTCTGTAGAGTTTGTAACTGTGTGTTTTTCATCTCATTAACTTCAGCTTTACGTTTCTTGACAAGTTTGTCAATTTCTCTGTGCCAGTCCTCTCCATGTATTGTTATGGCTGTTGAGAGATCTCCATATTCCTTTTCTAACTGACTCATTCTGTTTTGTACATCAGATGCAATGTCCTGATATGTGGGATAAATTGTATCATTTAATTCATTTCTTTGTTTTAGAATCATGTCCTTCTTTTCATCCAGAAGTTGTAAGATTTTAGATAATTCATGACCTAAATGTTGATTAAGTGCAACACAGTTGATACAGACAGGAATATCACACTGTTTACAGAACATTTCACATCGTTCTTTGTTATGAGATGTACATGTAGGGTAGAGGGGAGTGGATTTCCTGTCCTGAAATTTGACGACCTTGTGATCTTTGGATTCACTTGTTGAGATGTGTTCTCCCACACAGGCCTTACACAGGTTGACAAGACATGTATCACAGTGCATCTGTACCACAGCAGTCTCACACAGGTCACATCGCATCACATCCTGGGCACTTGTTTGGGGGTCCATCATTAGATTTTATGACTGAAGCATAAAAATTCAGCATAAATGATCATGCATTGAACGATTGGGTTTGAAGGCAACATGCATTTTTATGGACTCCAGAAACCACAGTTTGCCTGGAGACATTAGGCATATAATACATGTAGATAATCAAGTTTTGCTAATAAACATGTAGATGGACCAGTCATCATATTACATATACAAGAATCATTGAATCTTTGTGGGAAGGAAATTTTGTTTCATGTGATACTGAATTTTCAATGACTTTCTGAATTGTTTTTTATGCTCAGAAAAAGATCAAAGTTTTTTAGCTCTTCTGAGCCAAAGGCTCAAAGAGCTAATGCTATGGCCATTTGTGCGATGTGCGGTGTGCGTAAACTTTTTAGAATATGGGCCATAACTCAAGAACCCCTTGGCCAATTATTGTCAAATTTGTCACAGGGTATCCTTGGCCCAAGGGCTCCCTTTTATACTAAAACTGGGGTTGTGACCCTTTAACAAGGGGAGATAATTAGGAAAATAGAAACAAAAGTACTGGTTGCTAAAAAATCTTCTTCTCAAGAACCACTGGGCAGATTATCACCAAACTTACACAAAAGGATGAGGATATGTTGTAGATTAAAATTTGCACGGGGATTTACCCTGGGGCAAAGGGCGTGGTCTCAAGGTCACTTCAAAGTTGACCAAAAATTACATTTTATTAAAATGTTGATATTTTGCTTACTATAAGGACTAGGACCATCAAATCTTGTCAGTTGGTGCATCTAAGGACCTCATATCATGTTTACTCAAAAGTAGGTCACGGTGACCTACTTTTTAAATTTTGCGGCCATTCTTTTTCAAAATGATTTAGAGGCATATTTTGAACAATTTAAGGCCTATGATCATCAAACTTTGTCAGTTGATGCATCTTGGGTCCTCAAAGTACGTCAACTAAAAAGTAGGTCACCTTGACCTACTTTTTGAATTTTATGGCTAAACTTTTTTAAAACAATTAAGGTCATTAATTCGAATACGGGGAGGCTTAGAATCATTAAATCTTGTAAGATGATGCATCTTGGGGCCATAAAACATATTTATTAAAAAGTAGGTCACAGTGACCTACTTTTTGAACTTTGCAGGCATTCGATTTCAAAGCGTTTTAGAGGCATAATTTGGACATTTTAAGTCCTATGATCATAAAACTTTGTAAGTTGATGCATCTTGGGTCCTCAAAAAAGGTCAACTGAAAAGTAGGTCACCGTGACCTACTTTTCAATTTATATGACTATAATTAAATATTTCAGGTACTAATTGGCTTAGAATCATGAAACTTTGTCAGTTGATGCCTCTTGGGTCTTCAGAGTAGGTCGACTAAAAAGTAGGTCACCTTGACCTACTTTTGAAAATTTATGGCTTTAATTAAATATTCCGGGTACTAATTGGCTTAGAATCATCAAACTTTGTCAGTTGATGCCTCATGGGTCTTCGGAGTAGGTCGACTAAAAAGTAGGTCACGGTGACCTACTTTTGAAAATTTATGGCTTTAATTAAATATTCCGGGTACTAATTGGCTTAGAATCATCAAACTTTGTCAGTTGATGCATCTTGGGTCTTCAGAGTAGGTTGACTAAAAAGTAGGTCACCATGACATACTTTCAGAAAATTTATGGCTTTAATAAAATATTTTGGGTACTAATTGGCTTAGAATCATAAAACTTTGTCAGTTTAAGCGTCATGGGTCCTCGGAATACAACAACTGAAAAGTAGGTCACGGTGACCTACTTATGAAAATTTATGGCTTTAGTCAAATATTTTGGGTACTAATTGGCTTAGAATCTTTAAACTTTGTCAGTTGATGCGTCTTGGGTCCTCGGAGTACAACAACTGAAAAGTAGGTCACCGTGACCTACTTTTGAAATTTTATGGCTGTATTTAATATTTTCAGGAATTATTTGGCTTAGAGTCGTCAAAATTTGTCAGTTGATGCATCTTTGGTCCTCGGAGTAGGTTGACTGAAAAGTAGGTCACCGTGACCTACTTTTGAAAATTTATGGCTGTAATTAAATATTTTGGGTACTTATTGGCTAGAATCATCAAACTTTATCAGTCGATGTATCTTTGGTCCTCGGAGTACAGCAACTGAAAAGTAGGTCACGGTGACCTACTTTTGAAAATTTATGGCTTTAATTAAATATTACAGGTACTAATTGGCTTAGAATCATCAAACTTTTGCATCTTGGGTCCTTGGAGTAAAACAATTGAAAAGTAGGTCACTTTGACCTACTTATAAAATTTTATGGTTATAATTTTAAAAGATATTTTAGGTATTAATTGGCTTAGAATCATCAAACTTAGTTGATGGGTCTTCAGAGAATGACAAGTGATAAGTAGGTCACCATGACCAACTCTCAGGTACTAATTGGCTTAGAATCATTTTGGGTTCTCAGAGTGTGAATTGGAATTTCAAGGGTTTGTCTAAATATACAGGATACTTCGAGGCTTCAAATAGAAGTGATAGGTTGTACAGTTTATCAGAAGAGCAATTCAAGGCCCATGGGCCTCTTGTTTTTACCTGATTTCAGTAATGGCGGCCGTCCTTGATCTATCTCCAAGTGCAGTCTCTATGTACTCTGATCATGTGACACACCTGTGTTATCTACCTGTCAGGTGTTTATACTTCCTGTTCTGGAAGTTGATTTAAATACCTTCAACAACTGCTCTTTGAAATGCAGTTATATTTAATTTATATAGTTCATGTGATATTTTGCCTTACTGGTTAGAGACCAGAAGAGTTTATATGATAGTAAGGTGTCTGTCATCCATACATCTGTTTGTCTGTAAACAATTTTTTAAAACACTTCTCCTCTACAGTTTTGGTCTGATTTCAATATAGTACTAGTAGACAACACTATGGTACCTATTCTGTTTATGGGTTTTTGATGCTCTCACACAGGTCACATAGCATCATGTCCTGGGCACTGGCATGGGGGTCCATGTCTGTGCAAATCTAAATTTAGATCATCCTCAAATAGGGTAGATTCAAATTTGTTCAAATGATGACCCCCAGGGGTAGGGTGGGGACACAATGAGGGATTGAAGTTTTACATAGTATTATTTGGGGAAAAAAACTTTAAAAATCTTCTCAAGAACAGCAAAGCTTTGATTAGTCTTATTGATATGGAAGCATCCTCAGGTAGTGTAGATTCAACTTTGTTCAAATGATGACCCCCAGGATAGAGTGGTGCCACAATGAGGGATCGAAGTTTTACATATATATAGGAAAAAATCTTAAATATCTTCTTCTAAAAAAACAGAAAATCCATGATTAGTATTAATATGGAAGCATTCTCAGGTAGTGTAGATTCAACTTTGTTTAAATCATTACCCCTAGGGGTAGAAAGGGGCCACAATGGGGGATCAAAGTCTTTACAAAGGAAAATATCAGAAAAGATTTTGCAAAATCTTCTCAAAAAGAGCAGTACCATAATTAGTCATATCAATATGGAAGCATCCTCAGGTAGTGTAGATTCAACTAAATCATAACACCCAGGGGAAGGGAGGGGCCACAATTGGGGATCAAATTTTTTACAAAGGAATACATGTATATACGAAAAAATCTTTAAAATTCTTCTGCTCAAGAACAGCAAAGCCACTACTGATATTGATATGGAAGCATCCTCAAAGTGTTTAATTCAATTCCACCCCGCCTTTCCCCCTCCCATGTAAACTTTTCAATGCTGAATTGATTTATGCTTTTTCCTAGCTAATGTGCTCAGGTGATTGATGTGGCCCATGGGCTTCTTGTTCATTTTAGCAATGTTTTACTTTTACAAGATTAGTTTACAAAGAATTTATTTGGTTACATAGGAAATAACTTCATTGTCCAGGTTCAATCAAGGGTGTTCAGGTATTTACCCTGTGTTGTATTTTATACACCCTGAGGCCGAAGGCAGAACATGGATAACTTATAATGTATATTGGGAAAAATATCTGATGCAAAACAACAGGGCCAAAGTGTCTCAGATGAGCATTGTGGCCTATGGGCCTCTTCTTGTAAGTTCTTAAAATCTCAGATATGCTCATAGATATTTTTTTTAAAAAGCTCTGTGAATTGATACGAGAACATGATTCTCAATCTAGAATTTTACTTATATAGAGCAGTAATTTCACTTATCCCATCTTTACTAGCCAAGTGAATGTGTAGCAGGTCAGAAACACATACTTACGCATCCTACATTAATTAAACATTTCACTTAATTTGTCGCTAGAATAGCAATAGAATCATTGAGAATAGGATCCAGAATTTCAAATGTTAACTCTTACTATGTGTATCAACAAACGGGAACAACTTTCCTTGAAAATTGAAATCGCACATTGTATTGTGTATGCTTTTTTTGTTTAAAAAATTGCAACAAACCTTTGGTATTTGAACATCAGTGCAGCATTAATAGACATGTAATAGTAATTGAATGTATTTGTATTGAAGGTGAGGGAAATGGCAGCCATAACATTGAGTGGATTAGTACACTGTGGATTTCTAGACATGGACAAAGACATGCTGGTAATTTCTTGTTCTGCATATGTTAAATTGCTATTTATCTTGTTGGATATCTCAGATTTTAAAATGTGAAGTCCTCAGTCAATTTTATTATAGGTGACCACTTAGAACTTATACATGTATCATTTGAAATCGTTCTTTCCTTTTAACTAGAGTTAATGAATTGTATATTAATTTCTCCTGAAAATCCTCAGAATAAAACAAAGTTATCACGCAAAACATAAAGCATATGTACATCCAGTTCAACTTTACTTAATATAAACAGGAACACTTTGAAGTCCTTAGTAAGAACAAGGTGAAGAAGCGTAAGTTAGCCGACTCAATGCCTCTGGAGGCCCTAATAAAGCGTCACGCTGGTGTCCTGGGTCTCAGTGCTCTGGTGGAAGCTTATCCTTACAATGTACCCGAGTTCATGCCACAGATCTTAATGGACCTGAGTAACCATGTAAATGATCCTCAACCAATTCAGGTCAGTAGAACATTACACTCATGTTAACAAATCACGTCAAAGCTTACACTCAACCAATTCAGGTCAGTAGAACCTTACACTCACCTTAACAAATTAAAGTCAAAACTTACACTCAACCAATTCAGGTCAGTAGATCGTAACACTCATGTCAACAAATTCAGGTCGAAACTTACACTCAACCAATTCAGGTCAGTAGAACCTTACACTCACTTCAACAATTTAAAGTAAAAACAAACTCAACCAATTCAGGTCAGTACACTCACCTCTCACAACTTACATGCAACAAAGTCAAATTCAAGTCAGTAGAAACTAGCACTCACCTCAACAAATTCAAGTCGGTAGAAACTAGCACTCACATCAACAAATTCAAGTCAGTAGAACCTTATACTCATCTCAACCAACTCAGATCAGTAGAATCTAGTACTCACCTCAACGAATTCAAGTCAGTAGAAACTAGCACTCACCTCAACAAATTCAAGTCAGTAGAAACTAGCACTCGCCTCAACAAATTCTGGTCAGTAGAACAAAATCATCTCAACCAATCTCGTTAGAAACTTACCTGAACCAATTCTAGTCAGTGCAACCTCACACTTCTTTCATAAAATAAACAATAGACACAGGTCTAATTATTATTATGGTATTATTGTCATTGATGAATAATGAATTGCTCTGTTGGTGTTTTTCAGATGACGGTGAAGAAAACCCTATCAAACTTCCGTAGAACACACCACGACAATTGGCACGATCATAAACAAATGTTTACAGACGATCAGCTTGTCATATTAACTGATATTCTAGTGTCCCCTACTTACTATGCTTGATGACGGATCATCGTTCTAGAAAATTTAAATATCAAGGTGTAAGGACCTATCCATGAACAGTTCAGCCATGGCAGAGCAGACCGGAGTTATCTCCCCACTGATAGGGTCCCAAAAGTGAACAGTGCCATCTCATCCCAATTCACAGATTTCTTCATATTAAGGGACATGTACAATGCTGATTTTACAATTCCTCTTCCCATTTAGTTCAAGTATTTCAGTTATGTATAAGACGTTTTTCATATTTTAATGTACATGTATGTCATGATTGAAATATTTATTTGCATTCTATTAAGGTAATCAAGTAAACATATGAAGTTTTATGGACAAAGCTTGAATGTTAGTGCATGTCTTGTTGGTTTATGGGAAATAACTTAGATAATGTTTTCAAGATTGCTGACAAAGGGAGATTTTTTATGTACATTGTTTAAAATCTGTGTTTTACCATAAAGGTTCCCCACATAAATGTAGCCAACTATTGATTGATTGATACTACCTGAAGCAACTGAAATGTTATGTAAAAGTTACATGTATTTTCAGAAATAGTATGATGTTATAAGACTAAACGTTTAGAAATATTTTATGTGTACAGTCAAGGATGCAGTGCCAAAGTCATAAGTCATTTGATGAAAGGCATTAACTTTATGTACAATATACTATAAGAGAAAGTGTATTAAAATAATTCTTATAGTAACGTGTGTATTTTAATTAACTTTAGGGTGTAAAACTGTAAATTCTAGTACAGTAGTGTGTAATTTTCATCCTTCATGAGGGTAAATATGAATTTAGTTGTATGAAACATTGCATTTAATTATTCAATATAGTATTTCATTGTATCAGAATGCACATTTAAAAGTGCAAAAAAGACTTAACAAATTGGTAAAGTTTTCTTAGGAAATTTTGAATAAACAGATATACATATATGTAGTGAGACCAGATGTTGGTTAGTGTAGCGATAAAAAGGTAGAGACAGGCTAAAATATCCCAAATATTGAACATCACATTTCATGTACCTATATTAAAGTGGACTGTGAATTGTGTAATAATCCATGGGGTTTTCATTTAAGCTATCCCTGATGTGATACAATTAGTTTGCAATTATATCATTAAAAAATTATTTTACCATAATGATGAGAATCCTTGTCATGCTTTCATTTATGGAAAAAAATGGATTTGAATAAAAATTATGCTTTCATGAAGTGTAGTTGTTTCTTTGCAAGAACAACATGATTCAATCAGTATTCGATCATATTTTGAAATATCCTTACTCACATCATCATATACATTGTAAAATTAAAATATGAAAGAGTGGTACAGACACTTTCTGAAGATTTTGTATTTAAATGTTTAAGAAGTCTATGTATGTATTTGAATATCGTCGTGTTACGGACACTTAGGTTCCGTGATTGATAATTCTTCAAATGCATTCTGTTGAGTTGTTTCACACATAAATGGCAATGAATGTAACATTTTTTGGAAATCAAAAATTAATTTTCAAATAATACAAGGACTTCCAATAGAATTCTGTAGGTTTTTCACTTAATAAATGTAGGAAAGAAAGAAGGAGCCTTACAGAGGACGTAACCCAAAGATCAGACTGAAATAGACAGAGGACGTAACCCAAAGATCAGACTGAAATAGTCTAAGGAATGTTAAATACTGTAAAAGCAGAAATATTCGTTGGGATTAAATTTCGTTAATTTAGTTGTCATTTAACAAAGTTAAATCCCACATGAAATTTAGACATGACTATAAATTGAATAGGGTTACTTTCGAAACAACGAAATTTAATTCCCACGAAAACTTTTTTATTAATTTTTGATTAATCAACGAAATATTATCCCCACAAAAATTTGTGATTCCAGTAGCATAAAATCAAACAACAGAAATAATTTCCCTTAAGTATGATATGAAATAAGAACATAAACATGTAAATTTTGGACTTCACATCGCTCATGCCAAAAAGTTCCAAAACCAGAGACAAAGCCACGTTTTTGTACCTTAGTACATGGCATTTTTTGTTCACCTTTTCTGTCTAAAGTTATACAGCATCTGTAAGTCATTAGAAAAAAAAACTTTACCTTGATGATAATGCTAAACCAATCCTGAATGTTATGTTTTTTGATTTAATGGTAAATACACAGAAGTACCATGTACAGGTTCATCTAGAAAAACTTTAAACGGTTATGTAATGATGTTATAATGGATTTAAAGAATATGCTTTTAGGAAGACATTTTTCCTACAGGATGTGTGTAAAAATTGTAGAAGTCCTTGTGGAATTAGTGAAAGGTGTATCATTGTAAGTATATATGTTGGATTTTATCTTCTTTTTTTTTTTAGGTAAATTGAGATTTTTTTTTAAAAAGTTCATCTTAATTAAAAAAACTATACAAATTTATTTCTCTTTTCCCATATTTTTTCTGCTTTTTGATGAACATTAGTCAAAATGTAAAATAATCTTAAGTTATTTCCCCATTTCTCTGACATCAGGATGTGGAAGTTCAGTCAGTACGCTGTAGAACTATTAACACTCCTACTGCGACATGATGTACCCACACCTCCTGTAGCTGTGGAGCTTTTTGTCTCCAACCTCATACACGACTCCTTATACATCAGAAAGGTACACTGATATACATGTACATATATTTTGTTGAATTCTTTTGACTTGTTAGAGTTAATTTTCATGGATTAACCAGGTAAGATTTTGTTGAGTCATAATTCCTTAGGTAATATTTCTTCATGAAAGATAAACCCTATGATCAATATTTGTTGAGGTTGTATATTCATGGGTAAGGGGCACAAAATTATCAAGTATTGGATCAAATGAAAAAATGAGTACACAGCAAAGACGGAGAAATTCATAAACAAGATCATTGGCTGAATTCTCTCCCTTTAAGACTATATCAGAAGTTTCTCCTACATGTTATGGTTTTTATTGTATCTTCAGCTGTCAACAGCCTCAGTATCAGCCATTCTAAAGCAACAAAAAAAGAAACACAAGAAGGTGGTGGTGGACCCCTACAGGAGTGTCCCCCCCCCTCCTACTGGGACCTTCCTCCCTGGGAATCGTCCGGATAATGATTGGATCATGTACGACTCCAGCCGGCTTCCGGACAATCAGGAGAAATGGGAGGCAATGGAATTCGGGGACAAAACTCACTGGGGATACTACTGCTGGCCAAAGTATGATTTTAATCACAACATTAAGTAATCTTTAAGTCAGTTGATAATAATTAGTTGATCATGATCATTAAATTATTCCTCTTTTGAATTCCAAGGTTAATTATACCATGTTCCAGTCTCCATCCAAATATATGGAATATACCTTAATCAAGTTTGTGGTTTCTATCAATTTATATTTTTTTATAAAATCAATTTTTTTAGTCCAAAGATCGAACTGTAATAACACTCTTTTAATATGATTTTGACTATTGGATATTAATTAAATGAAATTAATTATGTCTGTTTACTTTAAATCTGTTGCAGAGAAATGAAAATTTATGCCCAGTATTCGGAGCAGCCAAAATTAGATCGTGTAGAATCAGAACTATTAGATATAGGAAAATCTATGTGAAATTGAGTGACTCTGAGTTTGTGAAAAAGTTCATAGAAGTGCTAAGTTTAGAGGAGCATAAAGGAAGAGCTAAATTCAGGAACAAACATCTAACCTTATTCAAGGTAGGTCTAGCACTTTGACAATTTTTGTGTGTGTGTGTGTGTTAAAAGGTGAAAATTTTCATCCATTAAATACAAACATGTACATGAACCACACGATAAAGAAGAAAAAAATGAAATGTTAATTGTTAAGAAGCGTGGACATGCTGTATAACATCTTTGCAAGCTTCTGAAGATGACTGTATTATTGAATTTTCATTTCAAAAAATTCTTTTTATCCTTTAAATTGTTTTTGTTTTTGTGTTTTGTTTCAGGGTCTGTTTAAGAATTACGATGACACGTTCCAACCCCACTTCAGATCCCACATTGTGGAGCTTCTTTCGGACAGGAGCCACGGGCACCATGAGAGTAAACAGAGGTGTGGCATGGAGATCCTAGCGGGGGTCATACGTGGCTCCAAACACTGGCTTTACGAGGAGGTGGAAATTTTGAGTCCTCTTTTAAATCATAACCTATGTGTATGATTAAACATATGGAATAAAATATCAGAGTGTTTGGGAGGAGGATTTGAATATTGATTAGAGTACAGTTAAACCTTGTTATCTCAAACTTAATGGGTCTGAAAAAAAGATATTACAGAAATCAAGATATTGATGTTGAAATACATGAAAAAGGTGTTTGAGGCCTTTAACTTGCTCTGACATATCTATGTTGTTGATGTTGGTGTTCAAGATACCAAAGTTCAACTGCACATGTAAATGTTTGATCATGATTTTACCCCAGTAGAAAAGGTTTATGAGCTTATGAACTAAAGCCAAAACTTATAAGTAAGTACTTGATTTATGATTTGTATATCAAAATTCTCTTTCATCTTGAATGTTTCTGACAGGTGAATGCACTTTGGGACTGGGTTATCCCCATTTTGAGAACCTCCTTAGATAACATTACCAGTGAGACACTGAAGGACTGGGGCACATTCTTCACCGTCGTGTCTGAGAGTCGTGATCCCAGAAGACTGTATCGATTCTTTGAGATGCTTATGGATAAACCAATCAGGGAGGGATCATCTTCTTTTGAGGACTCCAGGTAAAATTGACAAAGTAGTAAAACTTGTTTATTAGAAAGTCCTTGAGGACATGAACTTTTAGTTTTCTGTATCCTAATTTCTCTATATCCATACAAAAAAAGTTTTATGACTGATGGGGAAAAGATATAACTTTCTTATCACTGAGATTTCCTTACATCCAAAGTTCCTTATACAGGAGTTTTAATATAGTATAGAAAATTCCCAATAGGAAATCTTGTTAGAATATTACAGTTAATTTTACACAAGAGAGAGTTGGAGAGTTGATGAGTGATAATGTGTAATGTCCATACAATTTTCACAAACATTTCATATGACATTCTAGAACTGACAGATATTTACTTTTATGTTTTGTAGCCGTCGTTTTGCTGTGCAGAATGCTTTAGTACAACAGGAATGGAGAGTACCAGAACTCCTCCATCGTCTGTTAGAATTCCTGACGCCGTACCTCTCCAACAAGAACAAAAATGTCAGAGACAGAATTGGAAGGTTAGTACCTGTACCTGGTGCAGAAATTTGGACACAGGTACAGTGTAGTAGGAAAACTGTCGATGTGTCTTAATTTCTCTTATTTGTTTTGTGAGATATTTGATGGAACACTTAGGGTTCATTGATCGTCTGATAAGAGAGATAACTCTTTCTGGTAGAAGTGACTATAATTCCTTTTTATGTGAAGCTAAAAGGCCATTTCTATGAATTTTGCGCCGCAAAAGGTTTGCTTTTGAACTATAATTTAGATTTCTTGTGGAAATATTAAGCAAAATTTTGTATTTATGAAAAGAAGATAGATGATCTTAAAATTCTTTTGGAAACTATCATCATTTAATCTTCTGTTTCAGCCTGCTGTCCACATTATGCTGTATGACTACAGCATCACGGCGGGTTCCTCCACTAAATCTCCACATAGAGTGGACTTTGTCCAAAAGGTGATTCCACGACTGGAACCGCTCAAAGACCTGGTGCTATCAGAGAATGGGAATAATGGCAGTTCAAAGGGTGAGTTTTAATTCCATTAAAATTGGAGGAAAACCCTGGCTTGTGAAAGATGTTAAGGATTGAAAAACTGCAATCATGGATTGCATTAATATTTTTGATAACTTTTTAGCTCACCTGAGCTGAAAGCTCAAGTGAGCTTTTATGATCACCCGTTGTCTGTCGTCCGTCCTACCGTCTTTAAACTTTCCACATTTTCAACTTCTTTTCATGAACCACTGGGTCAATTTTAACCAAATTTGGTACAGAATATCCTTGGGTGAAGGGGAGTTTAAATTATTAAAATAAAGGGCCAAGTCCTCTTACAAGGGGAGATAATCAAGAAAAGACAAATAGAGTTTGGTAATAAAAAACTTCTTCTCAAGAACCACTGGGCCAAAAAAGCTGAAACTTATGTGGAAACATCTTGGGATAGTGTAGATTCTAAATTGTTCAAATCATGATCCCCGGGAGTAGGGTGGGGCCACAATAGGGAATCCAAGTTTTACATTGAAATATATTTGTAAAATCTTTAAAAATCTTCTTCTCAGGAACCACTGGACCAGAAAAGCTGAAACTTATGTGGAAGCATCCTGGGGTAGGGTAGATTCTAAATTGTTCAAATCATGACTCCTGGGGGTAGGGCGGGGCAGCAATAGGGAATCCAAGTTTTACATTGAAATATATAAGAAAAATCTTTAAAAATCTTCTTCTCAGGAACCACTGGACCAGAAAAGCTGAAACTTATGTGGAAGCATCCTGGGGTAGGGTAGATTCTAAATTGTTCAAATCATGACTCCTGGGGGTAGGGCGGGGCAGCAATAGGGAATCCAAGTTTTACATTGAAATATATAAGAAAAATCTTTAAAAATCTTCTTCTCAGGAACCACTGGACCAGAAAAGCGGAAACTTATGTGGAAGCATCCTGGGGTAGTGTAGATTCTAAATTGTTCAAATCATGACTCCTGGGGGTAGGGCGGGGCAGCAATAGGGAATCCAAGTTTTACATTGAAATATATAAGAAAAATCTTTAAAAATCTTCTTCTCAGGAACCACTGGACCAGAAAAGCTGAAACTTATGTGGAAGCATCCTGGGGTAGGGTAGATTCTAAATTGTTCAAATCATGACTCCTGGGGGTAGGGCGGGGCAGCAATAGGGAATCCAAGTTTTACATTGAAATATATAAGAAAAATCTTTAAAAATCTTCTTCTCAGGAACCACTGGACCAGAAAAGCTGGAACTTATTTGGAAGCACCCAGGGGTAGTGTAGATTCTAAATTGTTCAAATCATGACCCCCGGGGGTAGGGCAGGGCCACAATAGGTATTACAAGGGGGAAATCTGGTAAAGAACTGCATGGCCAAAGTTTCTCAGGTGAGTGATGTGGGCCATGGGCCTCTTGTCTTTATTTGAGCTATTACAAGGAGGTGTTAAAAGTCTTTATGATGTATTTGAATTTTAACAGAGGAGGAGAACCACAGAGAGACGTTTTCATCCTTAGAGAAGATGGAAGTGGAAGATGATGAAGATGAAGAGAGGAAGACAACAATAAGGCTGTGTAAAACAGGTGAGGAGGCTCACACACGTCAGGAAATAATACAACAATGATGATGAACTCACTTGTGAAACATAACCATTAAATTCTGATAATTTATCTCTTTCTTATTGCAGTGTTGAAGTGGATATGGTCTAGGTAGAATGTTTACCTCAACTACACCAGAGCTTTTCCTTTTTCTTCCAGTTGTAAGTATGCTGAATGTGCAAGTCTATCTCTTAAACTGGTAAATATTTTCAACAATTTAACCAGTGTGATGAAAAATATCTAGAAAAACATTTTTATACCCCCCGTAAACGAAGTTTGGGGGGGTATACAGGAATCACTTTGTCTGTCTGTCCGTCCGTCCATCTTTCTTCCTGTCCATCCATCTTTCTTCCTGTCCGTCTGTCTAGCTGTCTGTCTAGCTGTGCAAACATGTCCAGTCCATATCTTTCTTACTGAGGAACATTAGAATCTACTCTTCTCACAAAGATTGTTCATACCAAAGGGTGTGACATGACCTTGACCCAAGGGCATTTGGGCAAGTTCAAGGTCACTGAAAGAAAAAGTGCATAATTTATGTCCGGTCCATATCTTTCTTACGGAGAAACATTAGAATCTACTTCTACACACAAAGATTGTTCATGACCTGAGGGTGTCATGACCTTGACCCAAAGTCGTTTGGGCAAGTTCAAGGTCACTGAAAGAAGTTCATAATTCGTGTCCGATCCATATCTTTCTTATGGATAAAGTTGATGAGTTCCCCTTTTACACAAAGATTGCTTATGACCTGAGGGTGTGTCATGACCTTGACTCAAGGTCATTTGTGCAAGTTCAAGGTTACTGACAGAAAAAGTACATAATTCATGTCTGGTCCATATCTTTCTTATGGAGAATAATGTTTGGATGTTGGGAGTTTCCACTTCACACAAAGATTGCTTATGACCTGAGGGTGTTTCATGATCTTGACCTTTAGTTATATGCCTACCCAAAATTTTATGTGTTCATTACTATACCACAATATATCTCTGCGTGCAGTACAACAAAAATTTAATGTTTTCTTAGCTGAGGGGGAATCATTTGTGAGGTAGCTCACAGAACCTCTAGTTACATCTGAAATAGACACTTTGATGTTGAGATTCTGTATGGTTGATTTTTCCCTCAGATTTGTACATTAGAGAGTGAGACTAAGGATGAGGAGCTGAAGACTGACTGTTCTATGGCCTTGGCCAGCTTCTCTCAGGCTCTAATTCAGGAGAACAATGTCACTGCGTGTCTGGAGACCATTAGAGAGGTGAGTCCAACAGACACAGGTCTAAATAAGTACATCTACAATTAAAGGAACTTTTCAGATACAAAAAAAATGTAGAATCCATATTTTAAGTTCCTTCATTGCAAAACTCTTGTCAAAGTAGTCAGGATCTCTCCATGATAAGAAGACATATTGTTGAATGGAGAAGAGTTTGAAGAATATGATGAAGCTGCAAGGACCTCAAATTCCAAATTTATTAGAATAATGGAAGCTATATTCCTAAACATTTTTTTGATTTCTGTAGGTGATGGGACTAAAGTCTTAGCATTCCTGTGTCGCAATCCTTGGTTACATCCAGGTCATGGTGTTCTGTAATCTTTTTACCATGATCCAGACAAAGTACAAAAAGGAAATCCAGAACTTTATCCTGCATCTCATCTGTGATGACCAAGTAGAGGGAGGATATATACAAAAACAAATAAAAGGGGAAAGGGGGAGGGGAGGGGTCAGAGCTTAATGCAGTTAAACCCGCTTGTAACGAAATGCCAAGGATGGACAATTTTGGTTTGTTATAAATATAATTTTTTTCATCCATTAAGTGTACAATATATTTTAAAGTCTTGGGAAGTAAAAATCATTTGCTGTAAGCATCAATTCATTACAAGCGTGTTTGTTATGAGTTTGTTTTACTGTACTACATCTCATTTATGATGACCAAGTAGAGGTAGAATATATATACAAAAACAAACCAGATTGGGGCAGGGGAGAGAACTTTATACTGCACCTCATCTGTGATGACTAAGTAGAGGTATAATGTATATTCAATCACAAGCCAGATGGGGGGGGGGGGGGGAGAATTCTATACTGTACTTCATCTATGATGACCAAGTAGAGGGATGTTCAGTGACTACTGTTCTTCTCAAGTAGCTAATAGATATACAGTTAAACTTCAGTATCTCAAACACCAATATCTCGAATACAGTAGGTATGTTAAAGTGAGTTAAATGTCCAACTTCTTTTTTTTCTATGTTTTTCAACCTCTATATTTCGAAGTTTTTTTTTCTTTCTCCTTTTAAGGATAAATAACACAGACAAAATTTTTTCTTCCAAAATTCAAATATCTTAGCTAAAATATATATCTGCCTCTCTCACTTCAGAAGTGATATTTGTTTGTTTAAATAGCTTAATGTTTGGCCAAGCCACAAAATTTGGAGAAAAGTGCAAAATGCTATTGTACATCTCAATATATTTTTTTTGTTTTAGAAATTTATGAAGTTTTCTTACAGCAAAGTTTCTGGGGACATTTTCAAGAGTGTGTTTTAACATTTTACTCGATAAAAGTTTCTTGATAACATTTCTTTTGAAAGAAATATTGGAAAAAATACCAGTGTAATTCTTCTGTGTGGGAGATAAGAAAATTTGTTTGTGGTATGTATCTTTAAGTTTAAGATACTGAGGTTTGACTGTATAATGCATGTAGCTTAAGGGAACATTGAAAATGTTCAAACATAGATAGATATTATTGCCTGAGGTGCGGTTTTATTATTTCTAATGTGTATAAAGATGAAAAAATATTTTTAGATCTTAAGAACAGACGAGCTTTATTACATACGCTAGGTTCAAGTTTGTTCATATCATAATCCCCGTGGGTAGTGTGCAGCCACAAGAGAGGGTCGAAATTTTACATAGGAATATAATGAAAATATCTTTAAAAATTTTCTTCTCAAGAAAAGCTAAGCCATTATTAGTCATATTAATACAGAAGTATCTTTGGGTAGTGTAGATTCAAGTTTGTTCAAATCATGACCCCCAGGGGTAGGGCAATGCCACAACAGTGGGTCAAAGGTTTACATAGGAATATATAGAAATTATCTTTAAAAATCTTCTCAAGAACAGCTAAGTCATTATACACAGGGTTAAAGTTTTACATAAGAATATATACATGATATAGGGATCATCTTGAAAAAAATCTGCTCAAGAACAGCAAAGCCATGATAAGTCATATTATTATAGAAGCATCCTCAGGTAGTGTAGATTCAAATTTGTTCAAATTTAGGGTGGGGCTACAATGAGCGATCAGAGTTTTACATAGGAAAATATTCTTCTGCCCAAGAACAGCAAAGTCATGATTAGTAATATTAAGAAAGTAGCATCCTGAGATAGTGTGAATTCAAGTCCCCTCCTCGTAAACTTTTTAATACTGAACTGATTTCTGCTTTTTCCTAACTAAAGTGCTCAGGTGAGCAATGTGGCCCATGGGCCTCTTGTTGTTTGTGTCTATTCATATTGATGGCTTTCAGAACAATTTTGAGCTTCTTGGTGATTGACTTGTTTTTACAAAAGTTATGAACCTTAGACTTTTAAAATTTCTAATTCACTTTTTTCTGTACTTTTTCCTCTAATGTCCTGATCTTTGATTTGTCTCTTTTCATTGATTACAGGCATGAAATATAGTTTTCTTATTGATTGACCCATTTCCATGAAAGAATATAGCACTTAGACCCTGAAAATTTCTAATTATTCACTGTTTGTTGATTGTTTTATTGCTAAATCCTTGAAGGTGATTACCATTTCATTCAGCTTTTAACTGAAATAGTACAATATTATTGTTGAAATGAGCAATGTCAATGTAAGTTATATAAGATAAATCATTGTCTTGTTTTACTATATTTTAATGGTCATAGATTTCACTGCAGATATTTGATTTTCTTCACTTGTTTGTTTAACAATTGAGCAACAAACAGATTGTCATTTGTATCTGTACACAGTCCCCAGGGTAGACTCAGTCCACAGTCTATGTAACGGAGGAACTGTCCATCCTGATCTATGATGTGGACACAGTGATTGTTACGATCAGCTGTAAGGATGTGACTCTGACTGTCTGTGGTGATTCCTAGTGGATTGAATGGTTCATTGTTTGGAGCAGGAGTATGTCCAGTGTACCTGAATCTCAGTTTCCCGGCCTGATTGACCACCACTACTGCTTTAGTTCCCTCATCAGACACACAGATATCCAGGTTCTTGTTCTCAGTTATGTACCCTAGATAACCAGAACTAGGTGAATAGAGAGGTTTACCTTTATCATCAAACTGAATGCTTTGTTTCTCTGTGAAGCCAGAATAACAGACAACTTTTGTTTGTTTTTTATTATCACTGTCCATGATAACCAAGAGGTCACCAGAGGAGGTACTACAGACACTATTAGGTCTCCAGTTCTGTAGTCTGATCACCTCCTCTATCTTCTCATTCTTCACAATGTTCACAGTTCTATTTCTGTAATCAGTATAAACTAAATCTCCACTTTTTGTCACCGCTATGTTAGATGGCCATTTCCCTGACTTGGTTCTAATTGACTTGAGTAGTGATCCCTGATTGATTCTGTAGAGTTTCATGATGCTGTCATCTCCACTTGTCCAGATTTCTTCATCACTCAGACAGACCACATTGTAAAGATTATAGCTATACTCAGTTTTTATGGTGGTGACAGTCTTTGGTTCATCAATCAGCTGTTTGACTGGAGGAGAGAATCCAGCTTCTGGTGATTTCTGACGTGTCTTCATGCTGTAGCCATGTTTATCTGATGTTAAAGAACTTGATGATAAGGCTCCAAACATTTTATCAAGTTCTTCTCCATGGATTTTTCCTGGAATGAATTTAGGTAAAGATGGTATAATTCTGTGTGGAAGATTTCTGTGTGTGTGTACATTGGATGTGACACTAAATAGTTTTGACAAGTCATTGGTGTCTATAGCAGTTTCAATGGAATTGATTTCATCCTTGATGTCAGACATTTTCTTGTTTATTTCACCCAGATGTTTCTGTAGAGTTTGTAACTGTGTGTTTTTCATCTCATTAACTTCAGCTTTACGTTTCTTGACAAGTTTATCAATTTCTCTGTGCCAGTCCTCTCCATGTTTTGTAATGGCTGTTGAGAGATCCCCATATTCCTTTTCTAACTGACTCATTCTGTTTTGTACATCAGAGACAATGTCCTGGTAGGTTGGATAAATTGTATCATTTAATTCATTTCTTTCTTTTAGAATCATGTCCTTCTTTTCATCCAGAACTTGTAAGAGTTTAGATAATTCATGACCTAAATGTTGTTTTGATGCAAGACAGCCAAGACAGACAGGAATGTCACACTGATTACAGTACATTACACATCGATCTTTATTATGAAATGTACATGTAGGGTAGAGGGGAGTGGATTGTCTGTCCTGAAATTTGACGACCATGTGATCCTTTGATTCACCTGTTGAGATGTGTTCTCCCACACAGGCCTTACACAGGTTGACAAGACATGTATCACAGTGCATCTGTACCACAGCGGTCTCACACAGGTCACATCGCATCACATCCTGGGCACTGGTACGGGGGTCCATCATTAGATATTATGACTGAAGCATAAAAATTCAACATAAATGATCATACATTTAACGATTGGGTTTGAGGGCAACATGCATTTTTATGGACTCCAGAAACCACAGTTTGCCAAAGGCCATTAGGCAGATAATACATGTAGATAAACAAGTTTTGCTAATAAACATGTAGATAGACAATTCATCATATTACATATACAAGGTTCATTGAATCTTTGTGGGAAGGAAATTGTGTTCCCTATAGTTAAAGCCTGTGATACTGAATTTTCAATGACTTTCTGAATTGTTTTTTATGCTCAGAAAAACTTCGAAGTTTTTTACCTTACTTCAGTAATGGTGGCCGTTCTGTTGATTGATTTCTAAGTGCAGTCTATCTCTATGTACTCTGATCATGTGACACACCTGTGTTATCTACCTGTCAGGTGTTTATACTTCCTGGTCTGGAAGGTGATTTAAATACCCTCAACAACTGCTCTTTGAAATACAATTATATTCATTTTATATAGTTCATGTGATATTTAGCTCTACTGGTTAGAGACCAGAAGAGTTTATTCAATAGTAAGGTGTCTGTCATCCATCCATTTGTTTGTCTGTTTGTAAACAATATTTCAAAACACTACTCCTCTACGGTCAATATAGTAGACAACACTAAGATACCTATTCTGTTCATGGGTTTTTGATGGTCTCACACAGGTCACATAGCTTCATGTCCTGGGCACTGGCATGGGGGCCCATGTTTGTGCAAATCTGAATTCAAAATAAATAGCCTGAAACTGTAAGAAAAATAAAAATAAAATGTATATTATGTAACACCTTTAAAAACTTGATGTTGGCATTTATTTTTTGTTTTACAATATGATTCTTATTTTTAAGCCTTTTGAAACCTTTCTTGGAATTCTCATAATACTCAGATTTGTTCTTATACGTTATATGTTTGTTTGTTTATTGTTTAACATCCCTCTCGAGAATTTTTCACTCATATGGAGACCTACCACTTGGCGGTGGAGAGCTACAAATTTTGACCTATACTCAGCACTCAGGGCTATTGAGCAGTGAGGGATCTTTTTCATGCCCGCACCTACTGCGACACGTGAACTTGGTTTATACGGTCTCATCCGAAGGACCGGTCTCCACGTCCCACAGTGGAATTCGAACCTGCGACTTAAGAATCAACTCCTTACTCCGCGACTCTAGAGCAAACGCTCTAACCACTGCATCACGCAGGCAGCTATACTTAATATGCGATTGATAACTTTGATTCCATTCAATTTCTTTACAATTATTTTTAGCTCTTGTCAGTAATAATGTTTGAAATGTGAGTTAGTCCTATGCAATTTTTTCAAAATTTTAAAAGGGGGATTTTAAAGTATTTTAGCTCACCTGAGCTGAAAGCTCAAGTGAGCTTTGCTGACTACATTTTGTCTGTCTGTCTGTCCGTCCGTCTGTAAACCTTTCACATTCTTGACTTCTTTTCAAGAACCACTGGGCCAATTTCAACCAAACTTGCCACAAAGTATCCTTAGGTGAAGGGAATTCAAGTTTGTTCAAATGAAGGGCAATGCTCTCTTTGAACGGGAAATAATTCAGAAATAGTGAAAATTTGGTGGTATCTTTTAAAAATCTTCTTAAGAACCATTGGACAAAAAAGTTGAAACTTATAGGAAACCTTCTTTACATAGTGTTGATTCCAGTTTGTTCAAATGATGACCCCTGGGGGTAGGGTGGAGTCACAATGGGGCATTGAAGTTTTATATATGATTATATAGGAAAAAACTTTAAAAATCTTCTTCTCATGATCAAGAACAGCAAAGCCATGATAAGTCATATTGAAATGGAAGCATCATCAGGTAGTGTAGATTCAAGTGTTCAAATGATGGCCCCTGGGGGTAAGGCACAGTCACAATGGGGGATCAAAGTTTTACATAGAAAATATAGGGAAAAACTTTAAAAATCTTCTTCTCAAGAACAACAAAGCTATGTTTAGTCATATTGATATGGAAGCATCCTCAAGTAGTGTAGATTCAAATTTGTTCAAATGATGACAATCAGGGTAGGTTGGGGTCACAATGAGGGATTGAAGTTTTACATATATATAGGAAAAAAATCTTGAAATATCTTATTCTCCAAAACAGCAGAGCTATGATTAGTCATATCAATATAGAAGCATCTTTAGGTAGTGTAGATTCAGTTTTGTTCAAAATCATGACCCCCGGGGGTAGGATGGGTCTACAATGGGGTATCTAAGTTTTGCATAGGATTATATGGAAAAATCTTTAAAAATCTCTTCTCAAGATCAGAAAATCCATGATTAGACATATTAATATGGAAGCATTCTCAGGTAGTGTAGATTCAACTTTGTTTAAATCATTACCCCTGGGGGTAGAATGGGGCCACAATGGGGGATCAAAGTTTTTACAAAAGGAAAATGTAGGGAAAAAATTGAAAAATCTTCTCAAAAAGAGCAGTACCATGATTAATATCAACATGGAAGCATCCTCACGTAGTGTAGCTTCAAGTTTGTTTAAATCATTACCCCAAGGGGTAGGGAGGGGCCACAACGGGGAGATCAAATTTTTTTTTACAAAGGAATATATAGGAAAAAATCTTCTGCTCAAGAACAGCAAAGCCATTACTGATATTGATATGGAAGCATCCTCAAAGTGTTAAATTTTAGTTTGCTGCCCCCTTCCATGTAAAACTTTTCAATGCTGAATTGATTATTGCTTTTAATGCCCCTCTTCAAAGAAGGAGGGCGTCATGCTTTGTTGCTGTCGGTCAGTCTGTCTGTCGGTCCTTTTACAGTTTCTGTTCACTTTCATTGCAGAGGTTACACATACTTAATGAAATTTGGTATCCAGATTTATCATAAGAATATCTAGGTCAAGTTCTGTTTTGAGTATGATCGAGCAATTTTTGACAGAGTTATGCCCCTTGGACTTAGGAAAATTCCAATTATTTGGGCATAAGATAGAGATAGTAACTAACGATCTTGATAGAGCTAAAACTGCAATTTTCTGCTCAAATATGTTGCTAAAAGCCATGTATGTAATGGTTTTAATCCCAGAACTGCTAAGCTGTGACGTCTCAACCGCTCAACTATGACGTCAAGCCTATGACAGTGTTAAGAAAAGACGGAAGCAAAGGGAAAATCAAAGAAAATGTAATAAACAGAAAATTCAATGTTTTGTAGATGAATATGGAATTTATTTCACTCGTGAGACAGGATTTTTTGATATTTTCACTCGTGCTTCGCACTCGTGAAAATATCAAAAAATCCTGTCCCACTCGTGAAATAAATTCCATATTCATCTACAAAACATTGAATATCCTCTATATACCCTGTGTTGTATTTCATACACCCTAAGGCCGAAGGCAGAACCTGGATAACTGATAATGTATACTGGGAAAATATCTGATTCAGAACAACAAGGGCCAAAGTGTCTCAGACGAGCATTGTGGCCTATGGGTCTCTTGTTGTAAGTTCTTAAAATCTCAGATATGCTCTTAGATATTTTAATAAAAACTCTGTGAATTGATATGAGGACATGATCCTCAATCTAGAATTTTACTTCTCATATAGAGCAGTAATTCCAGTTATCCCATCTTTATTAGCCAAGTGAATATGTAGCAGGTCAGAAACACATACTTAATCAAGTTGAGCTCATCCTACATTAATTAACCAATTCCACTTAATTTGTCACTAGACTAGCAATAGAATTCATTGAGAATAGGGTCCAGAATCTCAAATGTTAACTCTTACTAGGTGTGTCAACAAACAGGAAAATTGAAATCGTACATTGTATTATGTATGATTTTTTTGTTTAAATTTTTTTAGTTTAAATTGCAAAAAACCTTTGGTATTTGAACATCAATGCAGCATTAATAGACATGTACTAGTACATAGTAATGTATTGAAGGTGAGGGAGATGGCAGCCATAACATTGAGTGGATTAGTACACTGTGGATTTCTAGACATGGACAAAGGCATGCTGGTAATTTCTTGTTCTACATATATTAAATTGCTATTTATCTTGTAATTGGATACCTTAGATTTTAAAATGTGAAGTCCTCAGTCAATATTATTATAAATGACCACTTAATATTTATATAATTTTAAATTGTTTTTCTTTTTGACTAGAGTTGAGAATTTAACTCTGAATTGTAATTTATTTTCTCCTGAAAATCCTCAGAATAAAACAAAATTACCATGCAAAACATAAAGCATATGTACATCCAGTTCAACTTTACTTAATATAAACAGGAACACTTTGAGGTCCTCAGTAAGAACAAGGTAAAGAAGCGTAAGTTAGCTGACTCGATGCCTCTGGAGGCCCTAATAAAGCGTCACGCTGGTGTTCTGGGTCTTAGTGCTCTAGTGGAAGCTTATCCTTACAATGTACCCGAGTTCATGCCAGAGATCCTAATGGACCTGAGTAACCATGTCAATGATCCTCAACCAATTCAGGTCAGTAGAACTTTACATTCATGTAAACAAATTCAGGTCTAAACTTACACTCAACCAATTCAGGTCAGTAGATCCTAACACTCATATCAAGAAATTAAAGTCAAAACTTACACTCAACCAATTCAAGTCAGTACACTCATCTCTCACAACTTACATGCAACAAATTCAAGTCAGTAGAAACTAGCACTCACCTCAACAAATTCTGGCCAATAGAACAAACTCATTTCATCCAATCTCATTAGACAATTCTAGTCACTGCAACCTCACACTTATTTGAACCAGTTCAGTTAAATAGAACCTTACATTTGCTTCAATTATTTCTGGTAAGTACCTTAGAAATATTCATGAATAAGGTCAGTAGAAACTTCATTCAAATCAAGGGTCATTAGAAACTTACTTCATCCAGTTCAAGGTTCAGTAAAAACATGCACCCAGTATATGGTCTCGCTTTACATGTATAATTAATGAAAAGCAATATTTGCACACCAGTAGCTTACTGATCTGAACAGGAATCCTGATATTTCATAAAATAAACAATAGACACAGTTCTGATTATTATTGTGGTATTATTGTCATTGATGAATAATGAATTGCTCTGTTAAAAATTGGTGTTTTTCAGATGACGGTGAAGAAAACCCTTTCAAACTTCCGTAGAACACACCACGACAATTGGCACGATCATAAACAAATGTTTACAGACGATCAACTTGTCATATTAACTGATATTCTAGTGTCCCCTACTTACTATGCTTGATGATGGATCATCGTTCTAGAAAAATTAAATATCAAGGTGTAAGGACCTATATCCATGAACAGTTCAGCCATGGCAGAGCAGACCGGAGTTATCTCCCCACTAATAGGGTCCCAAAAGTGAACAGCGCCATCTCATCCCAATTCACAGATTTCTTCATATTAAGGGACATGTACAATGCTGATTTTACAATTCCTCTTCCCATTTAGTTCAAGTATTTCAGTTATGTATAAGACGTTTTTTCATATTTTAATATACATGTATGTCATGATTGAAATATTTATTTGCATTCTATTAAGGTAATCAAGTAAACATATGAAGTGCGATCAGTTTTATGGACAAAGCTTGAATATTAGTGCATGTCTTGTTGGTTTATGGGAAATAACTTAGATAATGTTTTCAAGATTGCTAACAAAGGGAGATTTTTTGTGTACATTGTTTAAAATCTTAATGTTTTACCATAAAGGTTCCCCACATACCGTTAAATGTAGCCAACTATTGAGTGATTGATACTACCTGAAGCAACTGAAATGTTATGTAAAAGTTACATGTATTTTCAGAAATAGTATGATTTTATAAGACTAAACCTTTAGAAATTAATGTGTACATGCAGTCAAGGATGCAGTGCCAAAGTCATAAGTCATTTGATGAAAGGCATTAACTTTTTGTACAATATACTATAAGAGAAAGTGTATTAAAATAATTCTTATAGTAAACATGTGTATTTTAATTAACTTCAGGGTGTATAACTGTAAATTCTAGTACAGTCGTGTGTAATTTTCATCCTGCATGAGGGTAAATTAAATTTAGTTGTATGAAACATTGCATTTAATTATTCAATGTATTATTTCATTGTATCAGAATGCACGTTTAAAAGTGTAAAAAAAGACTTAACAACTTGGTAAAGTTTTCTTAATAAATTTTGAATAAACAGATATACAAATGTACATATATGTAGTGAGACCAGATGTTGGTTAGTGTAGCGATAAAAAGGTAGAGAGGCTAAAATATCCCAAATATTGAACATCACATTTCATGTACCTGTATTAAAGTGGACTGTGAATTGTGTAATAATCCATGGGTTTTCATTTAAGCTATCCCTGATGTGATACAATTAGTTTACAATTATATCATTAAAAAATTCTTTTACCATAATGATGAGAATCCTTCTCATGCTTTCATTTATGAAAAAAATGGATTTGAATAAAAATTATGCTTTCATGAAGTGTGGTTGTTACTTTGCAAGAACAACATGATTCAAACAGAATTCGATCATATTTTGAAATATCCTTACTTACATCATCATACACATTGTAAAATTAAAAGATGAAAGAGTGGTGCAGATACTTTCTGAAGATTTGTATTTTAATGTTTAAGAAGTCTATATATCCAGACCTGTTTACTCTTACGATTTCGCCGTATTTTGTACGGATTTTGAGTCCAAAATACGTCTCACGTTTTGCTTTGTTGAAATTACGGAAATAAGAAGTCCGTTCGTTTGGATTTTAACAGTTAGTTTTTGTAATGACCTGTCTCAGTTTGACGCTTCTTAATCAAAAAAGAGAAAGATTTTAAACACTTCAGTGATGTCGGGTTGCTAAAACTCTGAAGTTTTAAAAACGACCAAAAAAAAAAAAACAAAAAAAAAAAAAAAAAACGAAAGAAAGCAAGGTATGATGCTTTTCTTTGTTGTTAACCCATGTTTTGGTAATCAGAAATGTAGTTGATCTCTAGAAATATATGTGAAATCGATGGAAGTGAAATCTTACGGGCAAATGCCAAATCTCACTGACAAATCTAATAAAAAAAATACTGAGAGACAACGATATGGGTAAACAGGTCTATATATCTATTTGAATATCATCGTGTTACGGACACTTGATAATTCTTCAAATGCATTCTGTTGAGTTGTTTCACACATAGATGGTAATTAATGTAACATTTTTTGGAAATCAAAAATTAATTTTCAAATAATACAAGGACTTCCAATAGAACTCTGTAGGTTTTTCACTTAATAAATGTAGGATAGAAAGAAGGAGCCTTACAGAGGACGTAACCCAAAGATCAGACTGAAATAGTCTAAGGAATGTAAAATACTGTAAAAACAGAAATATTCGTTGGGATTAAATTTCGTTGTCATTTAACAAAGTCAAATCCCACACGAAATTTAGATATGACTATAAATTGAATAGGGTTACTTTCGAAACAACGAAATTTAATTCCCACGAACACTTTTTTTTTATTAATTTTTGATTAATCAATGAAATTTTATCCCCACAAAAATTTGTGATTCTACAGTTGCATAAAATCAAACAACAGAAATAATTTCCCTTTAGCATGATATGAAATAATTACATGAACATGTAAATTTTGGACTTCACATCGCTCATGTCAAAAAGTTCCAAAACCAGAGACATATAGCCACGTTTTTGTACCTTAGTTCATGGCATTTTTTGTTTACCTTTTCTGTCTAAAGTTATACAGCATCTGTAAGTCATTAGAAAAAAAAATACTTTACCTGGATGAAAATGCTAAACCAATCTTGAATGTTATGTTTTTTGATTTAAAGGTAAATGCACAGAAGTACCATGTACAGGTTCATCTAGAAAAACTTTAAAAGGTTATGTAATGATGTTATAATTATAATGGATTTAAAGAATATGCTTTTAAGAAGACATTTTCCTACAGGATGTGTGTAAAAATTGTAGAAGACCTTGTGGTATTAGTGAAAGGTGTATCATTGTAAGTATATGTGTTGGATTTTATCTTTTTTTCTCTTTAGGTAAATTGAGATTTTTTTTTAAAAAAGTTCAATGTTATCTTAATTAAAAAAAAACTATACAAATTTACTTCTCTTTTTCCGTATTTTTTTCTGCTTTTTGATGAACATTAGTCAATATGTAAAATAATATTTAGTTATTTTCCAATTTCTATGACATCAGGATGTGGAAGTTCAGTCAGTATGCTGTAGAACTGCTAACGCTCCTACTGCGACATGATGTACCCACACCTTCACTAGCTGTGGACCTTTTTGTGTCCAACCTCATACACGACTCCTTATACGAGGGTTGTTCGAAAAGTTCGTGGACTGCTGCGATAAAATTAATACTATGTAGTCTATGCTTGCAAAATTTTTAATGAACATAAAACAACAAAAGTTGAGGAAATGTTGAAAATTTTAGCTTGATACCTTGAATATTTACCAAATTATCATTAAATAATAAAGACATTATATAATCACCCGGCGCTGTCGCCATTTAGTTTCATGACGTCATTGTTTTTCAATGTTCGCATTCTCTACCTCATACACTTATCATGATGAGTTTCCTTGGAGTTAAGTAAAGATTTAAACCCTTCTTGTTTATATGATTTTACAATGTCATAAACAGCTGATTTCAATGCATAAAATATTGTAAATAGATCCGAAAGATCCTCACTTGATTATAACAGCATATTTGCTGGACGGAGTTTAATATCTATCACACATGATCAACGTCACTTTTCGACGTGACAAACTTTGAACACCCTTACTACAAATCGACATTAACTTTTACATCTCTCGTCTCTCTAATCTTTTTCAGCGTTTAAAAACAAGTACTCTGAATGCATTTTATTTTTCAGTAGCCCATTTAAATATTTTCTAGGTCTATGCCAGTTTTTCCAGAGGTTGAAACTTTATAGAATGTGCGAAAAAGAAACCTATCCCCCTTTCTGACGTCATTACAACCCCATAATTGTTTGGACATTTCATATAAAAGTTAAGATAAAATTTCATAGAACTTACAGAATGTGGTAAAAATTGCAAATTTCACGGTACAATTGTGTCATACCATATGAGTGAATTAACGGGATTTTTGAATGACAAATGTTCATATCCAAAAAAGAGTTTTTTTTCAGTTACGCTTATGTAGAAAAAACATAATTTTCGAGGTTGCGCCGCCTGGACATACCATTGCTTTTAAAAACATCAACAAATTATTAAAAAATAAAAGTAATGATGTATAGTTTATTATATAAATAAAAAAGATGATGCTAATTAAACGTTAAAAAATTCATTGATGTATTTTAAGCGGTTTTAATTTTATGGCGCTAGTCCACGAACTTTTCGAACAACCCTCGTACATCAGAAAGGTACACTAATATACATGTATTTTGTTGATTTTTTTTTTTTTGATTTGTGAGAGTTAACTTTCAAGGAGTAAAAATGTAAGATTTTGTTGAGTCATAATTCCATAGGTAATGATAAACTTTACAATCAATATTTGTTGAGGTTGTATATTCATGGGTAAGGGGCAATAATTATCAAGTATTGGATCTAATAAAAAAAAAAATGATTACACGTCAAAAAAAAAAAAAAAAAAAAAAAAAAAAAAAAAAAAAAAAAAATCAAAAACAGGGTCACTAGTTGAATTCTCTCCCTTTAAGACTACAACAGAAGTTTCTCCTGTAGACATGTTATGGTTTTTATTTTATCTTCAGCTGTCAACAGCCTCAGTATCAGCCATTCTAAAGCAACAGAAAAGGAAACATAAGAAGGTGGTGGTGGACCCCTACAGGAGTGCCCCACCCCCTCCCGCTGGGACCTTCCTCCCTGGGAATCGTCCGGATAATGATTGGATCATGTATGACTCCAGCCACCTTCCGGACAATCAAGAGAAATGGGAGACCATGGAATTCGTGGACAAAAGTCACTGGGGATACTACTGCTGGCCAAAGTATTATTTTAATCACAACATTAAGTAATTTTTAAGTTAGTTGATAATAATTAATTGATCATGATCATTAAATTATTCCTCTTTTGAATTCCAAGGTTAATTATACCATGTTCCAGTCTCTATCCAAATATATGGAATATACCTTAATCAAGTTTAGGGTTTTTATTAATTCATATTTTTTATAAAATTAATTTTTTTAGTCCAAAGATCGAACTGTAGAAACACTCTTTTAGTATCATTTTGACTATTGGGTATTAATTGAATGATATGAATTATGTCTGTTTACTTTAAATCTGTTGCAGAGAAGTGAAAATTTATGCCCAGTATTCGGAGCAGCCAAAATTAGATCGTGTAGAATCAGAACTATTAGATATAGAAAAACCTATTTATGTGAAATTGAGTGACTCAGAATTTGTGAAAAAGTTTATAGAAGTGCTTAGTTTAGAGGAGCATAAAGGAAGAGATAAATTCAGGAACAAACATCTAACCTTATTCAAGGTAGGTCTAGCACTTTGACAAATTCTTTTTTTTGGTTTTGTGTGTGTGTGTGTGTGTGTGTTTTAAAAGGTGAAAAGTCACATCCATTAATCACATATATGTACCAAACAATAAAGAAGAAAATACTGTAAACCAACTTTTATTCGCGTGCAAGAAATATCCGTGAGTTTCGCGACCTACTTTAAGTCGCAAATATTGATCGCCGCAAACCATTTATTTTGCTTTGTATTTATAGAGAATATTTCCTCAGTCACAAAAATTAATCATCGTGGATTGATTTCAAATTGACGAATCGCGAATTAAAGATGATGCAAATAATAGTTGGTTTACAGTAATTAAATGTTAATTGTTAAAGAGTGTGAACATGCTTTATAACATCTTTGCAAGCTTCTGAAGATGGCTGTACAATTGAATTTTCATTTCAAAAAATTCTTTTGATCCTTTAAATTGTTTTTGTTTTGTGATTTGTTTCAGGGTCTGTTTAGGAATTACGGTGACACGTTCCTCCCCCACTTCAGATCCCACATTGTGGAGCTTCTTTCGGACAGGAGCCACGAGCACCACGAGAGTAAACAGAGGTGTGGCATGGAGATTTTAGCGGGGGTCATACGTGGCTCCAAACACTGGCCTTATGAGAAGGTAGAACATTGCGTCCTCTTTCAAGTCATAAATTATGTGTACAGATGTGTACAGATGTAAATATCAGGGTGTGCAGAAAAAATTGAATAATTTAAGTACTATGCAGAAGACTATACACTGTATGTGCATCAGCAAACTTTAGTACTGAGTTAATCTGCATTTCAGTTTTTTGTTTCTGGAATGTTTTTGCTAGGTGAATGCCCTTTGGGATTGGGTTATCCCCATTTTGAGAACCTCCTTAGATAACATTACCATCGAGACTCTGAAGGACTGGGGCACGTTCTTCACGGTCGTGTCTGAGAGCCGTGATCCCAGATCCCAGCTAGCACAAAAACATTTTAAAAATGTTTTTAAAACATTTAATTAAAATGTTACAAAAACATTTTCAAAAATGTTTTAATCACGTGATTTTGTATGGTTTTTTTTAAACGTTTTTAAAACATTTCAGCAAAATATTTTAGCAAATGTTATCAGAACATTTAATTAAAATGTTACAAAAACATTTTCAAAAATGTTTTAATCACGTGATTTTGTATGGTTTTTTAAACGTTTTTAAAACATTTCAGCAAAATATTTTAGCAAATGTTATCAGAACATTTAATTAAAATGTTACAAAAACATTTTCCAAAAATGTTTTAATCACGTGATTCTGTATGGTTTTTTAAACGTTTTTAAAACATTTTACCCAAATGTCGCAATGGCATCTCTTTCCTGAAATGTCAATAGACGTTTTCAATAATGACATGAGAACATCATTTTGTACGATTTTAAGAGCGCTTTTAATACATTTCATCTTAATTATAACTCTCAAAGAATAAATGACAACTGAATGAATTCATTTTTTTCTTACAAATTTTAATACAAACCCTTATGCAATATGCAATACACATTTTAGTTCCATTTCCAATGCAAGTTCTGAGTTATTTTGTTTTAACCCAACAGGTATTTTTAAAGAATAAAAATCCATTCACTGAATTTAAAAACAACAGAATCACACAAATCCTTCCCATAAAAAGAATAACCAGGCCTAGATCAATTACGATCCCGCAAAAAGCATGTATATACATGTATATGTGTAGGTTCCACAGAGCGGCGGATCTAGCTATTATGTAAATGGAATCGCACACAAAAACTTCACAAGAAGTCTGTCCTCGGAAAGAATTCAACAAGTCGCTCGATCTTTTCAGTAAAGCAGAACCTGTGAACATGGAGACAACAGTGTTTAAGTCATCCGTCTACTTCAGATCTTTAAATGACGAAAATATAAAAGAACATTTTTTAATTAAATCCTAAAATCATAAGAACTTTTCCCATTTGCATTATGAAAAGAATTAAAGTTGTTGCTTGTTCATAACTATAACACAATAATATTATTAAAGCAATGATATTTACGTACAAAAAAGTGCCTTCGTCTTTGTCAGCTAGAGGCGGTTCTTTCAAATGTGGCAATTTGAATGGAATTCAAGTTTGTTGCTGGAACTGTCATCTAACTGCAATATGATTTCATGTTTCAATAATAAGATATTTTGAATTATGATCAACATAAGATAAGGAGGTATATTTGTTGTTGAATAAAGTATTTAATTCAAATACATAATAGCTTTGTCTTTGCTACACATATGCATACAAGAATACAATGATGTACTAGTAACATAAAGGTTATTTTTAAAAATTATCTTTTGAAATCTCTGATTAAAGTATACTCACAATGCAGATGTTAATAATCAAGCGCTCATTCTCCAGGCCTATATGATGCAAAAATCTTGTTTGAAAATCAGCGACAAGAAAACGCGCACATCCTGTTTACCAGAATTCAAATTTTGGCAGATAAGCTGCAAACCACTATACTCTATAACGCGCTGCCCAGCAGGAGAATTGCATAACAAGGTTATCTTGACACTGAAACTGACCAGTGAATCAACTCCTAATCTGCTGCCTTGGATTTTAAGAAATATGATGCAAACAGGCGAGACCGTCATAAGTCAGACTGTGTTAATTATTGTAAACAGTTTGTTTATTGTTTTGTTTTCTTATTAAAATTAAAGTATCTTAAATTTATTCAATGAACTTTGTATTGATTACAAGTCTGTGAACTCAATAAGACTTTTTTAAAAAAAAAAAAAAAAAAACGTATCATTGAAAAAAGAAAGAAAATACCGGGATACGCAAGTGATCGAGTTGCAGTAATATTAATGTCTTCAGAAAGTTTTTAAAAGCATTTTTTAATTTAATCCCAATCTTCTCTGGATATTCTATGCATTTTTTTCTCAGACAATTGGGTTAGTCGTGAATATTTTCAAAACATTTTGAAAATTACATTACAAAATGTTGCATTAATGCTAAATAAAATGTAATAGTCTTTAGAAGAATAAACGTTAGAGTCAATGTTCTAAAAACATTTTTACAACATAATTTGAAAATAAATAAATGCATTAATATTGAAAATGAAATAAATGTTTTAAAAACATTTTGAAAATGTTTCAATAAAATGTTGCATAAATCATAAATAAAATGTTTCAGTTGTAGGAGGAGAACACGTTTTGTTAAATGTTTTAAAAACATTTTCACGACCAACACCTGAAAACATTTAAATATTATACTATAAGCAGTACGTAGAATGTTTTAAAAACATTTTGACGACGTTCCTTCAAAACGTTTTAGAAAAGAAACATTACAATGTTACAGATTTATAGAAGAGGAACGTTTTATATCATGTTTTAAAAACATTTTTATAACGTAATATGAAACTGTTTAATATATGCAAACAAAACATACCTTTCAAATCATTTTTAAAACGTTTCAAAAACATTTTATAGAAATGTTCCTTAAAGATTTTACCTTAACCATTTTGAAAACATTTTAAAAATGTTTTTAAAATGTTACAACGGGAAAGAAAAATGTTTTAAAAACATTTTAAAAATGTTTACTCTGAAAATGTTTTGAAAAAACCTTTTTATAACTGCAGTAAAATGTTTTGAAAATGTTTTGTGCTACCTGGGCAGAAGACTGTATCGATTCTTTGAGATGCTAATTGATAAACCAATCAGGGAGGGATCATCCTCTTTTGAGGACTCCAGGTATATTATTATTCGAGAGAAGTCAGAAATTTGCATGTTGTTTAGAAGATTCCAAGGGGAATTCATTTGATAATAATACTGATAATTTTTTGTACACAAGTTTTTCAGAGTTGATGAGTAATAAAATGTCCAAACAAGATTCTCCAAAAAAAATTTACTCGAATGACATTACGGAAGTTTAGGTAAATTTTCTTATTATTTTATAGCCGTCTTTTTGCTGTGCAGAATGCTTTAGTACAGCAGGAATGGAGAGTTCCGGAACTCCTCCATCGTCTGTTAGAATTCCTGGCACCGTACCTCTCCCACAGGTACAAGAATGTCAGGGACAGAATTGGAAGGTTAGTATCTGTACCTGATGCAGAAATTTGGACACAGGTACAGTGTAGTACATAAATTGTAAATGTGTCTTAATTTCTATTCTTTGTTTTTAGAGATGGAACAATTAAGGTTCATTGATCGTCTGATAAGAGAGATAACTTTCTCTCTCTCTGGTAGAAATGACTATAATTCCTTTATAACATTGTTAAGTTAAAAAACCATATCTATCAATTTTTCCCCACAAGGTTTGCTGAAATTTGCATTTTAACTATAAATGATTTCTTTTGGAAAATAATGAGAAAGCATAATTTTGTATGAGAGAAAAGAGGAATGATGAAAACCTTAACATTCTTTTTAGAAAATATCATCATTGAATCCTCTGTTTCAGCCTGCTGTCCAACATTATGCTGTATGACTACAGTATCATGGCGGGTTCCTCCACTAAATCTCCACACAGAGTGGATTTTGTCCAGAAGGTGATTCCACGGCTGGAACCACTCAAACACCAGGTGCTATCAGACAATGGGAATAATGGCAGCTCAAAGGGTAGGTTCTAATTCCATTAAGATTGAATGGAAAACCTTGGCTTGCGAAGATGTAAAGGATTGAAAAACTGCAGTCATATGTTGCATTAATATTGTTTTGATAACTTTTATTAATCTGAGTTATTGCAAGGATGTGTTAGAAGTCTTTATGATGTATTTGAATTTTAACAGAGGAGGAGAACCACAGAGAGACGTCTTCCTCCTCAGAGAAGATGGAGGTGGAGGATGATGAGGATGAAGAGAGGAAGACTACAATAAGGCTGTGTAAAACAGGTGAGGAGGCTCACACATATCAGAAAATAATCCAACAAAGATGATGAAACAATTCTGATAATTTATTCCTTTCTTACAGTGCTAAAGTGGATTTCTGATGGTCTAGGTAGAATGTTTACCTCAACTACACCAGAGCTTTTCCTTTTTCTTCCAGTTGTAAGTATGCTGAATGTGCAAGTCTATCTCTTAAACTGGTAAATATTTTCAACAATTTAACCAGAGTGATGAAAATATATAGAAAAACATTTTTATACCTCCCGTAAACGAATTCTATTTCGTCATAATTACTTCCGGAATTATGTGAGATAGTAGTACGCATGTGCAACCTCAGTGTGGTACGAGTTATGAATAGGGAAGGACGTGGTCTTTCCTTTAGCAACTTCAGTTCGTGTCTGGGTTAACGTTGTTAACTCATATTTTGTAATTACTTGGTATTGTTACTGGTAATTTTTAGACACGTTTATTAGTTTACAAAACTCGAGGAGTTTTGTTTTTACGACTACCATAAAGCGGTGTTACGACTTCTTTATGATAAAGTAGTAAAAATGGCGGAACAAATGATTCAAAAGAAACAATTACGTAGCACTACTAGCTTTGAGGAAGAAATAGATACAGCTAGACAACAGACTAAACATTCAAGGGTAACGAGGTTACCAAAAAGAATAAAACTGAGGTTCAGGGAACAAAAACTAAGAAACACGGAAGTTCTGTTGGTACTAAGGTAAGTGCTACAAGTACAAGGTCCAGCGGAACGAAAAAATCTTTGAAAGTTGTGGCCGATGTCCATAACAAAGCCGATAGTGATAATACACAAAACGATAGTCAAATTATGGGTATATTGACTACAATACTTGAAAACCAGAAAAAACATGATGAAATTATTGGCACGTTGAATAACAAAGTCAATAGAATAGAAAACGAATTTCAAGACTGTGATGATTACGAATGTTACGATGATGATCAAGCATATGACGAGAGTTGTAGTAATATTCAGCGTACTGATGATAATGTAGAAAATCCAGATAATACTTCTGGGAAAAGGAAGAGTGATCAGTTGGACACAGAAGCTGTTCAAGAAAATACAAGTCGTTTTATGAACATGAGCAAAAGATTTAAGAGCAGAGAAGTGTGTGATGTGAAAATAGATGAGACTTTGGCTACAAACATAACAGATTTGTTTAGAACTGGAATGAATGAAGATCAATATTCAGATCTGATTAAAGATGAAAACAATGCAAGACCAGAAAACTGTGAAGGCCTAAAAGTTGTGAAGACAAACCAACTTGTTTGGGATATTATATCTCAAGAAGCAAAAACTATTGATAGAAAAATGCAAAACATCGAAACCTCTGTTGTTAAAGGTTCCATTATCTTGGCCAAAGTTGTAAACAAATTAGCAGACTTGGAGAATGAATTGGATGATTCACATAAAACGAAATTGGGAAAAATAATAGATGAATGCAATGATAGTTTAGCACTCTTTGGACGTGCAAATAGACAAGTGAACATGACAAGACGAGAGCTTATCAAGCCTGAATTGAGATATGAATACTTGCATTTGTGTGCACAAACTGTACCTTATACGTCATGGTTATTTGGTGACGATATTTCAAAAACGGCAAAAGAAATTGAAGATTGCAGTAAGATTGGTCATAAGCTGCAGTACAATAACAGAGGAGGATCATTCAGAGGTCGAATGAGAGGAAGATTTAGAGGTCGCAGACCAAGAGGACGTGGAAATTATAGCAATTCTGCATATAATCCAAATTACGGATATTCGAACAGAAACAGTGGTGGAGTTAGTGGACAATTTTATCCAAAAAACTCCAAGAAGAGCAACACTCAACAGAAAAGCAAGACTCAATAAATGATGAGGTTAGTGAGAAAAGTGTTGAATTTTATGCAGGTAGATTGAAATATTTTTCCAAAGAATGGGAAAAAATTACATCAGATAAAAATGTATTACAGATAGTTGAAAACTGTAAAATAGAATTTGCAGATGATGTAGCTCCAACAAAATGTAATTTGTATGAACCTAAATTTAATTCAGTAGAATCTGAAGTGATAGATCAAGAAATTGAGAGTTTATTAAAAATGGGAGCTATTGTTGAGGCAATTCCTGGACCAGATCAATTTCTGTCATCTATATTTGTTAGACCAAAGAAAAATGGGGAATACAGAGTTATTCTTAATTTAAAAAATCTAAATGAATATGTAGTATACCATCATTTCAAGATGGATACTTTTGAATCTGCAGTAAATCTGGTCAAAGAAAATTGTTTTATGGCATCAATTGACATAAGACATGCCTATCATACAATTCCAATAGCAATGGAGCATCAAAAATATTTGAGATTTAGATGGAAAGGGAAAATATTTCAATATACCTGCTTACCATTTGGTTTGTCATCAGCACCTAGAATATTCACAAAGGTTCTCAAACCAATCTTTGCAAAGCTTAGAACATTAGGTTATCTTAGCATGACTTACATTGATGATGTTTTACTGTTTGGAGATACTATTGATGAGTGTAGAATGAATGTGAACATCACAAGAGAATATCTTGAAAAATTTGGTTTTGTGATTCATGGAAAGAAAAGTCAATTTGAACCCAAGAAGTGTATCACATTTTTGGGAAATGTAATAAATTCTGAAAGAATGACTATTGAATTGACTGAGGAGAAGAAAGACATTATTTATGAAGAATGCAAGTGTTTAATGAATAAAGATCGCGCTAAAATAAGAACTGTAGCTCGAGTCATTGGACTGATTATTTCGAGTTTCTCAGCTACAGAATTAGGAAAATTACATTACAGACTGCTAGAAACAGAGAAAATAAAGCATTTAAAAGAAGCTAAAGGGAATTTTGATTCCTTAATGCCAATCACTATAAAAATGAAAGAAGAACTAAGTTGGTGGTGTTCCAATATTCATTCTCAGATAAGACTTATCTCTAGAGGTAACCAAGAGATTACTATTCAAACTGATGCATCTTTGTTAGGTTGGGGAGCAATATGCACACAAGATAATATCAGAACTGGTGGAAGATGGAAAGAAGAAGAAAAAATGAATCACATAAATTACTTAGAAATGCTTGCAATTTACTTTGCTTTGAGATCATTTGTGAATATTGTGAAAAACAAATATGTAAGAATATTATCAGATAATACTACTGCCATTAGTTATATTAATAATATGGGTGGCATAAAATCTCAAATTTGCAATAAACTTGCAGTGGAAATATGGGAATGGTGTACTAAGAGAAACTTTTGGTTGAAGTGTTCTCATATTCCAGGGAAAAATAACATAGAAGCAGACAAATTATCCAGAGAATTCAATGATCAAGTGGAATGGCAATTAGACCATGATATATTCTTACAAATTTGTTCAAAGCTAGGTTGTCCAGATATAGATTTGTTTGCATCAAGACTCAATGCACAAGTTGAAGTGTTTTGCTCATGGAAACAAGATCCAGAATGTAGTTATGTTGATGCATTTCCTTTGAATTGGAGAACTTTTGATTATGTTTATATTTTTCCACCTTTTAGTTTGATGGGCTTGTGCATCAAGAAGATTCGGGAAGACCGGGCAAGAGGGATTATCATTGCCCCATTATGGCTCACTCAGACTTGGTTCACAGGATTAATGAAAAGTATAGTCAGGAATCCATTATTACTTCCGAGAAGGAAGAATCTACTTCTAAACCCTCACAAAAAGGAGACTCATCCTCTGTGGGAAAAAATGACCTTGATTGCATGCCAAGTGTCCGGCGAGCTTACAGAAATTTTGGATTTTCAAAAACAACTACCTCCATTATTATGGCATCATGGAGAACCGGTACTAAAAAACAATATCAAACGTTCATCAAAAGATGGTTTCAGTACTGCTCTGAATGGAAAATTAATCCAGTTTCACCATCTATTAATAATATTTTGGAATTCTTGACTTTACTTCTTGAAAATGGATTGAGTTACAGTTCACTCAATACCGCTCGGGGGGCTTTGTCAGCGTTGGGCATAAAATTAGATGGAACCAGTGTTGGATCCCATGCTCTTGTTATTAGATATATGAAAAGTGTTTATAACATTAGACCAACTAAACCCAAATATTCTGGAACATGGGATGTATCTTTAGTTCTACGACAGTTGAAGAAATTGTCTCCTGTAAAGACATTAAGTTTGAAACAATTAACATTGAAACTGGTAATGTTAATTGCTTTGACAAATGCTGCACGAGCTCAGTCAATTCATCTTATTTCTGTAAATAATATGAAAAAGTGCTTTAATGAATACATATTTGAATACTCCGGACTTCTAAAGCAATGTAGACCGGGTTATAAAATGCTTGTTGTACATATGAAAGCACACCCTCCAGATAGGAGACTTTGTATATACGTTGTGGTGAAGGAATATTTGTTAAAGACAGCACCTATTAGAAATGGAGAACAATCACTTTTATTAAGTTATGTTAAACCTCATAAGGCAGTTACGAGAGACACAGTGTCCAGATGGATCAAAATGGTGATGAAACTTTCTGGGGTTAATACAGATGTATTTGGATCGCACAGTGTAAGATCTGCTTCAGTGTCAAAAGCAAAATCGGCAGCTGTGCCAGTAGATGAAATTTTAAGGAAGGCTGGATGGACTAATGCTACAACATTCTCCAAATTCTATGAAAAAGACATTATTGTTGAAAAAGAAAGTTTTGCTTCAGGTGTGCTTTGCAAGAAAAATTAGAGTGGGAGACAAGTTCTCAGTAAGTAGAATAGTATTATGATCATGTATTTTTCTTGTGATTTGAAACATTTGATCATAATGCACTTTGAAGTCTCACATAATTCCGGAAGTAATTATGACGAAATAGAATTTAAAAATTTGACGAGACTTACCTTGGTTAAGTTGAAGTCAGATTGTAATTCTATGAGTCATTATAATTACTGTAGGGATTATGTGCCTCCGACCACTCCCTGCACAGGGTTTTCAGATATTCATACATATCAGACCAATAATTCAAAAAGTAATAATAATTTAGGTAATTATGTACATTGACAAAATGATTACATTATGACCAAATGATTAAGTTTGAAGACTGAGGTTGCACATGCATACTACTATCTCACATAATCCCTACAGTAATTATAATGACTCATAGAATTACAATCTGACTTCAACTTAACCAAGGTAAGTCTCGTCAAATTTTTAAATTTTGGGGGGTATACAGGAATCACTTTGTCTAGCTGTGCAAACATGTCCAGTCCATATCTTTCTTACTGAGGAACATAAGAATCTACTCTTCTCACAAAGATTGTTCATACCAAAGGGTGTGTCATGACCTTGACCCAAGGGTATTTGGGCAAGTTCAAGGTCACTGAAAGAAAAAGTGCATAATTTGTGTCAGGTCCATATCTTTGTTACGGAGAAACGTTAGAATCTACTACTACACACATAGATTGATCATGACCTGAGGGTGTGTCATGACCTTGACCCAAAGTCATTTGGGCAAGTTCAAGGTCACTGAAAAAATTCATAATTCGTGTCCGATCCATATCTTGCTTATGGATAAAGTTGATGAGTTCCCATTTTACACAAAGATTGCTTATGACCTGAGGGTGTGTCATGACCTTGACTCAAGGTCATTTGTGCAAGTTCAAGGTTACTGACAGAAAAAGAACATAATTCATGTCTGGTCAATATCTTTCTTATGGAGAATAATGTTGGGATGTTGGGAGTTTCCACTCTACACAAAGATTGCTTATGACCTGAGGGTGTTTCATGATCTTGACCTATAGTTAATATGACTGTCCAAAATTTTATGTTTTCATTACTATTACTATACTTTAATATATCTCTGTGTGCAGTACAACAAATATTCATGTTTTCTTAGCAGGGGATATCATTTGTGAGCTAGCTCACAGAACCTCTAGTTACATCTGAAATAGACACTTTGATGTTGAGATTCTGTAGAATTGATTTTTCCTTCAGATTTGCACATTAGAGAGTGAGACTAAGGATGAGGAATTGAAGACTGACTGTTCTATGGCCCTGGCCTGCTTTTCTCAGGCTCTGATTCAGGAGAACAATGTCACTGTGTGTCTGGAGACCATCAGAGAGGTGAGTCCAACAAACACAGGTCTAAAACAGTACATCTACAATTAGAGGAACTTTTCAGATACAAAAAAATGTAGAATCCATATTTTAAGTTCCTTCAATGCAAAACTCTTGTTAAAGTAGTCAGGCTCTCACCATGATAAGAAGACATATTGTTGAATGGAGAAGAGTTTGAAGATTATGATAAAGTTGCAAGGACCTTAAGTGCCAAATTGATAAGAATGATGGAAGCTTTATTCCTAAATTTTTTTTTATTTCTGTAGGTGATGGGACTGAAGTCATGGCATTCCCGTGTGGCTATCCTTGGATACATCCAGGTCATGGTGTACTGTAATCTTTTTACCATGATCCAGACAAAGTACAAAAAGGAAATCCAGAACTTTTTACTACATCTCATCTGTGATGACCAAGTAGAGGTAGGTTATATATACATAACCAAATAAAAGGGAAAAAGGGGAGGGGAGGGGGTCAGAGCTTAATGCAGTTAAGCACGCTTGTAACGAAGTGCCAAGGACCGATGATTATGCTTTGTTATTAGCATAATTTGTTTCATCCATTAAGTGTACAATATATTTTAAAGTCTTCGGAAATAAAAATCATTCACTGTAAGCATCAATTCATTACAAGCATGTTCGCTATGAGTGTGTTTTACTGTACTACATCTCATTTATGATGACCAAGTAGAGGTAGAATATATATACAAAAACAAACCAGATTCGGGGGGAGGGCAGGAGAACTTTATACTGCACCTCATCTGTGATGACAAAGTAGAGGGATGTTCAGTGACTACTGTTCTTCTCAAGTAGCTAATAGATATACAGTTAAACTTCAGTATCTCAAACACCAATATCTCGAATACAATAGGTATGTTAAAGTGAGTTAAACATCCAAATTCTTTTTTTCTATGTATTTCAATCTCTTTATTTCGAAGTTTTTTTTCTTTCTCCTTTGAAGGATAAATAACACAAGCAAAATTTTTTCTTCCAAAATTCAAATTTCTCACTTTAGAAGTGATATTTGTTTGGTTAAATAGCTTAATGTTTGGCCAAGCCACAAAATTTGGAGAAAAGTGCAAAAGTGCTATTCTACAGCTCAATATATTTTTTTGTTTTAGAAATTTATGAAGTTTTCTTACAGCAAAGTTTCTGGGGATATTTTTAACAGTGTAATTTAACATTTTACTCAATAAAAGTTTCTTAATTATAACATTTCTTTTGAAATAAATTTTGGAAAAAATACCAGTGTAACTCTTTTGTGTGGGAGATAAGAAAATTTGTTTGTGGTATGTATCTTTAAGTTCTAGATATTGAGGTTTGACTGTATAATGCATGTAGCTTAAGGGAACATTGAAAATTTTCAAACATAGATAGATATTATTGCCTGAGGTGCAGTTTTATTATTTTTAATGTGTATAAAGATGAAATAATTTTTTTAGATCTTAAGAACAGAGGGACTTTATTACATACTCTAGGTTCAAGTTTGTTCATATCATAATCCCCGGGGGTAGCGTGCAGCCACAAGAGAGGGTCGAACTTTTACATAGGAATATAATGAAAATATCTTTAAAAATTTTCTTCTCAAGAAAAGCTAAGCCATTATTAGTCATTTTAATACAGAAGTATCTTCGGGTAGTGTGGATTCAAGTTTGTTCAAATCATGACCCCCCAGGGGTAGGGCAATGCCACAACAGTGGGTCAAAGTTTTACAAAGGATTATATAGGAAATATCTTTAAAAATCTTCTCAAAAACAGCTAAGCCATTGTACACAGGGTAAAAGTTTTACATAAGAATATATACATGATATAGGGATCATCTTGAAAAAAATCTACTCAAGAACAGCAAAGCCATGATAAGTCATATTATTGTGGAAGCATCCTCAGGTAGTGTAGATTCAAATTTGTTCAAATTTAGGGTGGGGCCACAATGAGCGATTAGAGTTTTACATAGGAAAATATTCTTCTGCCCAAGAACGGCAAAGCCATGATTAGTAATATTAAGAAAGTAGCATCCTGAGATAGAGTCAATTGAAGTCCCCTCCCCCCTTAAACTTTTTAATACTGAACTGATTTCTGCTTTTTCCTAGCTAATGTGTTCAGGTGAGTGATATGGCCCATGGGTCTCTTGTTGTTTATGTCTATTCATATTGATGACTTACAGAACAATTTTGAGTTTCTTGGTGATTGACTCATTTTTACAAAAGTTACAAACCTTAGACTTTTAAAATTTCTAATTCACTTTTTTCTGTACTTTTTCCCCTAATGTCCTGATCTTTGATTTGTCTCTTTTTATTGATCACAGGCATGAAATATAGTTTTCTTATTAATTGACCAATTTCCATGAAAGAATATGGCACTTAAACCCTGAACATTTCTGATTATTCACTGTTTGTTGACTTTTTTATCGCTAAATACTTGAAGATGTTCACCATTTCATTCAGCTTAAGTATGTTGCAGTATTGACAACTGATTCTAGGAAACAAAAGATTTTCATACATTTGAAACTTGCATGCCAGCAGGTGTATACATGTCACACTGACACATCTACTCTGAATTTCAAATTTTATTCTATCATGGAAATGGTGAAAATAAGAATTCAGTGTAGACAGTAGAAGGAAGGTTTATTCCTTTGTTATATTACATGAACACAAATTAATCATTTCTCTCCTATACAATGATAATGCAGAATTTTTAATTTAAGAGCATTACAGTGCTTCCTCTCTCTGCTGCTTTTTATTTATCTGTTTCTTTTGTGGGAAACAGTTATCATTATCTTTGAGTGAATCATTATAGTAAGTTTTATGAGATAAATCATTGTCTTGTTTTACTATATTAATGGTCATAGATTTCACTGCAGATATTTGATTTTCTTCACTTGTTTGTTTCTTAATTGAGCAACAAACAGATTGTCATTTGAATCTGTACACAGTCCCCAGGGATAACTCAGTCCACAGTCTATGCAACGGAGGAACTGTCCATCCTGGTTTATGATGTGGACACACTTATTGTTAATATTAGCTGTAAGGATGTGACTCTGACTGTCTGCGGTGATTCCTCGTGGACTGAATGGTTTGTTCTTTGGAGCAGGAGTTTGCCCAGTGTACCTGAATCTCAGTTTCCCGGCCTGATTGACCACCACTAGTGCATTAGCTCTATCATCAGACACACAGATATCCAGGTTCTTGTTCTCAGTTATGTATCTGTAATAAAGAGAACTATGTGAATAGAGAGGTTTACCTTTATCATCAAACTGAATGCTTTGTTTCTCTGTGGAGCCAGAGTAACGGACAACTTTTGTTTGTTTGACTTCAATACTATCCATGATAACCAGGAGGTCGCCAGAGGAGGTACTACAGACACCTTTAGGTCTCCAGTTCTTTAGTCTGATCACCTCCTCTATCTTCTCATTCTTCACAATGTTCACAGTTCTATCATCATAATCAGTATAAACTAGATCTCCACTTTTTGTCACTGCTATGTTCCATGATATGTTCCCTGACATGGTTGTGATTGACTTGAGTAGTGATCCCTGATTGATGCTGTAGAGTTTCATGGTTTTATCATATCCATTTGTCCAGATTTCTTCATCACTCAGACAGGCTACACTGTAAAGGTATCCATACCCAGTGTTTATGGTGGTGACAGTCTCTGGTTCATCAAGCAGCTGTTTGACTGGAGGAGAGGATCCAGCTTCTGGTGATTTCTGTGTTGTCTTCATGCTGTAGCCATGTTTATCTGATGTTAGAGAACTTGATGATAAGGATCCAAACAATTTACTAAGTTCTTCTCCTTGTATTTTTCCTGGATTGAATTTGGGTAAAGATGGTAAAATTTTGTGTGGAAGATTTCTGTATGTGTGTACATTTGATATGACACTAAATAGTTTTGACAAGTCATTAGTGTCTGTTACAGTTTCCATTGAATTGATTTCTTCCTTGATGTCAGACATTGTCTTGTTTATTTCACCCAGATGTTTCTGTAGAGTTTGTAACTGTTTGTTTTTCATCTCATCAACTTCAGCTTTAAGTTTCTTGACAAGTTTGTCAATTTCTCTGTGCCAGTCCTCTCCATGTTTTGTTATGTCTGTTGAGAGATCTCCATATTCCTTTTCTAACTGACTCATTCTGTTTTGTACATCAGAGGCAAAGTCCTGGTAGGTTGGATAAATGGTATCATTTAATTCATTTCTTTCTTTTATAATCATGTCCTTCTTTTCATCCAGAAGTTGTAAGATTTTAGATAATTCGTGACCTAAATGTTGATTAAGTGCAACACAGCTGACACAGACAGGAATGTCACATTGTTTACAGAACATTTCACATCGTTCTTTGTTATGATATTTACACATAGGGTAGAGGGGAGTGGATTGTCTGTCCTGAAATTTGACCACCTTGTGATCTTTGGATTTACCTGTTGAGATGTTTTCTCCCACACAGGCCTTACACAGGTTGACATGGCACGTATCACAGTGCATCTGTACCACAGCTGTCTCACACAGGTCGCATCGCATCACGTCCTGGGCACTGGTGTAGGGGTCCATCATTAGATTTAGTGACTGAAGTATAAACGTAAATGATAATACATTTATTGACTGGGTTTGAAGGCAACATGCATTTTATGGACTCCAGAAACCACAGTTTGCCTGAGGCCATGAGGCAGATATTTATTTAGATAACCAAGTTTTGCTCATAAACATGTAGATAGACAAGCATCATATTACATATACAAGGTTCATTGAATCTTTGTTGGAAGGACATTTTGTTCCCTATAGTTTAAGCATGTAGTACTGAATTTTCAATGTCTTTCCAAATTGTTTTGTTAATGCTCAGAAAAACGTCGAAGTTTTTCTTACCTGATTTCAGTAATGGTGGCAGTCCTATTTTTGATCTCCAAGGACAGTCTCTATGTACTCTGATCACATGACCTGTGTTATCTACCTGTCAGGTGTTTATACTTCCTGGTCTGGAAGGGGATTTAAAGACCTTAAACAACTGCTCTTTGAAAAGCATCTATATTTATTTTATATAGTTTATGTGATATTTAGCTGTACTGGTTAGAGACCAGATGGGTATCGTCACAAATTTCATATCGCAATATATATCAATATAATCATGATATTTTTACAAGCAATTTTTTCAATGATTTTAAATGATTATTCATATTTTTCCCCAAAAAATATGCTGGAAAAACATAACTTCACTCTTTTCATTTTTTATTTACATAATAGCAAGCAATTTTGGATGCTAGAATGCTGTTCTATTACCGTTTTCAACATATTTTACACTTCCTGTAATTGTAATTTGAAAGATTGAACAAATAAATGAATGATTTTTTGAATCTATATCGCAAATCTCGCTTGAAAGTATACACTTCGACCGAAATAGCGTTGCGTTGAGTGATGACACAATTGGATTTGACAATTGAACAATTTGAATCACGGGTTACATTTTATAAAACATGTGTTTTAATTGGTTGATTAGGACCCGCCCACTCTCGTTTGGTATACATATACTTGGAAAGCATCCAACGGCCTCGCCAATAGCTATGTTTGATGGTCGAAAATTGATGTTGACTTTTTGAACTTAAAAAAAAGAAACAAAGCACAAAATCATATTTCAGCATGTGATATTCATTTCAAATACGGTACATGTATATTGTTCAATGACAAAAACTGTGTTATCCTACATGTATCTGCCGATTTCCTCTGCAATAAATTGACGGCATTTTCCATTTTCGGTGTTCGTTAAATTGAATAGTCTGTGCGACTTTTCGGCGCACTAAAAATCTTTTTCTCTATGTTTTAGTCCCTAGTGATTGTAAACAAGTGAACTATTACATTGGGTAGGCCAATCCTAGTTAGAGTTATCTAACTCTCTCGGGACAAGCCCTCACCACAAACCGGGTCCGTAGGACATCATTTTAACGATAGAACGGTCTATCTGCTCTAGGCAAACCCCATCTTTGCCAACCAAGGATTTCCGATCCGAAATCTACTCGGATCGGAAACCCTTGGCTAGCGAAGATGGGCAAACCCAAGTAAATTGAAAACTCGGATATTATTGTAAAGCATACCAAGCTGATACCGGACACTTATTATTGAAAAAAAAATACTAGGGGCTAGTCTATATTCATAGCTGGTAAAACACACGTGAAACATAGGAATTATTCAAAAGTTTACTGTTTAATTGCCACAACTGTCAAAAAATACCATGTTTCAAATGTGTGTGTGCTACTGCATGCCCATTTTTGCCGTCATGGCAATAAACAAGAAAATTCGAAATCCTTGTTGTTGTTTTTTTTCAGTGAAATTTTTACTATAACGGCGAATATTATTTATATATTCATTATAAAATAATAAATATCATATAAACTTCCATGTTAAAAAATAAATAATTAAACAATATATTCACCGAATCTAAGTACATTTATTTATGTACTGAAGAAGAAAACGGGGGGAAAACGGCCGTGTTTTTCAATCGCAGAATTAGACCCCGGGGTACATGTACGAAGTCAACTCCAGCCAGTCCTGGCACAGATTTTATTTGCAAGACCATTTTACAGTTTACCAACACTCACAATCATTTAATAAGGTATTGCATCGTCCCACTTATTCACCAAAAGAAAATACTGAAGCTCTTTTGCCCGTTTTCTATCTTGGAAACATTCTACGTTTTCGGCAATACATTTGAGAATGTGGGCGGACCTATTAAAAATGCACCAATCAGATTCTTTGTTGGATTTCGCAATGCTATGTCAGTCAGATTCAATTGTATTTCAGTCAGATTCAACAGTGTCGTCACTCAACGCATCACTATTTCGGTCGTAGTGTATACTTTCAAGCAAGATTTGCGATAACTATGTACCTAAATACCGGTATTTTAGTCTCGGTATCACGATACTTATCATGCAATTAAAAATCACGATATAGCGGTATACCGATAAAATCGTACATCTCTAGAGTTTATGTGATAGTAAGGTGTCTGTCATCCATCCATTTAAACAATTTTTCAAACACCACTCCTCTACAGTTTTGGTCTTATTTCAAAATAGTAGACAACACTTTAAAGATACCTTTTCTGTTTATGGGTTTTTGATGGTCTCACACAGGTCACATAGCATCATGTCCTGGGCAATGGCATGGGGTCCTTGTTTTTGCAAATCTGAATTCAAAATAAATAACATGAAACTGTATGAAAAAAAAATGTGTATGTAACACTTTTAAAAGCTTGATGTTAGCAATTATTTTCTGTTTCACAATATGATTCTTATTTTTAGGCCTTTTGAAACCTTTCTTGGAATTCTCATAATACTCAGATTTGCTCTTATACATTATATGTGTTTGATAACTATCATAATCATTTCATCCAATTTCTTTACAATTATTTTTAGCTCTTGTCAGTAATAATGTTTGAAATGTGAGTTATTCCTATGCAAGTTTTTCATAACTTTAAAAGGGGGGTTTAAAGTATTTTTAGCTCACCTGAGCTGAAAGCTCAAGTGAGATTTTCTGATCATATTTTGTCTGTCTGTCCATCCATCAGTCCGTCCGTCTGTAAACATTTCACATTTTCAACTCTTCTCAGGAACCACTAGGCCAATTTTAACCAAACCTGCCACAAAACATCCTTAGATGAAGGGGATTCAAGTTTGTTCAAATGAAGGGCCATGCCTTCTTTCAACTTTTTAGACCCCCGTGGGTAGAGTGGGTCTACAATGGGGTACATCTAAGTTTTACATAGGATTATATAGGAAAAAACTTAAAAATCTTCTTTTCAAGAACAGACAATCCATGATCAGTCATATCAATATAGAAGCATTCTCAGATAGTGTAGATTCAACTTTGTTTAAATCATTACCCTTGGGGGTAGAAAGGGCCACAATGGGGGATCAAAGTCCTTTTTACAAAGGAAAATATAGGAAAAAATTTTGAAAAAAATCATCTCCTCAAAAAAAGGAGTACCTTGATTAGTCAAATCAATATGGAAGCATCCTCAGGTAGTGTAGATTCAAGTTTGTTAAAATCATGACCCCCAGGGTAAGGGAGGGGCCAAATTTGGGGGATCAAATTTTTTACAAAGGAATATATAGGGAAAAAATCTTTAAAAATCTTCTGCTCGTGAACAGCAAAGCCATTACTTATATTGATATGGAAGCATCCTCAAAGTGTTAAATTCAAGTTTGCCCCCCTCCCCGTAAACTTTTCAATACTGAATTGATTTGTGCTTTTTCCTAGCTAATGTGCTCAGGTGAGCCATGTAGCCCATGGGCCTCTTGTTCATTTTAACAATGTTTACCTTGGACAAGATAAGTTTACAAAGAATCTATTTGGTTACAGAGGATATAAATTCATTATCCAGGTCCAATCAAGGGTGTAAAGGGATTTAATCCATGTTGTATTTCATGCAACCTGAACCCAAACACAGAACCTGGATAACTGATAAATGTATATTGGGAAAAATATCTGAGTCTGATGCAGAACAACAGGGCCAAAATGTCTCAGATGAGCATTGTGTCCTATGGGCCTCTTGTTGTAAGTTCTTAAAATCTCAGATATGCTCTTAGATATTTTAATAAAAACTCAGAACATGATTCTCAATCTAGAATTTTACTTCTCATACAGAGCAGTAATTCCAGTTATCCCATCTTTGCTAGCCAAGTGAATAAGTAGCAGGTCAGGAACACATACTTAATCAAGTGGAGCTTATCCTACATTAATTAACCAATTCCACTTAATTTGTAGCTAGACTAGCAATAGAATTCAATGAGAATAGGATCCAGAATCTCAAATGTTATTTCTTAACTAGGTGTGTCAACAAACAGGAACAATTTTCCTTGGAAAAAATAGTGTAGATGAATCGTCCATTGTTTTGTGTATGATTTTGTGTTTAAAAATTGCAACAAACATTTGATATTTAAACATCAATGTAGCATGAGTACATACGTAATTGAATGTATTAATATTACAGGTAAGGGAGATGGCAGCCATTACATTGAGTGGATTAGTACACTGTGGGTTTCTAGACATGGACAAAGATATGCTGGTAATTTCTTACTCTGCATATGTTAAATTGATATTTATTTTGTTATTTGATATCTCTGATTTAAAAACATGAAGTCCTCAGTCAATATTAAAGATGACCCCTTTGTATTTACTTTTTTTTTTAGGGGGGGGGGGTAAGTAGAGTTAAAAAAAATTTCTCTGAATTGTAATTTTTTTCTCAAGAAAATTGTCAGAATGAAACAAATGTACCATGCGAAGCAAAAAGTGTATACATGTATACATTTTTAGATATAAATTTACTTACATACAGGAACACTTTGAAATCCTCAGTAAGAACAAGGTAAAGAAGCGAAAGTTAGCTGACTCAATGCCTTTGGAGGCACTAATAAAGCGTCACGCTGGTGTACTGGGTCTCAGTGCTCTAGTGGAAGCTTATCCTTACAATGTACCAGAGTTCATGCCACAGATCTTAATGGACCTGAGTAACCATGTCAATGATCCTCAACCAATTCAGGTCAGTAAAATCTTACACTCATGTCAACAAATTCAGGTCAAAGCTTACACTCAACCAATTCAGGTCAGTAGAACCTTACACTCATGTCAACAAATTCAGATCAAAACTTACACTCATCCAATAGGGTCAGTAGAACTCACACTTATGTCAACAAATTCAGGTCAGAACTTGCACTCAACCAATTTAGGTCAGTAGATCCTTGCATTCATGTCAACAAATTCACGTCAGAATTTACACTCAACCAATTCAGGTCAGTAGGAACTTATAAAGTCACCTCAACCAGTTCAGGTTGGTAGAATTTAATATTCATTTCAACCAATTCTGGTACATAGAAGCTAACATTCACCTCAGCCAGTTCAGGTCAGTAGAAATTTACTTCAACCAGTTCTAGTCAGTAGCTACTTGCCTCAACCAATTCACCTCAGTAAAAACTTACAGTCACTTCAACTAGTTCAGTATATTAGAAACTCGCTCGCCTCAACCAATTCTGGTTTGTAGAAAGTTGCACTCACTTCAACCATATCTGGATAGTAAAACCTTAATACACTCAACATGATTCAAGGTCAGTTGAAATTAACTTCAACCAGTTCAGGGGTCTGTAAAAAACTTACACTCAATATAATCTTGATTTACATTAATACATAAAGGGAATCCAAAAGCTGCATATCTGTAGCTTACTGGTCTGAAGATTTAAGGATGGTCATCCATCCATTTTGTCATAGGCAGTATGCTATAGAGCTGCACATGGTACCGGTACCAGTAAGACAAATGTCGGTACAGACAATATATCTTGTATCCATTTGTATTGATTTTAATAATATACTTGTAAACACATTTCTGATAATCATTTATGTTCTATAAAAGTTGCATCATTGATGAATGTTCAGTTGCTCTGTTAATGTTTTGCAGATGACTGTGAAGAAAACTTTATCAAACTTCCGTAGAACACACCACTACAATTGGCACGATCATAAACAAATGTTTACAGACGATCAGCTTGTCATATTAACTGATATTCTTGTGTCCCCTACTTACTATGCTTGACAACGGATCATCATCCTAGAGAAATTAAATACCAAGGTGTACCTAACCAGGAACAGCTCAGTCATGGCAGAGCAGTCCACACAGCCCGGAGTTATCTCCCCCCAAAACAAGGTCCCAAAAGTCAACAACACCTTCTCGTCTCATTTCACAGATTTCATCATATTAAGGGACATTTACAATGCCAATTTTACAATTCCTCTTTCTATTTAGTTTGAGTATTTGAGTTATGTATGAGGGGTTTGTCTTATTTTTATGTACATGTATGTCATGATTAAAATATTTCTTTGCATTTTCTTAAGGTAATGAAGTAAACATATGCAGTGCGATCAGTTTTATGGACAAAGCTTGAATGTTAAAACATATTCTGTTGGTTAATGGGAAATAACTTAGATAATTGTTTTTAAGATTGCTAACAAAGGGAGATTTTTTGTACATGTTGTTTTAAATCTGTGTTTTACCACAAAGGTTCCTTGCAGAAATGTAACCAACGTTTGACTGATTGATTAGTACCTGAAGCTCTTGAAATGTAATGTAATAGTAACATGTATTTATTTTCAGAAATAGTTTGATTCTATAAGACTTAACCATTAAATATATTTTATGTGGATAGTCAAGGATGCAGTGCCAAAGTCATGTCATTTGATGAAAGGTATTAACTTTATGTACAATTTACTATCAGAGAAAGTGTATGAAAATAATTCTAATAGTAAACGTGTGCATTTTAATAAACTTCAGGGTGTAAAATTGTAAATTCTACTACAGTTATGTGTAGTTTTCATCCTGCATGAGGGTAAAATATAAATTTAGTATGAAACATTGCATTTAATTATTCAGTATAGTAGTTCATTGTTTCTGAAGGCACATTAAAACTTTTCAGCTTGGTAAGGTTTTCTTAAGAGATTTTGAATAAATAGATATACATATTATATATAGTTAGACCAGATGTTGGTCATGAAACACAATGTAACGATAAAAAGGTAGAGACAGGCTAAAATATCCCAAATATTGAACTTTACATTTCATGTATATGTTATTAGAGTTAAACTTCACATTTCATGTACATGTATTAAAGTGGACTGTGAATTGTGTCATAATCCATGGGTTTTCATTTCAGCTATTCCTGATGTGATACAATTAGTTTACAATTATGTCATTAACAAATTATTTTACCATAATGATGAGAATCCTTGTCATGCTTTCATTTATGAAAAAAATGGATTTAAATAAAAATTATGCTTTCATAAAAGTGTTGTTGTTACTGTGATCAGTATTTGATCATATTTTGAAATATCCTTACTGACATTTTCATCATAAACATGACTCTACAATGTAAAATTAAAATATGAAAGAGTGGAAGAGAAACTTTCTATAGATTTTGTATTTTAATTTTTAAGAAGTCTAAATATGTATCTGAATATCGTGTTACGGACATTTTTATTTTCCATGGTTGATAATTCTTCAAATGCATTCTGCTGAGTTGTTGCACAGATAGATAGCAATTACATGTATGTAGTAACATATTTTTTGGAGATCAAAAATTAATTTTCAAATAATACAAGGACTTCCACTAGAACTCTATTGGTTTTTCACTTAATAAATGAAGGATAGAAAGAAGGACCCTTACAGAGGACATAACCCGAAGATCAGACTGAAATAGACAGAGGACATACCCAAAGATCAGACTGAAATAGACAGAGGACATAACCCAAAGATCTGACTGAAATAGACATGGGACATATCGCAAAGATCAGACTGAAATAGTGAAATGTAAAATAATATAAAATCAAACAACAGAGGTATTAATTTCCACTTGGTATAATATGAAAAAAGTACATGAACATGCAAAATTCGGAGTTAAATTTAGCTCCAGAATCCCAAACGCAGCGACAAAGCCACATTTCTGTTACCTTTATGGTATTTTGAGGTCATCTTTTTAGGTCACCTGAGTCACTCAGGTGACCTATTGCTATCCGTTTTTGTCCGTCGGCGTTCGTCGTGCGTTAACATTTGAACATTTTCAGCATCTTCTCTGAAACTGCTTAACCAATTTCAACCAATTTTTAGCTCACCTGAGCCAAAGGCTCAAGTGAGGTTTTCTGATCAAAATTTGTCCGTTGTCTGTCGTCGTTGTCGTCGTCGTTGTTGTAATCTTTTCACATTTTCATCTTCTTCTCAAGAACCACCGGGTCAAATTCAACCAAACCTGCCACAAAGCATCCTTGGGTAAAGGGGATTCAAGTTTGTTCAAATGAAGGGCCACGCCCTCTTTCAAGGGGAGATAATTAGGAATTAGTAAAAAAATAATGGCATCATTTAAAAATCTTCTTCTCAAGAACCACTGGGCCAGGAAAGATGAAACTTATGTGGAAACATCCTCAGGTAGTGTAGATTCAAGATTCTTCAAATCATGACCCCTGGGGATAGGGTGGGGCCACAATGGGGGATCCAAGTTTTACATAGAAATATATAGGAAAATATCTTTAAAAATCTTCTTCTTAAGAACAGTAAAGCCAAGGTTGGTCATATTTATATGGAAGCATCCTCAGGTAGTGTAGATTCAAATTTGTTCAAATCATGACCCCCGGGGGTAGGGTGGGGCACAATGAGGGATCAAAGTTTTACATAGAAATATATAGGAAAATATCTCTAAAATCTTCTTCTTAAAAACAGTAAAGCCATGATTGGTCATATTTATATGGAAGCATCCTCAGCTAGTGAAGATTCAAATTTGTTCAAATAATAACTCCCAGGGTAGGGTGGGGCCACAATTGGGGATCAAAGTTTTACATAGAAATATATAGGAAAATATCGTTAAAAATCTTCTTCTTAAGAACAGTAAAGCCATGGTTGGTCATATTTATATGGAAGCATCCTCAGATAGTGAAGATTCAAGTTTGTTCAAATCATTACCCCGGGGATAGGTTGGGGCCACAATGGGTGATCAAAGTTTACAGAGGAATACATAGGAAAAAGTCTCTTTCTCAAGAACAGAAAAGCCATGATTAGTCAAATTGATATGGATGCATCTTTGGGTAGTGTAGAATGAAATTTGTTCAAATGATGGCCCCCGGGGGTAGGGTGGGGCCACAATGGGGGAGCAAATTTTTACAAATGAATATATGGGGAAAAAATCTGCTGCTCAAGAACAACAAAGCCATTTGTTATATTGATATGAAAGCATCATCAGGTAGTTTAAAATTCAATACCCCCCTCTCTGTAAACTTTTCAATACTGTACTGATTTTTGCTTTTTTTTCCCTAGCCAATGTGCTCAGGTGAGCGATGTGGCCCATGGGCCTCTTGTTTCATATAGCATCTATGGGTGAAGGGGAACAAAAATTATGAATTTCAGGGTCCCTGCCCCCTGGGGCCTGAGGGGTGGGGCTAAAACCACCAAAATTAATGCAATCTTTAAAAATCTTCTTCACTCCTGGACAAAAAGCAGTCAAACTGTTGGCATGATTGTAATAAGCAGTGAGCCCTCTACCAAAATTGTGAAGTTCATGGCCCCAGGGTCAGGGGTTCTGGTGTTAGGGTGGGGCTATATAGATCATATAGTGAAAGTGCATTATTTCTTTGAAAATCTTCTTCTTTGCTCCTGGGTATTAAACAAACTAAGTACATAATTATGGTGAGCAGGAGTGCCTCTTCCAAAATTGTGAATTTCATGACCCCTGGGTCAGGGGTTCTGGTGGAAGGGGGGGGGCTCTATTGATTAAATAGTAAAAATGCATTAATTCTTTTGAAAATCTTCTTCTCTGCTCCTGGGTATTAAATAAACTAACTAAGTATATAGTTATGATAAGCAAGAGTGTCTCTTCCAAAATTTAGAATTTCATGGCCCCTGGGTCAGGGGTTCTGGAGTTAGGGCGGGCTCTTTAATTATGTAGTGAAAATGCATTTATTCTGTTAAATAATCCTGTCTAATCCTTACTGTTGAGCAGATAAACGAAGTGCATAGTGCTTCTTACAAAAATTTTTAAAACTTTGTGCTCCCAGGGTGAGTGGCTTTTGTGTTTCTCATTGGGAGGGGGGTCTATTGATAATATAGTGAAAATGTGTTAATTCTTTGAAAATATTCAACTATGTGCAGAGTTATGATGATGAGGGTACCTCTTCCAAATTTGTGAAATTCATGACCCTGGGTCATGGGTTTTGGTGTTAGGGTAGGGCTGTGTTGAATCTGTAGTCATGGTACATGTAGTGAACATGCATTAATTCTTTGAAAATCTTCTCTGCTCCTTGGCATATCAAAGGCAAACGAAGTAAAAGTTTTAATAAGCAAGGTTGTTTTTACCAGATTTTTTAACATCTGGACCATTTGGCCAAGTGTTCTGGTCCTGGACAGGGCTCTATTTATTATTTATTCTCCTGAGATAAGTTATTCCCCTTTGCAATTCACTTTTGATCATTAATCACTGTACTTTTGATAATTAATCACTGTAAATAATGTATTTGAAAAGTTAATAGAATAAGAGAATTTTGCAAGAAATTTTATTGTATAATACAAAAACTACTTTCATATTTTTAATGATCAGATAGACTTGTAAATAATAGAATAATAAAAATGAGACAAAAGTAACTTATTAATTTGTTCTTCAAAGACCAAGAGAGGCCAATGTGAGAGATTACAATTGTACAGAATCACCAATAGTTTGATAACAGTCTGCATGGTGATAGTGCTAAATGGGGGATAGATTAGAATTTAATTTATGAGTTGTTACTAAATATTAGACTAATTATTTCATTGATCCTGATCATCCTATTTCTCTTGCTTTTGGCCAACAAAGCTTCATCTACCAGTTTATTCTATATTCTATGGATCCTCTAAGTTGTTGTATTATACTCAGGTGACTGTTAAGGCCCTTGGGCCTCTTGTTATCTAAAGTTATCAACATCTGTCATTCATAAACAAATTTGAATAAAGAAAAAACATAACTGGATGAAAATATTTTAAACCAATCCTGAATGTTATGTTTGTGATTCAAAGGACCACGTACAGGTAC